ACCTATAGGACTTCAGGTCTCCCAAAAAGGACGTGAGGAGGAGCCATGGTGCCAGGACAACGACTCCGACCCAGTGACACAACATGCCAAAACTCAGTCTATTAGTTTGTCAGTTTATAAAGAAACATGTATAAAAGTTTTACATATTTGCAATTTCATTAATACAAAACTTATTTGCAGGCCCTATTTCCCCCTCTCCCCCTCCTCTTCCCATTACTCGTTTCCACAATTTTTGTTAATTTCAACTTGAGCACTCACACACACACACACACACACATATATACACGCACATGTACGGAGGAGATTCATCCAAAGTTGCTGGTGGAAATTCCAGAAATTGAAATGTGAAAACTCAAACATTCCGATGATAAAAAGCGGGAGGGGGGTGGTAAATGGGCAAAAGAAATACTCAACTCGAACATCATTTGCAGCAATAAAAGAAGTCAGAAGAAGCAATGCGTCAAATGTATTGAGGCGTGGTCGGGATGAAGGGGCGGGTAAAAGGGAAAAGGATCCGCCCCCCGCAGCGAACTCGCTCACTACGACATTATCATAATTAATTAAAAAAGTTTTTTAAATCAATTTCCAAATGCCAAGAAGTGTCTGCAGAGATGTTTGATGAACCGTGGCCAAAGGGAGCAGCTGAAAAAAAATTGATAACTTTGGCTTGTCATGGGCAAGGACGAGAATCGAGGTTCCTGCGAAAATTCCAAAGCATGAAATGACTGAAAACTTGATCCACTCAAAAATATTCTGTTAATTCCTTGATTAGTGTTTGCAATGGATCGGATGTCGGTTCGGACTCAAGTTTTAACAAAATTGGAGCAGATGCGTTTTGCCAGATGCAATTGAAGATAAGTTTCTAATTTTGATTAAAACGATTGCTTTAGGGTCTCATGTTAGTGTTCTGTCTTATGAAGAAATTAAAACATTTTTCTTTTGAAAAACTTAACAGAAAGGAGCTCACAACTTTGCCATTTTCAATTAGATTTTAAAGTGACATGCATTTATTTGGCTTAACTTTTCCAATTTTTTCTAATACGTGGTCTATGCAATATAAAAACACCCTTTTAAAAGACATCATTTATTTAAAATTAATCCTTTTATAAATCAATAAAAATAGTATGAAGCTGTCCACAGAACAGTATTTTACAGTTATCGATTATCTGCCTACCGGAATAAATGGCCGCAAACATATATCCCCCATCAAAGCAAAGGGAGCAAAGGGAGTCTGGTTACCATTAAAGAAATTGAAAGTGCACCATCCAACTGGATGGTACTAGTCACTAGAAGAGCGGCAAATCAAAAGCCAGCTGCAGTGCAATGCATTTTAATTTAGCCCACAACTCACACAAAACCTAAGGGAAGTACACCCATGCAGGCACACACACACAAACAAACAAACACACACAAATAGAAAAATGCAGGTGAAACACGCGCGGAGGCAGTACATAAATAAATACTTGAACAAATATTTACAACTCTGGCGCGGAATTATAAGCAGCGCCCGAAAAGTATGCACTACAAAAATGAAGCAAGGCTCCTGTATATGTGTGTGTAAGACGGCTCACACCTGTTTGCACGAGTGCGTGTGTGTATGGCAGTTCGGGTACGTGAGTGTGTGTGTGAGTGAGTGCAAGTGCGCATAAAACGCGCCGCAGCAGAAGTGAGCAGCATTTTTATTTATTTGCCGCGGTGTAGTTTTTATTTTTCTTTGCCCATTCCCTTTATTTTACCATGCTGCCAAATTTGTGGAGCTCGATTTCTAGCACACGAAAAAAACTTTAAGAACGGAGTTCCAGTTGTTCGAAATGACTAATTAGTAACTAGAGAAATGCCTTGATGTTGTGAAGTGAAACATTATAAAAACTTTATTAAAATCTAAACTTTTTTCAACCCTAGAACGTGATAAGCTTCTTTTAATAATGCAGTGCACTGCAGTGTTTAATTTTTAGTTCAAAATAATTTTTTATAGCATACTTTTCAAAACTATTTCGGTATGCTTAATAGGTCTTCACATGAAATCAAATTCCATCTGTAAATGTTAAAAACAATTCTCAGTGAAAACTGCGCCAGCAGCTGCAGCAGAAAGGCGGTGGGCGTGGCGCACACACACACACACATACATGGAAGATAAGACTTGCAGAGTGCAGGCTTGTTTGGCAAAGCGCCTGTTTAACACTTAAGATATCGCATTTCTTGGACTCCCATGTCTGCAGATGTGTTTGTATGCCACAAAGGAGCAGGAGGTGGCAAAAGATAAATATGCATGCGGTTGCTTTATAAGGTGAACGTGTCTATATGTTTGTGTCTGTGTGTGTGTGTTAGCCATTTCAACAGACGCGCCTCCTTTTTGCGCCGCCTTTCGCGCATTTGCATGCAATAAAGATGGCGGGGCGATAACTAGGTTGCCTGCCATTGTTTGCCTTTTCCCCATATTTCTCTTTGGCCATGTATGTCTCTGTCTCTGTGTGTATGTGTGTGTGTGTCTGTGTTTGTGTTAGCCGCACTAGTTGGCCGCCAAAAGCAGCAGCAGCAGACAGCCAAGCAGCCACTAAAATAAAAGGCAAAGTCCGCCAACTGGCGTATCCTGCCACTGCCACCGATTCTTCTTCTTCTTCTGCTTATTGCGCTGCCGCTGCTGCCATGCATTATGCAGATGTACACCAGGTTCATGAATATATATGCGAGCACTTTGTCTACCAACACAAGCACACAGCAGCAGGCACTGCACTAAAATCTAATTAATTTATTAACAAAATACAGATACATATATAAATTGTTTTCATACATCAAATAAAACAACAGATAAAATAAACTTTATAGGAAATCTGAATTAAAATGTTAGCAATCAAATATGAAAATAAATAATACATATTTGCCTTTCTTTGTTTACTTTTTTAGCAGTGTATAACTCTATGCACTTACTATTGTGCGAAAAAAAGAAAGCACACAGAACGAACTGACAAAATGCCATATGTTTGTGCGCGATAAGCTGCAGGACCCCCTTTGGTCCTTCGTTCCCCGAAATCCGCCTTCCGGCGACCCCATTTCAACAGCTCAGACCTGTAATTATAATTTAACACCGCATCAAATCAAACGGGGGCTAGGCAATAAGAGCGAAACACGGCCAAATCGATGTCCAGGCCATCGCACGCACATTTTCCGGGGCAAAACGGGCAACCTGAATTGCTCAACCAGCTCGAAAGCCCGTGGCTGGATGGCTGAGTAAATCAAAAATGTGCAATAAAAATTGCAATAAAGCACGCTTCAAAGGTACCTGGCTTTCAACGATGCGGGGGAGTTGGGTGGATCGAGGTTGGAGGTTGAGAGTAAAGCTCGGAATTGGATGGCTGCAGAACCTCATCTAAGCAACGATAATGATTGCAATTCATTTTTATGAACCCCAACTAACCGTTTCCGGGTATTACGATTCTCGTACCCAATTTGCCGGCACGCGTATAACAAAATTCAATTAAAGGTCGAGATTTACAGCAGTCGGTAGCGTAATGAGCGCTTTTTATGCTAAACGGGTCATTTCAAATCAGCATTAATGCTTCGTTTTAGATTTATGAAATACGCATTCAATCTGTATTAAATTAAACATATTAAAAGTGCGGTAGACGGCACAATTGATGGTCTGCACGAGAGTATTGATTATAGATTTGCATAAATTGGTATTACGATTTAAGTAAACAATTATTAAAAGAACAATTGTTGAGTTTAAACAAACTAGGTATCTAATTTTAGCTCACTTTATATTTATTATGAAGAAGGAAGACTGGATTTAAATGTAAAGTTAAGGAAGTTACTTTATTTTATTAAAAAAATAGTATCAAACAATTTATATTTTTTATAAAAACCTTTTGATGCTTTGGATTTTAAATTGGATAAAAATTAAACTGGGTGGCCTGTGTTTCAAACTATCATTCTGCATCAATATCACTGCAGCAACAATGGTATTTGTCTAGGCATTTTCCGCATCGACTCTATAACTGAGTGCGACATTCGTGACTCTGGGAGCGAAAAGGGCATCTAAACAAACACTAGAAATGCCAGCGAGGACCGCCCTTTAGCTTATTTTTAGTCGCGTGGCCAGAAGTGGCCGGAGTGGCCAGGTTGAAGTGGGCAGGTGGGCAGGTGGGCAGATGGGCAGGTGTGCGGGGCACCTGTCGTCGCCAATCAACCTTGACTAGAACTGGGCGTTGCAAGGTGGGAGGGTCACTGCCACAACCATAGGAGTCAGCTATGCACAAGGTTGCCTTTTGCTGCTGCCGCACTGAGGAAAATTTGTAATAAGTAACTGATTTAGATGGAAAACCGAAAGGTTCAACAGTTTAAAAATATAAGAAATTTAGTAACCATTAAATCAGAGTTAAAAGCATTTAACCATGGACACCTCACAATTTTAAATACTAAAAAACCCTCTAAAATCTTCTTTAGTGTTTGAAGCAATTAAAATAATATATTTTATTCCTTTTAAAAGGGATAAATATTTCGTTCAGTGACTTGTTACTGTTGGGTGGCTCTGGATGCGGTTTGCTTGGTTGGTTGGCCAGCGATTTTCCAATAAAGTGAAATTGCATTTGATGATGCCGGGATATGTTTTTTTTTCCAATCATTCTGATATTTTTCACCCCTACCCGTTTTGTTTTCCCATGATGTTTTCCTTTACCCCAGCCATTTATAGAAAATTGAATAAAAGTGTTGGTGGCATTGCGACAAACTGGTCGACGAATGAGCGCGTGATTGGAGGCGATTTGTAGGTAGGTGAGCAAGGATTGTGCTGCAGGACCTCTGGCCACGGACCACGGACCCCGGGTCCTGCCAGCGAAGGAAGTGATTAGTGTAGGGCTCCTGCACGGCTTCCTTGCGTGAGCCGAGAACCCGGGAGCAGGAACAAAGCAAACACGGCGCAGCGGAGAAATCCAATTTGTAATGGCTAGCTGGCTGGCTGGCTGGTCAAGTTGCCTTTGATTTCATTGTTTCACCGGGTTACCCACACACTTACACACTTACACCTCATAAGGGCTTTTGTTAACCTTTTCTACATTACAAACGCTGCAACAGAAAAATCAGAAAAAAGTTTTACAGCCAAGATGCATTCGACCAAGATTAAAGAGGGCGATGACAGGGTGAGTTCGAATACAATTCGCAGTCACATGCGTTGGCCATTAAATGTGGCCAACTAATTTGAATGCCTTGATTAGGAGGAGATGGAGCTCAACCAAATCTGGCGGGGATGTCGTAAAATTCAGGGTGCCATTTTCCGTTATAACTTCGACATCTGTGCCGAGCTAAAGCAGCACGATCCCAGCTGCAGCGGCTTCGTGTCCGGTGAGTAAACACATTTGCCGGAGGCATTTCCCCGGTTTTTATGACCGTTTTATGACCCTAACCCACCTTGTACAGAACCCATTTTCACGGCCGTATTGGGCAAATATCGCAAGGTGGCCGGCATGTCGGAGTCTGAGCTCCGGGATGTCACAGACTATTTCCAAATCCGAGATGGACGGGTGGCGTATCGCCAGTTTTGCAAAGTCGTCTGCAGCGAAAGTGAGTTTTATTCAATAAATCCTTCTTTTCAGTTTACTTACAAGGTTTTGGTTTTAGCCCTACACAAAACTGCTAAATCTGATTTGGCTACGGGATTGGAGTGGAACGATCCCTGGCATATGAATGTCATTCCCCAACCGGAGGATCGACGACGACTCTGCCTAATCCTGGTCAAGATTGCCCAGCAAGTTCACATTCCGCTCATGCCCTATTTCCAGGACTATGAACTGGTTAATATATTTAAATTAGAAAAACTTTCTTAATAAGTAACTCGTATTAAATTTATTCAGATTGCCCAAAATGTGGGAGTCGTGACTGTTGCTCACTTTTCCCGAGTGCTGCACTTCATGAAGATTCCTTTATCCGAATCGGACTTCCTGCTTCTCCTCAGGCGCTATATGAAGGATGGATACCTGGTTAACTACGTGGCTTTCCTCAAGCACATAGATAATATCATAGCGTATCTGGGCGAACATCATTTGCTGGATAACTCGCATGTAAGCATTACTTTCGGTTTAGTTACTTAACCAAATACATAAATGAAATCTTTTCTGTATAGGATATAATCAGGAACTTCCCTGGACGACTGGTGGAACTAGATCTTTCGCAGCTGCCGGCAATCGATGGCTGCAAGGTTGTGCAACCGATCTTTCCGGATGCCTGCAACTTCCCCAAGAAGAATCGAAACCAGTGCGACATTCTCTTCTGCATTCAGAACTATATCTATAAGAACCAAGTGCGAACCTCTGAATTCCTCGAGAGCTATGACTCTCTGAATATTGGCAGCATCACCAAGAATCAGTTTGAACGCGGTCTGTCCAACATGGGAGTGGGAAAGTATCTGACCCAAAGGGAAATGGGTATCCTGCTAGATCGCTACACGGATCCTGTGGACACCAATCGCGTGCGCTGGCGTAATTTCGCTGATGAGATCGATACAGTTTTCACCATAAAGAATCTGGAGAAGATGCCGCAGTGCGTTGTGGAATCGCCGCTTCGTCACATCCAAGAGTTGCCCAGACCAGGAGCAGTTCCATGGGAGATTGTGCCAGCGAATATTCGCGATATGTGTGAGGATGCGATGTCCAAGATACGAATTCGCATCAAGAATCGACGACTTTATCTGCATCCCTTCTTTAGGAGTTACGACAAGTAAGATTACTTATTATGCTCCCAAAAAAATTTATGAAATCTTTTTAAAGATCATTTAATAATAATTTAATAATAAAAATAATTTAATAGTAAATTAATAATAATTTACTCATTTTTCACTTCAGACTCAACAGCGGTCATGTGCGCTGCAACATAACCAAGCAAATATTCCGCACCAATGGAATCCTCTTATCCGATCCTGAACAGGACTCTGTACTAAGACGCTATGGCAATGAACTCGGTTTCTGCTACACCAAGTTCCTGGATGATGTGGATCCCGCGGAATATGCCATGCCCTCGATGGTCACCAAGCAGGAGCTTGTGGAGTGTCCGCCATTCGCAAGAGACAATTTGGAACCCGAGGATGTCAGCGAGGAGGTCATCGTACGCATCCTAACAGATTGCAAGAGACAGGCTGTGATTAAGAGCGTTGCCGTCATTGAGTTCATGAAGGACTACGATCGCCATCGCGAAGGAGAGATCCTCGAGTCGGACTTTAAGCGGGCTTTGGATAACTCAAGTGTCATTATTAAGGAGAATGAGGCCGACATCTTGTGCAACATGTAAGTGCATTTATAAACCCTTTATATAATTTCAAATTTATTATATTATCCCTTTCCATTTTTAGTTTCCGTTCACCGCATCGCGTTGCCTGCGTTCGCTACAAGGACTTCTGCAAGGCGCTCGACGAGATCTTTATTCAACTGGACACGAACATGGGTGACCAGGTGGTCACAGCGGTGCCCCTGCTCCACCTGCCCAATCTGGACTGTGTCGACTGCTTCCTGAGCTTCGATGAGCGAACCATTTGCTCGCAAGCTCTGATGAAACTGGCTCGCAAACCTGATGAGATCTCCAACTTGAGCCAGGTGTTCAAGGACTTCGATCGGGAACAGTGCGGCTCTATCACGCAGAACCAGTTTCTGCGCGGCATCACAGTGCGCGACATGCATGTAATGCTGAGCAGCCGCGAATTCCAGGCCATCTGCAAGTGCTTCGGGGTGAAGAAGGGCATGTGCATGGAGTTCAACTACCGGGAGTTCCTCAAAATCCTCGACCTTCTCTTCTCCACTGGACAAATGAAGCGCAACTATTAAGTGGTTTGAAAAACATCCCCTCTCAAAATTCTAAGTGTACCTTTTGTGATCAACTATTAATGATTAATATTAGACAAATGAAAAACAATTTGCGGACGTTTAAGTTTTCTTTAATGTAATTCGCTTTAAAACTGCCTGATCTCTTATCTTTCAGTTAAGTTAGGTTGTAATTTCGCTTGAGAATGTTTTTTTTTATTTTTAAGGGGGAGAAACTACGCTTACACACGCATCGTTTACAATATGATTTTGTTGAAATGCTACCTAAACTGCCCATCCAGCACACACCGGCATCTACAATCTGCTCTCCATCAGCTTTTGTCGGACGATTTCATATATAGACTTTCATATAGCTATAGTAATGTATACATATAGATTTGATTTAACAATTCTTATTTTTGCAGTGGTCTATACATTGTATGGTTAAGTAGATCATGTTTCTCGCTGTGTGGCTTTAGATTTTTATTAAAATATAAATCTCTTCCCATTCAGAAGTGTACATAAATATAGATATATGTATTATGTATGTATAAATGTAGTCTATGAGCGTAATACATGTCCGAAAACCAAAACTAATCTCGTTTCCGCTTTCTGCTCTGTATTATGGTGGATTTGTTTGTTGTAGGTTGCTTCTGCTTTGTTGTCTTGTCGTATATAGTTTTCAATCGAACGGGAAGAACTCAACCCGATGTGCCAGCCAGTCAACGCTTGCATGGTTTGTTTGTTTGTTTGTTTTATAATTATTATTACATATTACAGTTAATTCATAATTAAAGTTAAACAAATACTTATCCTCTATTGTATTGTGTAATGTATGAAACAATTTAGCTGTATGTATTTTGTTTTGTTTTGTTTTTTTGTGTTTTGTTTTGTAAGTATGTTTGTTTGCTTTGTCCTCTTATGTCTCCGATTCCCTGTGCTACTGACACGTTAAACAATTACCTCGCATAATGTATGGGACTACATTAGAAAAACAAATTAGTTTCGACACACAGACAACGCGAACGTTGCACGGCATTTAGTTTGGCAAATGTTGTGTGCCACGTTCTCCGCAAGGTTGTCTTGTGGGCTTTCCAAGGGTTGAAGGGTTGTTTTGGTGGGCGGTTGGTTGGTTGGTTTGTTGGTTGGTTGGTTTGTCGGCTTAATGAGCGTGTGGCTATGAAAAATTAGCCACTTGCTGAAAAATTACATGTGTCTCTATGCCTAACTATATGTGTATGCATTTGTGTTTTGTGTGGTTTGGTCTGTATGGTCTAAATGATGCTTCACTCCTGGCGCTGCTGCGGTGAAGTTGCTGCTGCTGCTGCTGCTGCTGCTGCTGCTGCTTTTGCTTCTGCTGCTGTTGTGTTTGTTTTTGGAATGGTGATACACAACAAGTGTGTAAAGGTGTGTAAAGGTAGCTGATGTTGATATTTTTGCTCCCAGCCAGCCAGTCTATTCATTTTCCTTTTTCCTTTCTTTTCTTTTCTCTCTATTTATATATATACAATTGCATATATATGCGGCTTCTCAGTTGGTGTGCGGAGGTGTGTTGTTTTCATAGTTATGCTGCAAAAAAAAGGTATTATTAATTAACTGGCAGTGGGGGAAGATGCTTTGAACTCACCATAACAAACTAAACTAGGTAAAATTCAAATAGTTTTGCAGTTATCTGGAGAATGCGAGATACCCAATGCCCACGACCCCTGCCCTTTTTAGTAGGGCTGATGCCTTTGCTGGCGTCCACCGCCGCGCTGTTTTCCGCCGTTGAAACCTCCGCCACCGCCGCCTGTTTTAAAACAAATGTTTAAGATTTACAAGGCATTAGTAAGTTCGATTCGAATTTATAAAAGGTAGAAAGGCATGCTCAACGTCTGCGGGAAGAAAGGGGAAGGACATCCAAAGATTTCTTTAACTACGCCAAACGACTAGATTTCTTTTTCGGAAAATTTTGACCAATTCTAGGGGGACATAGCAAAATAAAATAAACATAAGTCATGAGAAGCCAATGGAGGTGAACCAAAAACAATGGAGCTCGTTTACAAAAATAAAATCATTGCGATTAGACTATATAGAGAAGAGGATGAGAGGGTCCAACAGGTCGTTGGTTAGATAGTTCGCTGGGCGCTTTTATGAGTTTAATACCTTTGGGGCCGCCGCCGCCGCGGGGTCCACCGCGGCCACCGCCCATATTGCCACCACCGCCTCCGCCGTAGCCGTTACCCTCAAAGCCGCCGCCGTAACCGTATCCGTCTTTTGGTTTGCAAGGACATTTCGTGGTTCAATCACACAAAAGTATTCGTTGATTTCGTGGATTGTGTCGTATAGAAAATTGATGAGAACACAAACAAAGCTTATCTTATAAAACTGTGTAAGACGACACGAACGAAAATGAATAGGAAGTACTACTATGTGTTGCCAACTATCTAACAACGAACATTTTCAAAATACATATTATAGAACATTCAATAAAGAGCAGGGTATTTAAAACAAATCAAAAAAAATATCCTTTTTAAACATTTTGATTTAATGATTATTTTTGTTTATGGCATGTTGGCAACACTTTTACTCGATTGAAACTGCTGAGTGAGGGGTTTTCTTTGGGGATACGTTTGGTTTGGTCAAAATTTGTACTGCTTAACTGAGTGGACTCCACGCCGAGGGGAGACAATTCAAATGGCACATACCGCGAGAGCTGGAAAGGAATCACCTTCTCCGGATCCGGAGGAGATTGTGGTGGTGTTGGGAAGAGATCAGGGGAGGTTGTGGGCGGAAACTGAAATACACACAAAATTGTTGTCTGGTTTTTGTTTTTTTTTTTTTTCGTTTTTCTTTTATTTGCTCATTTCTTGTTTGTGGATTTTGATTATAAGATTTATGGTTAAAATGTTTCTCCGTTATATGCTGTAGCTCAAGAGTACAATAGGTTTTTGCTGCTTTAACATTTGGTTGATGTTGTTGTTGTTGTAGTTGTTGATTGCTGGTACACAATAAAAATTTAAAAAACAATTTTCGCTCGCTCTCCGTTTTGCAAATTGCGAGGAAACAGGCGCAAGGCGGCGCTCACACATACATGCGGTTTGATTGGTTGTTGTTGTTGTTTCGCTCGGTTATATATAATTAATATAACTCTGGTTGTTGTCTCAGATTTTGGTTAGTTGTCGACTTGACGCGACTCGACTTATTAACATGTTTCACAATGTATTGCAATGGATTTCTCAATTCATTTCATTCGATTTCTCATTTTACAGCACTCGTTATGCATTTATGTTTTTTAATTTTTACCTCATTTTCCACACAACAATTTCAGCATTTCAATTTCAAATTAGTTATTTTAAAAATGTTTGCAAATTTGCGAAAAGAAATTTTGTAAGGTTTTTGCCAAAAAATTTGTGAATTCATTTGCTGCTCTTGTGTGTGTGTATTTTGAATGTCTCACCTCAGCAAAAAGTAATAAAATTGTTTTCTTTTCTTTTTTTTGTATGTTAGTTAAATTCCTTTCAAAGGATCTTCGGGGATTAAAAGGGTCTGGGAAAGGGGGGGAAGTATGAGGGTGCGGATTTTGTCGCGAATATTATATTCTTGCGTGTCATAGAAAACGTTTTGCGAAAAACAAAAACAAATGCAAATAGTCAACAAATTTTACTTTATACTCGAGTTAATATAATGATTATAATAATTACTTCTCGTGTTCATTGTTGTTGTTGTTGTAGCTGTTGTTAAAAACAAGAAAACTGGTTGTAGCTTAAGAATTGTCTCAGAATCGGTTTGACAATATATTAATCTTCATTCATTTTAAAATTACTTTAGTGGTTTCATTATCAATATCATTTTTTTGTAGAGTTTTTCAATGCATTTTACTAAAAACAAATATTAATTACGCTAAATTACTTGTAAATATATACGTTTTAAATGTAATAGAAAAAGGAAGATTTAATAAAAAAATGAAAAACGTTACAGTTATGTGAAAAAGTTAACACTGTGGTGCGGTTTTGCTTGTAGGATCGCTTGATTGCTCTGGTCGCTTGGTTGTTTGCTTGCTTGCATTTGGATGTCGGTGGATAGTAGATGGATATTTTGTGGCTCTACTGGTGGTGTTGTTCTCACCAACGACCCTCGGATACCGATGGTATCGGTTATTAACCGGGTTAGCCGCTAAATCGGTTTACCCGTTGCGAGAAGTTTTTGACAAGACAAAGGCGCGGCTTGCGATCGTTTTTGGATATTCGCTTTTGGGTGGTTGGTGGCTGTTTTGAATTGAACTCTCATTGGGGTTTCTTTTTCTTATGTTTTGGGTTTAGTTTAGTTTGCTTTTTTCGTTTTTGTGAGGCGAAACATCGGAAAATTCGGTATTACAATCATATAATCGTATATAAATATGTTCAAAATCATAATTACGAAAGTAATATTACATAATTAACTGGTAAAAGTGTGGGAAGTGGGAACCAAAATACCCGATTCTGTTAACTATCAACTGGATTATATTTTTTGTTAAGATCTAACTCGGTATCAAAGCTCCCGCATCCCGCACTTTTCTAGGTTTGGTGGTTAGTTATCAATTTTTCAAGTTGTATAGTAACGGAATAGAAAATTATAAAGAAACTAAAAATATATTGTTGTTAAGGTTTTAATATAAAGTGGGGCACAAAATTATTGCTATATAATTGTACGGTAAGTATATGTAAAGGTATACAAAAATTTTGTTTATATCAAAAAAATTTGTTTACACATTTAAACATCGTATAATCAGTATAATAATTAATAAAAAATATAGCATAAAATGTATAAAACCTTTTTGATTGGATAATTTTAAGGTAAATGTCAAATTTTTTTCTTAATTTGTTTAGTTTTTTTTTTACTTTTTTGTATACAGACAACTTGCTAAAAACATTGAGAAACATGCAAATTCTTTGTAAAATAATTTACTCAAAGTTTATGAATAGAGATGTGTGTAAATGTACAAATGTATATATAATTGGTACACAGGCAAACTGTCGACGCACATTGACAACATTTGAAGTGATTCATTAGCAAAAGTTAATTTCATGTTCTGCTCGATTTCAAATTCAAAGATTTACGACTTATAAAAGGTATATTTATATATACATTTGCGAATAGCAATGCTTGTGTATGTGTGATTTGCTGGTGTTGCTCGACTTAACATTTAAAAACCATAAGAAAAATTATATATGTATATATGCTTGAATTAAAATTACTAAAATTGACGAAGTGTGTTTTCATTTGTTTTGTTGGAAAAGTTTCATTTTTGTTGCTACAATTAAGATGTTGTTGATGTTGCTATTGTAGTTATTATTATTTGTCGTTGTTCAGTAAGTTAGTTGTTTTTTCTTTTTCATTTGTTCTTTATCCTGGAATCAACGTATGAACATGCAGAATGCCGCAGTGCGCTCGCGGTGCAACTAAAACAAGTCTCAAAAATGGATTGTTTCTACGTTACGTTTACGTTACGATTTTGTCAAGAAAGTGCAGCGGAAATGCAAATAAAGCAAATAAAAGAACGATCTAACGAATTTGGCCGGGGTTGCTGCAGTTCAACCGGAATGACAATATCCCGGATCCGCTGCGCTGACTTTTTGGGCCCCGGCCTTCAGATCATAAGAGCTCTGGTTGTTGTACTCTTTTTTCGTATTGTAGTTGTTTTTTACAAGGATTTGCCTTAAAATAATACTATCAAAAATAGTACCATATTTAAATGTTACTTTTTATGTATAAATATATAACATTTGTATATATTTGATATAAATATATATGGTAGGTATATTGACGTATGGTGCATACGAAAACATATGCATTGCAAAGAACGTGAATATTATCCCGTTGCCGGGATAATAATATGTATCTAAAAATATATTTATATGCTATATATAAGGTATATATATTTAAATAGACATTGAATCAAAGCTTTGATTACGCGTTTCGTTTGTTTTTGTTTTTTGTTTGTTGTTTGTTGTCGTTTCTGTTCTGGTTTGTTGTTTAGTGTTTTGTTAAACAAAACAAAAGGAGAAACTATTTAAATAACTATTTTACGGGAGTGCTGAGGGGTAGTGGGTGTGAGTGTGTGTGTTTCAACAGATTTTGGTTTCAGTTGGTTCAAACAATAACAGTTTAGTTAACAATTAAAAAAGGCACAAGTTGCAATTGCGCAAAAGGCCAAAAACGCTGGCATTTCACACAGTTTCACATAATTGGCACATGCTCCTCGTGTGTTTATGTTTCTTTGTTTGTTGTTATATCTGGGTTTTATGTTATTTATGTTTGCTGTTTGTTTGCTGCCCTTGCGTTTGAGGTATTTGTCATCTTTGGAAAGTCTGTTGAAGGCGACCTCGCGACAACATCGCTGCTGAAGTGAGTCTAGTTGTTGTTGGTTGGTCCGGTCTGGTGGTCGCACATATATGGCAGAATCCTTCCCATATATATGCCTCAACTTGAACGTCACGTCTACTTTTCTCTTCGCTCCTTCTCACTCTTTAAACAACACAATCATTTTTACACACGCTTCGTCAGTTTTATGTTTAAATGCTACTCAACTAATAATTGGTAATTAAATGTTTCGTTTAAATGAATTCTCGTTTAAAAAGTACGCTTTAAAATTTAAAACATCAAATATATGCCTTTAAAATTATACGTAGTTATATATATAAGATAGATATAAATGTGTATATAAAAATTACGAATTTGCTTGTTATATTAAATGAAGAAAATTGTCTGTCAACATACACATTTTGTTCAATATAAAATGTTTAAAATTTATATGTTAGCATAAAAGAATTGATTTTCTTGTTTGTTTTTTTTTTAGTCTACAATATTTAAAAGTTTTCTTGTTTTTAGCGACGTTGCTTTCGTAGTTGTTGTTCTTGTTGTTGTTTGTTGTTGATGTTATTTTTTGACATCTGTATGCCATATAGCCACATGCACTTATATGCAAATATGCATATATAAAATACATGCGGTATATAACTATATATATGTTGTCAAATTATAGAAATGCAGCAAAACTTTCTTTGTTTTTGTTTTTCTCTTAGTTTTGTTTGAATGGGAAACACAACAACGTGGAAATTTGTATCAGATCGGGTCTATGGCAAAAATTAAAAAGTTCATATGGTGTACTGCGGTTGTTGTTGCTTTGTTTGCTTGATATTGTTTCTGATTTTTTACTGGCCAGCCTCTTTGTGGCTCGGCTCTACTTAGAACTGCTGATAGTTGTTGCTATTGTTCTTGTTTTGATGGTAATTACTCGACGTGTTGTTATTGTAATAATTGTTTTGAGCACTATTTTGTTTGTTGTATTTACCATAACCGTAGTCATATCCATTATAGTAGCCGCCGGCATAGTAGTCGCCATAACCACCGGCACCATATCCGCCGTAGCCGCCGTATCCCGAGTAGGAACCCTGTCCGTCCCACTGGTTGTTGTAGCCTAAACCATAATAACAAGGTATTACAACGCAAGTTCATGGAATGGGTTGACTCCTTCTTTCGGGGAGTTGTACTAACCACCACGTCCTCCGTAGCCACCGCGTCCGCCTCGCATTCCACCGCGAGGTCCACCACGCATACCGCCCATCATCTGGTTCTCTGGCTTGGGCGTTGCCCGCTTAACATCGACCTCCTTGCCGGCGATCTTCTGTTTGGGCGTCTTCAGCAGATCCGTGACCACCTGCTCCGAATCGAAGGTGATGAAGCAGAATCCCTTGCGCTGCGACTTTTGCTTGTCGAATGGCATCTCAACCTCAACGATCTTTAAAAAGTATTATTATATGGATGAGTATGGCTTCCAAAGAGGGTTTAAGGATATACTTACGTTGCCAAACTGTCCGAAGTAGGTTTTGATTTCCTCATCGCTAATCTCTGTGGTCAGACCACCGACAAAGATCTTGCCGTGGCGGGCCTTGGCCTTTTTGGGGTCGACTTTCTTGCTGTTGATTATGTGCTCATCGGCGGCGCTGACCTTGTCAATGGCCTCGGTGCTTGTGAACACGATGAAGGCGAATCCTCGGGAGCGACCGGTCTGGGGATCTGTCTTGACATTAATGCTCTCGATCTCGCCATATTTGCCGAAGTGATCGCGCAGTTCCTCTAAAGAAAGAAGAAAATAAAGAATGTGAGTTAAGATTGTAAAAAAAAAAACTATTACTATTTAATACTCACTCTCCGTGGTTTCCCAGCTCAGACCGCCAACAAACAGTTTTCTGCGAAAAGTCAAAGATAAATTGGTTAGTTTTATGGTATCAAAGTTTCATCAACATCTACGGGGGAACTTCTTGGAGGGTTGAGGGAATAAAGGGAATCAGGCACGAAAATAGGTTGTGTTTAATGCGCGAGGCAAATACTTTCTTCATTTACTTTAAATTTCTCTTCTCTTACTGTTTTTCGTATTGGCTGCAAAAGAATTGATGACAGAGCAAGAATACAAAACGAATAAAAAAAACTCACCAAATTTGAAGTGAAAAATTGCTTTAGTTACTGTATTGCAATTAAAGAATTGATCGGATAGTGTCAAAAAACTTGCAAACTCGGATATGAGCGAAAGAGTTCGAGGAGCGAGCGAGCGATCGATCGAGACACAAAACAAGCGAAAGATATAGATATATATAATATATAGATATGCAAGAGTGAATTATTTAGATTTTGGTTTTTGGGTATACTTATAATTTCTGTTTTGTACAATTAACAGTTAACAATTAGTCTTTATTTAATAGGATGAGAAAAATGCAAAGGTTTTTATGCTGGATTGTGGTTGGTTTTACTTTTCTTTATTTTTCTGTTCATTTTATTTTTTATAAAAAAGAGTGTTAAAAAAATATGCATTGACACTTATGATTTACTGTGATGTACGTTACTCATATAAATTTCTGGATTTTTGGAAAGATATCTCAGCGTTCTCGGCGGATTCCCGGCAAATTTGGAACAGTCTCGTCTCACGGCGGCGGAATTTCGATTGCAATTTAGTGATTGTGCGTCATTTTTTGCGGCAATTCATTACGTTACATTCGTTCTTTGTGTTTCTTTCATCGGGCGATATAATATAGATTTTGTTAGCTTCTTAAAAACAAACGAAAAAACTGCGAGTCTCTATTTCACTCGGTCTCTCTCTGTCTCCGATTACTTGGTACTTTTTTTTGTTGGGTAATAATTTACAAGTTATACGTTAAGATACAATACAATATATACTCGTATACAGTTTACATATGGATCCAATTTAAATCGAGATAATTTGTTGATAATTTTGTGTGTCGATAGTTTCTATATATTGGCTGACTGACTGATTGATTGTTTTAGTTTTGGTTAGATAAATACCATCAGCATCAGTATCGGCGGAGCGGAGACTTTTGGAGACTGGAGTGTGGAGAGGGTTGGTATCCACCAAGTCCGCCGAATCCGTTACCCTCTTGCCGGGGGCAGGAATACGAATCCAAATCCAAATCCGATTCCGAATCCAAATCCGACATGGGCATAGCTTATAACCCTGGCCATTTCACCTTTCTCAAAACCTGCCGGAGAGGAACAAGGTTAGTTCGCTCACAAGACAACAGGATAAGCTATGATTTTGGATTTAATTTCTCGATTCCATCATCCTTCTATCCTCTGGGGATTCTCCATCTACTTCAGCGGTGGTTTCGTATTTTCGTTTTAATGTACAGCATCGTGTGACTTAAGATTAAACTTAGACGTTAAATGATCAGTAGGATGGGCAAATGAAGTGTATGCTAGACCTAAAAACAAAACCAAGGGGCAAAAACTGAGGGCCAACGTTATTTTCTTTTTTTTATCCTATAACAATTTTATCACGCAGCAAAGTACATTTTTGTTTTAAGTTACTTTTTGTTTTGGCGCCTTGGCAACTCTTTAATGACGCCGGCTGTCGCTCTCCGATTGTAAGAGAGGGAAGAGATGGCGAGAGGGAGCGCGAACGAACGAAGCCGGCAAGCAAAAGAGAATAAGTGAAAACTGCAAAACACGCACACATACACAACAACGGACGTTAGTATGTATGCATGTATGCGGCAGCCATTTTGGGTACAGAACTGGAAGAGCACAAAATAACAACGAACAGCCGAACAAAAGAGTAATGCGAATAAAAAGAAATACTTTGGCAAATACAAACATAACTTTTTTCCAACTTTTTTTATTCTTGTTTTTTTTTTTTGCAAGTGAAAGGCAACCGTATGTTTCTCTGCGTGTGTGTGTGTGTCTGGGGCAACGTGGGTACCGAACATAACCTCACAAAGGGGGCCAAATGTGCTCCAAACTAAAGAAAACCCATGTTTTCGGTGCAGAAAAATGTGTGCGCAGAGGAGAACGGTGAAAACTTTCCATGTTTCCCGACGCTATGATGATGCATTTTCCCGAAGATTCTATTAATATGACTGAAGTACAGTCGCACCTACACCACACACACACACGCCACAAGCGAGAGCGAGAGAAAACACAAAAGGGGTCAGACTTCCCCCCGCAAGGCCCCGTAAACCCCATTCAACTTCGACCAACGACGTTAGCTTCACATTTACGTAACAGAATGGGCAGTATATATGTACATATATAGGAAAAAATCTGGGGGGCACATGATCATAAGCCCGCCGTAAAAAAAAAACGAAAAGACGTGCTCCCCGGATAATGCACATACCTGTCGTCGTCGCGCTGGCCGGATGCTCCCGATTGGTTGTCTGAGCTGCCGTTGGTGGAGCCGGCGGCGGCCCCATCCCCGTTTTCAGATCCCGGACCGTCGGCGGTCACGTCCTTGGTGAAGTCCTCGCCGTTCATCTCGCTGTCCACTTGCTGCTTGTCGGCCATTGTGTGTATGTTTTCGTTTGGGTTACTAAGTTCGGGGGCTAAACAGCACGATTTTCGGTTAATCTACGCAGAGCCGTATATTTTTTACACACTCGCCAAAAAGTCGCGCGAACGAATGACGACCGGAAAATGACAAATGCAAGCGACAGCGTGTGTATATGGGTGCGGCGTTGCCAGCTAGTTGTGTTGCCAAAACCGATTATTTGGTATTATTTTCGTAAATAACATGCTGATCTACTTGCACTACCTGCAGAAAAATATCTTAGCCGTTGTACGGCTTTTTATTGGCATTGTAGGCCATAATCCACCCCTAAATTGTCATTACATGAAGTTTACAGGGGCGCGTGACCGGTAATTTTGCGATCTGGCAGCGCTGTTTTCAGCAGTGTGCACACAACCAAGACTGCCGATATCCAAAAATACCAAAACACAAAAATACTAAACCATTTAGCCAATTAAAAAATAAATATAATAAAACCTTCACCAAAATAATGCTATTTTTTGCTTTTTTTAGGCAATATATTTTTAGGCGCATTAGAATTTCTTTGAACTTTTTACTTACAGTGATCATATATTTCATTAAACTTAATAAAAATTTCGAGGAATACCCCGAGCATAAATAAAATCCGCAGAAAATACCAATTTCGCCAGCCTCCAAAACAGTGTGTACACACCCGCCGCAAAGCCGCCATCATTCACACACCAACACACGCGAATAGCAACCGAGAATAAAACGCTGCAGAGGCAAAAAAAAAAAGAGGAACGAACGTCGGTTCTCTTCTCGATTCAACACACTTGTCCAATTTCATAGCGTTTGCGATTATTTTCTATTCAAAAGCCACAACCTATGCATCGTAACTTAATTCAGCCACAACTGTGATCGCCAAACATCGGAAAATAACAAAAAGCACGTCAAGAATTGCCAAGTTAGTTATTTTTAAAAAGAAAAAAAAGTTGCAACAAAGTAGACTAGTGTGCGAGTGTGTGTGTGTTTTGTGTGCAGTTTGCAATTTTGTATTATATTTTACAAGTTTTGCCACTGATTTTTAAAACATAAATACCGCATAATTTCAGCGCTCCACTGAAAAATCCACCTCCCCCGCCCCCCGCAGGAAGATAACAAAGAAAAGTGCTACAAAAGTTGCCGATTTTTTCGGCGAATTAAAATCCAAAAGCAATACACATTGTGCATTACAACAAAAAGATTGGAGGAATATCGCTGAAAAGGTGAGCCGGCGGCGGCCTCGTGTGCGCGGTCTAGAAAAACTGGCATTTTCCATTTTCAAATTGGGGTGGCGCATAAGAAAAACACAAAAAAATTAGAAAAATGCCCACAGGGCGTTTTTTTTTTTTTTTTGCAAGGCCCTCTAAATTTTGTTTCCATTTTAGCGGCTTTTTTTTATTGCTTGTGCATAACCTAAAAAAAGTAAGCAAAATTTTGTTTTTGTAAATTTTTGTTTAAATGATATCGCTTTCTTTGTTCTTCCTACACACGCGGTTCGCTAGCAGAGAGAGATGGAAAGAGAGCCAGAGAGAGTGGCGCGTTCGTAACCGTGTGTGTGTGCCGCAACTCTTTGTGCATTATTTGTTTTATCGGCAAATATTTATAGCTAAAAGTGGTAAAGAACGTATACAAACTACTTGATATAAATCATTTAATGGTATTCTAAGACTAAATCTGATTTAAGGCGAATCCCCGCCTTCTGGCAAAGTTGGAGTTTTACAAAAGCGGCGCCACAACCTTGAAGCCTGAACATAACCTCAATTTAATTCATGCTCCCCGCTTGGCGGCTTCGTTTTCGTTCTTAAGGCATGAGGTCATTTACTTACACACACACAGATGTGAATCCTTTAAGTCAGGATCGCAGGTATAAAACTGAAAGCACGTGCAGGGTTAAATGTGCTGCGACAACAAAACAGAATGAAACTTCGGGTGACAGCTGCACTACACTACATTTTCCCCTATTTCGCATGTGCAAATGTGTGTGGGGACAAAAAGTGGGTCAAACTGCATCGCGCTGCGTCTTTTTTTATGTGCACTGCGGTAAACTGAGCTCCTGAATAGTTGACCCCTTATCCTTTTTCCCAGTGAAACCCTAGATCCTCGTAAAAAACACAGCGGGGGTCAGAGTTGTGGGAAAATTTACATGTCTTTCAATTTTAAAATGCTAATAGTTTAGATAGATTTTACATTATCATTCAGTTGTGTATGTATACAGAATAGGCTTGCTAAAATAATTGTTCGTTATCAGCATGGCTTAAGTCGATGATTCATTTAATAGATTTCGTTACCCAAAAAAATTCATCATATTTTTCGTTTGTTGAAGATTAGGAAAATGTAGTGACTCAGAAGTAATTCTTTCGCTTTGCCCTTTGGTGTTAAAAAGTGTGTAAAGTAAAACGACACCAGTGTCAAAGATCTCGCCTTATTCACACCCCTTAAACCATCTTTTAAGCCTATACATATCCAAGTAACCTTATGCTGTGCTTTTAACAATATAATTTTGAGAAGTTGACACCGAGTTCCCATCGATTATACTTTGCCAGTTTTTCAAATCTTGAAACCCAACAGAAATTCTATATAGTTCTTACTTATGTAAAGTGCCGTTATATTTTTTGAACTGTTTCGCAGACGTTTTAATCCCACACTCGAGTCCAAACAATCGACATCGATTAGCCAAACGTGTCGAGAAGTCGGGAAAGCAGCTTAACAGGACCAGGAATTGAACCAGGAAACCGAGAACCGGAGTCGAGAAGCCCGTAGTTCAGTGCAGGAAGAACCAATCGCCCGCTATGGTCATGGATGCGACCCAATCGCAGCAGCCTTCGCCGCAGTCGGTGGGACGCGAGTTTGTCCGCCAGTACTACACGCTGCTGAACAAGGCGCCCAACCACTTGCACCGCTTCTATAACAACAGCTCGTCGTACATCCATGGGGAGTCCAAGCTGGTGGTGGGTCAGCGGGAGATCCACAACCGTATCCAGCAGCTGAACTTCAACGATTGCCATGCGAAGATCAGCCAGGTGGACGCCCAGGCCACGTTGGGAAACGGTGTGGTGGTCCAGGTCATCGGAGAGCTGTCCAACGATGGTCAACCGATGAGGCGGTTCACCCAGACGTTCGTTCTGGCCGCCCAGTCGCCGAAGAAGTACTACGTGCACAACGACATCTTCCGCTATCAGGACCTGTACAACGAGGACGAGCAGGATGGCGAGTCGCGATCGGAGAACGATGAGGAGCACGACGTTCAGGTTGTGGGCGGTACTGTGGACCAAGCCGTTCAGGTGGCCGGCGATGTGGTTGCTCAACAGCCGCAGCAACAGCAGGCGCCTCCGCAACCCCAGGCCCAGGTGGTTGTGCCCCAGCAGGTGGCTCCTGTTGCGGCCGGCGGAGCTGCCCCGCAGCAGATCTTCTACCCATTGCCAGCGGGTGCTGCTGCCGGACGTCCCGTGGCTGTTTTGCCACCGGCTCCGCAGGCCGCGGCGGTTCCTCTGCCCGCGCAGTTCACCGTGCCGCCACAACAGCCTATCCAGAATGGCGTTGTGTCGCACGAGGAGTTGCAGCAGCAGCAGCAGGTGCTGGTCCCGCCCAGCGTGTCGCCTCTGGTGCAGCAGCAGCAGCAGCCGAGCGGTACTCCGGTGTTGCCCATTGTTCCAGTGCCAAGTGCGGGCTTCCAGCAATCGCCACTGGTGGCACCACAGCTCATCCAGCAGCAGCAGCAGCCTCCACAGCTGCCTCCGCAGCAACAGCAGCAGCAGCAAACTATTCAGCAGCAGCCGTTGCAACAGCAGCAGCAGCCACCTCAGCAAGAACCCGAGGAAGTCGAGGTGCCGCCGCGACAGCTGCAGAAGCCGCCCACGCCCGTCGACGACTTCAAGACCATCCACGAGCAGCAACAGCAGGAGAAGTACGAGGCCGCCAAGCAGCAGCAGAACGAGCCAAAGACTTATGCGAATCTGTTCAAGTCCACGTCCTCCTCGCCCAGCGGCTTTGTGAACGCCGCCCTGCAGCAGCAGCAGCAACTCCAGCAGCAGCAGCAGCAACAACAGCAGTCGATCAGCAGCAACACCTACAGCTCGTCGACTGGAAACTCGGGCAGCGGCAATGGCGGTCAGGTTAGCTACTCGACCACCGCCTCGTCCTACAACAACAGCAACGGCAACTCGAGGCTGGACAACGGCGGTCCGCTGCCGCAGCGCAACAACTCGATCCGGAACAACAAGGGTGGTGAGTCTGCAAAACCTCCCTTAACTTTTCAGGGTTCATTAACCTTTTGCTCGACTTCGTATAGAATGTACTTTGACTTCGAACTCGATCATATTTCAAGAGATAAAACATTTTTTTGTATTTAATTTCTCAAAGCTGTTTTCGAAAGTATCTGTTTACATTAAGGAATTTTATTTAAACCCATCAATTCTTTTTATTTATTTTTGTTTAGACTTTGAGCAGCGCCGCTCGAGCAACACTCAGCAGTTTGGTGATAATCAGCAGCTGTTCCTCGGAAACATACCGCATCACGCCAGCGAGGATGATCTGCGCGATCTATTCTCGCGTTTCGGAAATGTCCTGGAACTGCGCATCCTGTCCAAGGCCGGCAACAAAGTGCCACCGGGCATGCGCAGTCCATTGAACTACGGCTTCATTACCTACGACGATCCCGAGGCGGTGCAAAAGTGCCTAGCCAATTGCGTAAGTAGAGCAGTTTAAAACTACCTCTTTCTTTCATTTTTATCCAGGCATAATGGATAAGAGAAGGGTAATCAGTTTCAGTAGACCTTGAGCTTGGCAAATTGGTGATTAATGGTATTTTCCTCATTTCATAGCCCCTGTACTTCCCGGAGAACTCACCTGATGGCCAGAAGTTGAATGTGGAGGAGAAGAAGCCGCGCGTTCGCAACGACATGGTGCCACGCCAGCCGATCGGCGGCAACAACCTCAACAACAACATGGGGCGCTTGGGCGGCAACAACGGACCGCAGTCGCGTCCGATGGGCAACAACAATGGCAGCGGCGGCGGTATGATGCGTAACAACGCCGGCGGCAACAATCTCCGCCAAGGAGGCGGCGGTGGAGGCGGAAACGGAGCTCCCCGCTTGGGCGGCGGCGGCGGTGGGTTCGGACAGCGCCAGGATAATCGCACCGGCGGCGGCAACAACCAGTCCAACGGACCGCTGCGCGGAGCCGGAAATGGACAGAGCGGTAGTGGCAACTACGGACGTCGCTAAAGGAGTTCCTCAGCACGACATCAGCAAAAGCAAAAAGCATCAACAACAACAGCAGCAGCAGCAGCAGTAGTAGCCACAAAAATAAGAACAGCAAGAACCCAACGTTAAGAACATCGACTTCTTCCACAATGCAATCAATCAATTAACATTCAAGAACATCTCATGCAATTAAACACACAAAGACACACGCAAATCCACCAACATAAAAGTAGTTGGAGCAACAAAAACTGTCAACTGTCCTTTAAATGTTCCTGAGCGCAACTCGGGGTGTCGAGCTAAAACAAAACAAAACAATGTGTAAAAGCTAAGGTCTTGAGTCTCTCCTTAGTTTAATTGCGTTTGGCTCGCTTTTTCCAGCCAGTTCGTGCCAAAAGATACCGAAATTCTGTGCAAATCTCTGTTGTGTATCCAAAAAGAAAGCTTCAGCTCGTCAACTGCTACTCTCTACCACCCACCCCCTCACGGAATCACCTTCACCTTGAAATACGTGTATTATGTTTAAGTCTCAACCAAACACACCCATTAGATAAACACTCATCGAACAAACACAAACAGACGGAAGACACACTCACTTACCCATCTTAGCATAAATGTAAACTTTAATTTCAACTATTGTTTGGCAAACTACCTTCAACATGAATCTAACTTAAGTTCGCAGGATGAGAGAAATTGGTTTTAAAATGAATGAAAGGAGCAATGCAACACATTTTCGTTTGATTTATCATTGAATAACCACAATTACTTAAGCTAAATAAAACAAGAAATTAAAAGGGAAAACTTAAACAACTTAGCTAAAGTTATAAACAGAAAACAAAACAAAAAAAAAAAAAGAACAAAAAAATGAAAAACCTTTGTAAAATGCAATTAAAAAGAGCAAAAGAAAGACTTGAAAAATAATATAAAAAATACAAAAAAAAAAATGTAATGAAGAAATGGTAACACGAGAAAAATGTAAGGCGCGGTAAAGCAAGCTACAATAAGATCAAGCAAAAACACACAAGAACACAAACCTCTTTAAAAAAACATTGAAAATGAAACGAAAATCAATTCAGCACCCAGCCGCAGGAATGAAAAGTGCGGAAAATGAAAAGCAAAACGCATCAACGTCGACGTTCAGCGCCCCAAAAGTCCGCCGCATTTTAGAGCCTGTAAACCTTTTGCTACTTAAATCTAATTTGCAGACACTGACACATTTAACTAGCTAGTCTATATAGGGAATCGAATGATGTTGAGATGGAGAGCTTGTAAGAGGGCGAATGCGGTGCCGGCGCCGCAGCGGGGGCGTGGTTGATGCAATCGATGAGGGGCGGATGAACTGTGTTTTCGCTTTTTTTTATTTTCGTTCTGTGTAATGAGTTCAAGGTCGTAAACCAAACTAAGTCAAGCAACTTAAACGATTTGGTGTTTCCAACGCAGTTGTGAACTAAAATTTAGTACATATTTTTTAAATAAAATCAAGAAAAGCCCAAAAAAAATAAGAGAGATGAGAACCATATAAAACACAAAACTTATTATAATAGTTGGAAGACGAAACACAAGCTACTAACATTTTTCTCAAGGTAAAACAAGCAAAACATGTAACAAAAAATATATACAAATATATATATATAAATAAAACAAAACTCATATAATTTAATGTTAACTTTTAGACTTACCAGAAATCTAAATATACATATATATATTTATATAACTGCTGCAGCAAAAGAGGAAGAGAAGGCAGGAAAGCGAGGAGGGGAACTAAAAACATTTGAAATCGTGTAAGATTCTTTTGAGTTTTGTAGCAGGCGTCCGAATATTTGCCCAAGTTATTCTTGTTTTGTTAAAGCTTAAATACTTTTGATTCGTTGGAAGCATATCATTTGTTTTTGTTGGTCGACGCCTGCTCTAGAGAATCAATTGCTAAATCAATTAATTTCTACAACTATTTCTAGAACCCACACAACAAACCACTCACGTTTGCAAGCCAGACATTTTTAGCACTGTGACGGAGTCTAAAGCAATTTTAGTACATTTTTTGTAAAACGAAAATGTTAGTGTTCAAATCTTAGCTCAACGATCAGTGCTGGAAGTGATTCGTTAGCATCAACAACAAAAAAAACAGCATCAAAACAATACAATACAAATCAGAGGTACTAACTAATTATATGTAAGCATATAGAAAAAAACAAAAAAATGTCATGCTCATTTCTTAACCGAGAAAATCACATTACTGCAGTTTGTAAAGAGTAAAGAAAAACACTTAATTATAATTTAATTTATATGTATACAACTACAAAATAATTATAATAATAAAAACAACCACAAAGATTCATCGTGTTTACCAGAAAACTTATGATTTGTTTTATTTATGTTTGCCATCTTCTTGTCAAGAATTTAATTATCTTATCGAACTGATTGATTTTAGTTTCTGGTAAATGCGATTGCGATTACTCCTGAAAAACACCAATAACTCCTAGATAAGACATCTGAAAAGAAAAAAACACCACAGATACGAGGATGAGAAGTTTATTTTACCTATCAAGGCGATTCCTGCGACTGAATCCGATTTCCATTGCCTTTGTGTTGAAACAACTGAGCATTCAGCATTTAAATGAAATTGATGCGCACAAAGCTAAGCAATTGAAAGCAATTCGCATAACTTTAATCAATCACAGCCCAGTCGAAAGAATTTCCACTTTCCAATCCCAAGTCTCAGACATAATTCAGTGGTGCGTTTTATAGCGTTTCAGATATAAAACATTACGCAAATCAATTCACTCATGCAATACTTTAAATGAAAACAAAAAAAAAAAACAACAGAAATAGTATAAATAAAGAACAAGAGTTTACGATTTTAAGTCTCAAAAATTCCCGTGTGCTTTATTTTTCTTTTTCTCGAAGGAATCGGATGTAAATCGTTAAATATCGAAAGTAACATTAGCAATGGATTACGAGCAAACGTAGATCGAGTTCTCATAATTTTAGATGCCTGCAAAAGATAATGGGATAATTTAAAAAACACTTTTCAAATCATTATTAAGATAACGTACCGTAGGCTGGTGATGCAGCTCCATTTTCAACCTTCGGGTTCATTAACTGTGGCTGAGCTGGCTTGAAGATCTGGCAGTCCTCGGTGGTTGACTTCTTAGTTGTCCCGGATCCAGTGCCCAATCCTACTGTCGATCCTCCATCTGCATCACCCCTGGCTCCCATGTCTAACGTGGCACTCGCAGTTGACGCCTGGATGCACTTGCAATCGTTGGTGGGACCAGGACCATCGGCGGTCGAAGTCTGGGCGTGTTTGTGCCCAGCCTTTGGTGGCCACTCGCGGACCTTGCTGGGTTTCCACTCGTGGTTAGCATATTTCCCAGGTTTCGGGAAAACATCTGGTCCGTATCCGGAATGAATGTTTAATGGTGGCTGCGGCTGATAGTGACGATTTGGATTGTAAGTGCCGTAGTGAGCGGTGTTCACCGGTTTCACTACAGATGTCACATAGGAAGCCCAACCATTGATGAACGCCGATGGTGGCAGGAGGGCTTGTGCCAGGTACGGATTGTAGCTAGTGCTGCAGCTGAAGCTGTCCATTGAGGACGGAAGAGGAGCCATGTAGCGGTCACGCACCGATCCGCTGATGGGGAAATGGGGGCGCTTGCTGGGATCCGGTTTCTGGGTGGACCTCTTTACCTCCACCGTGTTCAATTTGATCGAGTGCTTGACTTGAGCTGGAGTAAAATAATAATTATTGTGAATGTTTACATTTTTACCAACCCACCTAAGGCCCGTTCGGCATAGACGGGATCCTCAAACTCCACGAATCCGTATCCTCGCTTTCGACCTGTATCCTTGTCCATTAGCAATTTTACGGTGGTAACCCCTCCGAACTGCGAAAAGTACTCGCGAACGTTTTCCTCATCGTGACAATCCTTGAGACCGCCCAAAAAAATTTTGTTTGATACGACTCCCCCGTTTCCAAGTCCACCAATTTCGGGAATTATGCCACTTCCTCCTGGCTTGAAGAACTCGTGACGTGGCAGGGCACGCTTGGTCTCCACAGCTCTTAAAAAGAAATAATTATTAGGATATCTATATGTTAAACTAATTAAGGATCTACTATTTCAAATGAGATAAATTAAAAAGGTGATCTTTAGGAATCTTACTTGTTATCAACGTTGTGTGGCCGAGCCCTCTGGACATTTTCAACGGATCCAGGCTCGACATAGGTCACGAACCCGAATCCCCTGGAGTGACTGGTCACCGGATCTCGCATTACAACAGCATCGGCCACAGTTCCGAACTGCTGGAAGAAACTACGCAAGGTCTCAGCGGTCGTTTGGACAGATAATCCTCCAATGAATATCTTGCGCATGTGCTCGTCATCTTCACCTCCACTGATAGGTTTCGCAGTAGACACGTTGTGGTTCCGGACTATGCACTGTTTTGAAAATGTGAGGATTTTTTAAACCTTGATTTTACAAACTCCTAAAAGATTCTACCTCTTGCTGGCAGGAATGAGTTGCACTATTATCCGCGTCCATGTTGGTCGGTGATGCAGCAAAGAAATAAAATCGGACAGCGTTTAAATGACAGTAGCCGAGTTAAAGTCGTTCGAACGTCAAAATAAATTGTTAAGTCATTAAATGCAACCTTGCAATAGTTTTTGAACTATGACCTATCGTACCAGGGCTAAAATATGATTGTCACTCACATTCAGGAAAACAAAGCATAATTCGGCAAACGCTTTATAACTTCATACCTAAAGCAAATAAAGCTCTGCTCACCAAAAAAGTCGATTACACTTTCTGTGGATATCCTCCCAGCAATTAATAACAAATTTGTTTCATTTTGGCATACGTTTTTTATTGGAAAATTCAGAAATAAAAGTGCTGTTAGTAAAATACCGATTAGTTACCTGCACTTACCTCCGAGTTCGAACCAACTGAGTCGGAACCGACACCAACCAAAGTCCAAAGCGAGTCCGAGCGTCCGCTCTTTCGGCTACAAATTAGAACTTATATTTGGGGGAAACGAACCGGTGCGGATCGCAGCGCAGATTTCGTATCCGGCCCGGGAGCATCCGTCCGTGGCCCGGCCAGTCTTGCAAAGAAATAGGCAGTGCATTAGTACGCGGTTTTCCCCGAGGGTTATTTGGGGGACTCTAATGACGGTAACTATCCCTGCCCGCTACCCTGTCGATCGGAACCCACTGGGTTCTCTAGTTATCGCCCCGGATTGTGCTGCTGCTTCTGCTCCTTTTCGCGAGGATCTTGAGATCTGGCTCCTGTGATCGTTTCTGGTGGGTAACAGTGGTTAGGATTTTATTTAGCTTGTATCTTGTCGCTTTTGTTTCTCTCTCGTAACGAACTAATTACAGAACATTAAGATTTTTATGGTGGTTTTTTTCTGGCTTAGCGTAGCATCTACTTCTTAGTGGCTAACAGAGTTGGTATGTTTCGTGTTTATAGATTTTGCTTGCTAGGACACAGCGCGGCATTCGCCATTCAGGAATTACGATCTCTTTTCATTTTTCATTGCAATAAATTATAATATAAAAGTTCTTACATGTACAAAAACGTGATTACAAAATACGGTTCTATTTGATTTCTTACAATTCGCTGGATCGCTATTAAATAAAACCAATTGAAAATACAATCTAGCTGTGGGCCAACCCGACATGATAAAGTTCAAGGTACTCTACCTTCAAAACACCCTGTTTGCAACTGGTTTTCTCAATGAGAATCCGTTTCGTCGCTCAAATTGTTTCTATGGTAGTCAATTTTATAAAATAAAATTAGTTTAATTTATATTTTGTTGGTTGGTTTCTTTTCTTTTCTTTTCGTTTGTTTTCTTTTTTGTTATCATCATAGTTAAAACTAAGCGTTCAGGGTTCTTAGCATCCTAAACATGAATTGATCAGCGAATTAATGTTTACAAAAAGAGAGACAGCAGCAGTCAAACTGTGGGACAATTGGCGTCGGTTCGTTTCGCTTTTTGCTGATTTGCTTTACGAAGTTGTTTTTGATTTGGCCCGCAGGTTTTGGGTGCTGGCCCGAAAACTGATTGCTTGCACTTGCACACACACTCGGCCTGGTTTCTGCTTCTCGATCTGGGTTTCTTGGGTCTGATCTTGTCTGCCTGGTCTGACACACACCTGCTACTGATTGCCTGCCTGTGCCTGAGACTTTCATTTGGATTGTGCTTGTGCTTGTGCCTCTGCTTCTGCTTCTCTGCCTGCCTAGACTGCCTGTTTGTCGTCTAGCTTGAACTGACTCTCTCTCTATGTGTGTTTACCTAGTTGCGAAAAAGGAGAAAATTTTGCATTAGCTTCGATTCGATCCGATTCAGATTGATTGTTTTGATTGGCTTCCAACTAGCTGCCAACAACGACCAAAGATCCGAGCGTTTTAAAATATTCGATGGAATGTAATGGAACTTGGGTCCATTATGTGCATATATTTACCTCGTCTAGTAACGTCTATTGCCGCCGCCCATGTTTCCACCCTGGCCGCCTCCCGAATTGTAGTTGTTGCCACCGAAGCCCTGGCCGCCACCCTGGTTTCCTGTAAGAAATAGAATTGTGATATGATTGAGTTTAATAATTCTTATAATATGAGAAAGCAAGACAAAAATGGTAGTAGCCAAAAGCATTACCAAATTTGGTTTTTATACATACATATATTTAAATACAGTTCTAGGCCAAAAAGAGTATGAAAAAAGTGTAAAAATTATTATAAATTACCTTTGTTGAAACCACCGCCGCCTCCACTTCCACCTTGGCTGTACGGCGCCGGGCGGTTGTTGCCAAAGTTGTTGTTGCGCTGCGGACCGCCGCCGTAGCTCTGCTGGTAGTCGTTTCCGAAGCCACCGCCTCCGCCATTACCGCCCCAGCTACCGTTGCTGTTTCCACCGCCGTAGCCGCCTCCGCTGCCACCGTTGTTCCAGCCGCCGTTGCCGCCACCCTGGTTGTTCCACGGACCACCGCCGCCACCGCCCTGCTGGTTCCAGCCGCCTTGGCCGCCACCCTGGCCGCCGCCGAAGTTACCGCCGCTGTTGCCGAAGCCGCCGCCTCCGGCTCCACCCCAGTTGCCGCCACCGTTTTGTCGGCTCTGGCCTCCCCAACCGCCACCGCCGCCTCCCTGTCCGCGATCACCCTGACCACCGCGTCCGCCAGGCCGAGGGCCTCCTCGTCCTCCCTGGCCACCGCCTCCTCCGCCACCACCACCGCCGCCCTGGCGGTCCATATCCTGCTTGGCAATAGCCTTCTTGACATCGAGGCTCTTGTTCTTGATAGTGTGATTCTTCTGGAGGATGATCTTGTCGACGGGATCGTAGTCATCGAACTCAATGAAGGCGAACCCGCGCTTCTTGCCCGTATCCTTGTCGGAAACGATGTTCACGCCCACAATCTGACCAAAGTCCTTAAAGTACTCGCGCAGGCACTCCTCATCGTGATCGTCACGTAGTCCGCCCACAAAGAGCTTCTTCACAGTAGCCCCTGCATTTGGAGCATCGATCTCCTGGCGCGGCACAGCCCTCTTGGGCTCGACGGTGCGTCCATCGATCTTGTGCGGGCGCGCATTCTGGGCATTGTCGATCATGTAGGACTGGGAGTACGTAATGAACCCGAAACCGCGAGAACGCTTCGTCTTGGGATCCTTCATCACCACCACATCCACAATGTTGCCCCATTTCTCGAAGTGAGACTTCAGACTGTCGTCTGTGGTGCGGTAGTCCAAGCCGCCGATGAAAAGTTTGCGCAGCTGCTCTGGCTCGGTGATCTGCGGGTGAAATTAAATGGAATTCGGGTTCATTAAAATAACAAATGAAAAGGCAATAAATTGGCTTGTATCCGAATTCATACATTGTAACGCCCTCATTTTAAATTCCGCAGTCGAAAAAAAAATTCCAGACAACTTTGCATTGCTCGGTATAAATTAGCGTTTGAAAATACATGATCGCAATTAAATTCAGAGCAGAGAAGAAATAGCTAAACTAAGTAATATCAACTTAATGAAAACTTTCCTTAAAAGTTCGCAACTTAAATATTGGGCAAGTTAAAAAATTACTCATTTTCTTGTTATTAAGAAATCAGAAGATAAATAATATTTAATCAATTACCCAACTGAGTCATCCAGAAAAAAAATTATCATTAAAAGGAATTGTTTATGATAGGAATTGCGGTACCTGAATTAAAAACACGGGGCGAGAAAAACGCTGCCCGCCATTTTCTTTTTTACTATTTGCACCGCCATGACAGCTCGTGCGTGTGTGCTTGTTTCGTTTTTTTTTTTTTATTAATGCACAGCCGGTATCGTCTTTTGTTAATTGATTATAAACATAATTCACCGAAAAAGGGTCATCAAACTTGTGAGGTGTCATTAACCGGCTGAATGCCAACAAAGATGAATGGTCCACTTAATCGCACCTATTCAATTGTCACCGAAAAAGCCGCGTTGCAATTTTGTCGGCGTCGACATTTTGCATACATAGTTTCTTTTGTTAACTCACCTCATCGCCATCATCGTAGTTTCCATTGGAGTCGTTTAAATCTGCCATTCTTGTGTTGTATGTGTGTAATACTCAGGTATCTGTTAAGTCCAGCACAATTTGTCAGTTTTTCACTCTTTCTCCAGCAGACGCCCGAAAATTAAAGTGTACAGCACGCACAATGGAAAATATAGCAATGTGACCAACTTGCAAATGTCCTAATATACCATATCGCGTTTCTGAATTTTGGAATGGGGAAATAAAACGATAGTAATATTACAAATTTAAAAATTTCTAAGAAAATATTATATATTAAATTATGATACATTTTAACATAGCATAGACATTATTAATATTATTTACATTCTTACAGCTTATAAAAAAACTTTATTATCACGGAAAGATATCGATCCCAAATTGTTGATTATTATTAAAAACCCTTGTTATTTCTGCTCATACTTCCATTTCATATCATTTTGTGGTTGTTACATTTATTTAAAGAAACAAACGTAGAACGAGAACTTGTTTATTATCAGAATCTAAATATAGAATTCTTAATCGTGGTGCTCCATAAAAGTATAACATTTTTAATAATACATATATAAATCGAGCTAAAAAAAAAAAAAAAAAATGAATACCCTTAATTTACTGCAAGTGCATTGCCCGCCTAAAACATCGATAAGCAAAAACAATCGTTCCATTCCACCTTTGATAACATTGCCAAACATCGTTGTCGTCTGTCACTTTCACTTCCGTTCGTGTCGAGTCGAAGCGTTTTTTTCGTGTGGAAAAGAAGCCAGAAAAAAGAGAGTGCGGAAAACGAGTAAATTGTGAATTTACCTTTAATATTCTTCAGTAAACGGTACGTGCTAGTGAATGTGATTAAAAAAGTAACGAAATTGAAACGCTAGGGCCTTCAAATTGTATTGATTATTTTTGCGAATATTCTGTACACCCGGTACTTTGCGTACGTGTGTGTGTGCAGAGATCTGTAAATGCTAGCCGCCATCTTGGCAGAACATATATACACACGCATGAGTCGAATATATTTTTCTTGGAAAGGACAGTCGAGCAAAATAGAAGCCGAAAAAATATACGTTCCTTCTAAGTTTTTTTTATATAAAATATTTCAGCGCCTGCTTGAGACACGTAAATATCTGTAATCATGGTGGGATCTCGAGTATACGTGGGCGGTTTGCCATACGGAGTGCGCGAGCGCGATTTGGAGCGCTTCTTCAAAGGTTACGGCCGTACTCGGGACATTCTCATCAAGAACGGTTACGGCTTCGTGGTGAGTAAATAAAACTAAAAACTTGAATAAATTGTTCAGCCGAACTTAGAATGCTCATGCAGATGTAGTATGCGATATAAAAAAGTGTGGTCTCATTTTGATATTTTAAAAAATAACAATGTTGAATAATAGGGTTAGTATTTCTATGAAATATGTACATATGTAGTATAACAAAAATTGTACAACTCTGTTAGAGCATTAAAAGCAAAAGCTGCGTGACTTCGTATTAAACCCATAATCAATAAACACTAATTAAATTTTCAGGAGTTTGAAGACTATCGTGATGCCGACGATGCCGTTTACGAACTGAATGGAAAAGAGCTGCTAGGCGAGCGGTAAGTTATTAAAACAAAAAGCCCGCGAAACGGAGTGACTCATTGGATTGTGCTCTATTTTTTGCAGCGTGGTTGTTGAACCCGCTAGAGGAACCGCTCGTGGCAGCAACCGCGACCGCTACGACGATCGATATGGTGGTCGGCGGGGAGGCGGGGGCGGTCGCTACAACGACAAGTAAGTAGAGACCTGAAGACCAAACTAAAGTAGCGACGATAACGTTCTCTAACTTTGTTTGCGTTGAAGTTTGCCCTAGAATTAGCATTGCCAAATTTTCGTTTAAAAAACCTCTTCACACAGATAAGACCAGTTTAGACCAGTTCGAGTTGTATAACATTTTTTAAATATTTTTAAATAACATTTAAACTGATGTCCTCTGTGTGGAAGGAACCTCAAAGACACTGACTTGCTGTTTATCTTATTATTTCCACGACGCTCCGATTTTCTATGCATATTATGATTTTCTTTCTTTGCACGATACCATTCCGCATAGTAATTAATTCGTTTGTTCTGTTACGCATAACCCGAGTGTAAATATGCATATGTTCGAATATTCACCATCACCGTTGATTTTTGTGATGGAGCAGCGGAAGCAGCAGCGCAGTGTCAATACTAATTAGCGAATCCATTCAATTATTCACCAGAAACAAAAATTCCAGATCATCCTCTCGTTATGGACCACCCTTGCGCACTGAGTACCGCCTGATTGTGGAGAATTTGTCCAGCCGCGTTAGCTGGCAGGTAAGTGAGCATGGATCGATGCATCGGGCTGTGGTCTCGATAATCACTGTAGCTTAGACTCGAGGAGTGTAGAAATAGCCCTAATAACAGCTAACCGATTGAAATGGATCACTATTGCACCCACTAATCAACCTACCCCCATCCTCCAATTAAGAAACCCCCAACCTTTCAAGCCCTGTTTTGATTTAGATTACTTTCCCGGTGTCCCCCAGTTTTTTTTTTGTTTAACTCCTCCACTCTGACTCCAGCTATCTTTAATCCGTAAATTTTGCCATAAGTTGTACAGTTGACCTAGTCTTAAGTAAAACGAAAACATAAGAAATACTGCTAAAACCCTGGTACTGATCGGTGTAATCTACCCACCATTATTTCTCTCGCACACACCAACCGAAACCGATAAAAAAAAAAGAGTTTGATGTGTTTTTGACTGAGAGATTCCCTCCTCGGCTTGGGCCGAAACTAAAACCGCACCGGGCACACGCAACCCGATAGAGAATCGAATTGAGTCTAATTGAAACGCCGTGAGAGAGACAAACTAGTCACCGGTTGAGAGTGTTTCCAAAAAAAACCGTGAAGTTGTGGAAGACAGAGAGACAGTCCCCCCAGAGCAGCCCCAGATTGGGTCCGATCTGCGATCTACGATCTGCGACCTTCGACCTACGACCTCCACGATGCGCCATCGCCGCCGCCTCATCCATCAGTCCGTTCCGAAAAGCAAAGAATAAGTTCGATCAGAATCGAACCCAATAAACACAAACAAAACAGAAAACGAAAAGCCTAAAACCCAGACGATGACGATGGACGATGATGAGCTGCCCGGGTCCAAAAGGCCAGCCCACGTATGCTGATATTTGAAAGGCGTTGGCTGGCCTCTTGCGTTAGGTATTTAACTCTCTGCTAAACAAACATTCACAATTTTAACTAAACAAAACAATATTATATAAAGAATTGTCAAATTCCTTATAGCCATTGTGAGTGTGAGGGCGCGAATCGAACAAATCGAGTGTGGTTAGAGATGAGAAGCTTGCTTGAGATGATGTGAGATGGTCTTGGCGACGATGTGATGAGAGATGAGCGCATTTGACGATGATCGATCGAAGACGATGACGATGCTGGTCGCGCATTAAATCAGCCAACTTTGGCTAGAGCCTCCGAACTTAGTCCTTCCCCCCAAAATCTTCTGGCTTACGGCTGCTGCGGCTCCGGCTCCGGCTTTCTGGCTTTTTTGGGTCCGGCTAACTGCTACCGGCTACCGGCTACGGCTCCGTCTGCGGCTGAGACTGAGACAACCGACTAGACAACCAACACAACCCGTTGGAGCAGCGAGAGCAGCGTCCCGAAAAGTATTTCTTATTTTTGCAGTTCGTTTGTGCGTGAGGCGCCGAAGCCGCTGGTTGTCCGCCGCTGGTTGCCCGGCTCCAAACTGCTCCAAATGCTCCACTCTCCGGCCCTCTGGTGGTGCGGTGGTTCTGGCTAGCGATGTCTGCTCTGATCTGATCTGACCTCCTGACTGTATCCGGTGTGTGGCTCCCTCCGAAACGAAAACGAAAAACCGCAACACTTGAATACTTTTTTGCCATTTATAATATTCTTATGTTGTACACGTTAAAACCAAACCAAGTACGAATCCAAACCAAAACCAAAGTAACAAAACGTAACGAGGTCTGGCCAATCCATCCGCTCCGCTCATCTGACTGACTGCCTGGCTACGGTTTACTCTGGCTGCCTGGTTGAGTTAACGATGTTCGATCGGACTTTCGATGAGGTCATGAGGTGTCCTTGGTATCCATTGGCCCACAGTTACTAGGCAGACAAACTAAACTCTCGGTGTAGAAACGATGTGTGTGTCCTCCTCTCTCTGAAAGCGCATTAAGTAAGAATTCAATTACAACTATTTTGTTAACTTTAATTTATTTCCAAAAAAACCAAATCAACTCTCTATATATATATACTATCAACCACTGTTAACTATGATTGTTTACGCTTAAGTTTTGTGCCGCGTGCAGCGTGGAGTGTTTGAATGTTCCGACCGGAAGCTCTGGGCACCTGCTCGCCACTCCTCCTTCCCCCGAATTCCAACCGTAGGCAGGCGCGTCAAGGGCACAGGATAGAAGAACACAAACACAGGGCACAGAGAGATGAAAAGACAGAGAGGGACTTGTGTGAGACTGGGACTTGGTTAGGAGCCAAAACAAACCGGAAACATTCAAAACGCTCCAACTGCTGCACGGGTCGTGTCCTTTGAGTTGCAACCACTGCTGTCGGCTGCCAAATGTGCGAGATCCCTGCCAGTGCTTAGCTTTACTAATTCGTATCTTTATATTTCGACTTTCTGCGTCCCTGCAGGATCTTAAGGATTACATGCGCCAGGCTGGCGAGGTCACCTACGCCGATGCCCACAAGCAGCGCCGCAATGAAGGGTAAGATCCTATTTTAATTCAAAGAAATAACCTATATTAACATATTTCCTTTTGCAGTGTGGTTGAGTTCGCCTCGTTGTCGGACATGAAGACGGCCATTGAGAAGCTGGATGACACCGAGTTGAACGGCAGACGCATCCACCTGGTCGAGGATCGTCGCGGAGGACGCAGTGGTGGCGGCGGCGGCGGCGGACGTGGACGCTCCCGTTCGTCCAGCTCTCGCTCGCGCTCCCGTTCCCGCAGGCGCTCCCGCTCTCGCCGCTCGTCGCACTCGCGCTCCAAGTCGCGCAGCCGTTCCAAGTCCCGTGGTGGACGCTCCAAGTCCAAGTCGCCAGTCAAGTCTCGTTCTCGCTCCCGATCGCGTTCCAAGTAAGTGCAGAATTTCAATATTAATAGAGGGATCGTACTTAATTGAACTTTTTATAAATATTGAAAGTTCTTATTATATATATATCCTGTTAATGAATAGTAAGACCAGGAAGATCCTAATGTTAACTTAAATTTGAGCTCACGCATTTTGGTTTTGAAACATACTATATGGCTGATTAATTACGATCCCTTATTATAGATTGTTCTTTGCTTACCCACTTAATTTATTTCTCCTTTTGTGCTGCAGCAAATCGCGGGACGTGTCCAAGTCCAAGTCGAAGTCCCACTCCCGCACCCGCTCCCGTTCTCCCAAGCGTGAGCGCGACTCCCGTTCCCGCTCGCGCTCCGTCTCGAAGCGCGAGTCCCGCTCCCGATCACGTTCCAAGTCCAATCGCCGCGACTCCCGCTCACGGTAAGTTAGCTACACCCGCTGATCTCGGCTCCATATACACATAGACAGTTCACGATTCTTTCTTTCGTGCTTTCTTTGGTTTTGTTTGGATGCACCTGTTGTTGTTGTTCGTAGCCCACCAACTGTGGTCGTTCAAAAGCTGGTACTATAGTGTATTATAATGCTCTTCCATTACAGCGATCGATCCCCATCGGCTGACAACAAGTCGCGTTCCCGCTCCCGCTCTCGTTCGGCCTCGCCCAAAAATGGAAACGCCTCTCCGGACCGCAACAACGAGAGCATGGACGATTAGATTAGTTAGCTGTCCCCATTAATTTTAAAGCACTTGATTTTAGACTTCTACTATAACTATTCTACGAACATCAAACACTCAGACACCTTTATTTACCCTGCGCCACTTAAACCAAAACTAATGAAAAACCAATCATACAAAATCCACAAATCAGGTCATTTTTTAATTACCACCAAATTTGGCATATATCCTTTGTCGTCCCTTTAAGAATCCCACATTAAACTGCTGAGAAACGACTGAGATCAGTAGGTTGAGCAATAACTATGTGTAGTTGGATTCGAGGCGCCCACATTATCCATGGAATTACTGCGACTTGTACAACGGAACACCTAAAATTGTCTATACGAAGAGTGATTTCAATAAATACGGATACATTTAAATTAAAAATGTTGTTTGAATAAAAGAGGGGAGTGCTTTTTTAAAAGTAAATAATAAATAAGGTACTTCGAATTTAATCATATATAAATTTAGTTTATTGTTTTTCTGTTTTAATTTCGGAATATACACTGACGAGCAAAACTGTAACACGATTTCATTGTTTCAACTTCAAAGGTCTGTAACTTTTTTTCTAATGCACGGATTTTGAAGATCTTAGTCTTGTTTTGTAGGTTATATTATTTACTACTATTAAGTAAAATTCAAAGCCATTTGATATCAGTTAAAGAAAATGAGGCGCCAAACTGTAAAAAAAGTCAAATGTTACAGTTTTGCACTCTGGTTATTTTTTTAAGAAAAATTTTTATTAATGATTTTTTAATAGTGAGTTCACATCCCCTTGGTCTTTTTTAGCTCTTCTATGCGTCTGGGCTTATTTTGGGTATACCATCGTATCATTTCCGGGGAATATCATTCCATACGCCCTGTTGCCGCTCTCACAACTCCTTCATTCCACTTGGAGGAACTGCATATTTCTCCAGCTGCGATTTCACATGACTCCACAAGTTTTCTGTTGGATTCATGTCGGGAAATTGTGGTCGCCACTTCATAGATTGAAATTTCTGTTTTGAAATCCAATTTTTTACCAATATGGACGTGTGCTTGGGGTCGTAGTCTTGCTGAAAAACGCATTTTTCGGCAGAAAGACCCACCTTTCCAAAATTCCTTTGGAAGATTTTCTTGTAAAATGGATAGAAATTGCTCCTTCCGCATTATTCCATCGATTATCAACAAGGAACCAACTCCATTTAAATTAATGCTCCCCCAAACCATGGAACCGCTAGCGGTTTGTCACTCATTCCTTGGTGACTGGATCGTGGGATCTCTAGTCCAATACCAAGAGCGCCCATCTGACTCGAAGCGATTAATTTTTGTTTCATCCGACCATAAAACCTTGAAAACAAAAGTATTTTGGAATTGCTTGCTTTTTAAGACACTGGTAGCAATGGCTTACAGTATCCCAATTCGCTATCAAGCACGGTGGCGGTTCCATCATGGTTTGGGGGGCATTCATTTAAATGGAGTTGGTTCCTTGTTGATAATCGATGGAATAATGCGGAAGGAGCAATTTCTATCCATTTTACAAGAAAATCTTCCAAAGGAATTTTGGAAAGTTGGGTCTTTCTGCCGAAAAATGCGTTTTTCAGCAAGACTACGACCCCAAGCACACGTCCATATTGGTAAAAAATTGGATTTCAAAACAGAAATTTCAATCTATGAAGTGGCGACCACAATTTCCCGACATGAATCCAACAGAAAACTTGTGGAGTCATGTGAAATCGCAGCTGGAGAAATATGCAGTTCCTCCAAGTGGAATGAAGGAGTTGTAAGAGCGGCAACAGGGCGTATGGAATGATATTCCCCGGAAATGGTACGACGGTGTACCCAAAAATGCCCAGACGCATAGAAAAGCTAAAAAAGCCCAAGGGGATGTGAACTCACTATTAAAAAATCATTAATAAAAATATTTCTTAAAAAAATAACCAAAGTGCAAAACTGTAACATTTGACTTTTTTTACAGTTTGGCGCCTCATTTTCTTTAACTGATATCAAATGGCTTTGAATTTTACTTAATAGTAGTAAATAATATAACCTACAAAACAAGACTAAGATCTTCAAAATCCGTGCATTAGAAAAAAGTTACAGACCTTTGAAGTTGAAACAATGAAATCGTGTTACAGTTTTGCTCGTCAGTGTAAGTATATTACAAAGTCTTATTTTCACTATTTCGCATTATTTGCCTGAATTAAAATTACAATTTCAATTGATTTTATTTTTCTTGAATTTAAAGAATTCCATTGGTTATTTAAATCCCATTGGCTGAAATTTATTATATGTAAATATTTAAAATTTGGAAATTAATTAGCACGCTAAAAATGGTCAAGTTAAATAAAGTACATAACTAAGTTTTTAAACTGACAAAGTTTCGGTTCTAACAATTTATCGTTCTCTTTAAAGTAATTACTTGTATTAATTAAGTATACTATTATATACAAAGCACATAAGGATAAAAGAGAGATTTCTTTGAAGCGTTTGACGTCTCGAATGAGCATATTGGGTTTTCTTTATCGAAAAATCTATTTTAAATGCGAATGCCGTAAAACAATATCCACGGGGGGAATGCTTAACTAAGTGTGGGAGGGGGGAATTCGGTTGGACATTATCTACAACTATAACTAAATGCATTCTTTGCATAAATGCGAGAGGGGGAGGTCTTGGGGTCTGAGACGGTATGTCTGTCTAGCACACGTACGGTGCAAGCATTTGAATGCCCTTCTGCGACTAACTATCCCGTACGCGTGGGTTATTTGGCACATCGCGGAGTCACTTGAGCACTGGAGTCGCCTGGAATGGTTTTGGCTTCTAGCTAAGTAGTTCGACACTTGGTTAGTTCGAGGATGTCGCCTGAGTTGCGGCTACTAACTACATGCGCATCGTAATCGTAAACTAATATCAAGTTTGCCCTCGAACAGTTCGTAATCATGATAAGTCTGAATAAAATGGATTTTTAAACGTTATCTAACATTAATCGGCTATAGAGTATTTACAGCATTAATTTGACACTTCATTGCGTTTTATTTTGGCTCCGGGATTGTATTCTACGTTAATATTCACGATTAGTGGAAAATCAGTTAAAAACACATTGAATTTCTATTTTGAGTTTCTGGTGATTTAAAACAAAACATTTTTTAGTTCGTATGTTGTAGGATTTTCTTGGTTCAAATTTGGATCCTCTTTACTTCAAATAAAATAAATTACTTTTAAAATATCTGGCCTATGTAAACGTAGCAATAGGTACGCCGGTTGATCTTGGCTCCAGGTTATCGGAATCGGTATAGTTTTGCTATAGGCTACAGATGACTGGATGTTCGGTGTTAAAATAGAAAGCCTACAAGTGGGTGTTGCCGTTCCATAAACTTTCGCATCGCTTCTAGGTTCTATCGCTCGGAAATGGCAGTGGTTGACATTCAATTGTATAGTGCCCTAGTTGTAAGTGTTGTATATGTAAACATATAGGATTAGTCTCTATCATGTCCACTACGTGTTGTGTGGATTAATGCACTAGTTGCACACACACACTGTAAATGCACACACATAGCATAGCACATATCGGGGAGCCTACGAAAATTGCACGGTTATCCAAACGCCCAAGTCAATCGTGTCCTACATTCAGTTGCGAATCTACATAAGTATTTAAGTACTATTTAGAGCCTTGTTATCACTTTCGATTTGTAAGTCGTTTTGTGGCGAGGGCAGGTCCACAGGACTTAGGCCGCCGATTCGTTGTTCCTGCAAACCGCTTTAGTCCTCCACCAGTATTTCATATAGCCTCCTTCATCGTGTTCCTAGATGCGAATGGATAGAAGCGAGACATTCCGCTTCAGCAGAGTGTGCGGTCGCAGTTCGATGCTCGTCGTATCGGCCATGTCCACCATGTCCACGCCCATGTAGCTGCTGTCCACGGTCCCTCGATCGGCCAGCGTGTGCAGGCTCTGGGTGTCGTAGTCGTAGTTCAGGTCCTGCATCGGCACCACCTCCGGCAGAAGGTGTCGGATGTGGGTGGGCGAGCGCCTTAACTTGTATTGATTTCTGTTGGGTGAGATATGGTTATATCGGTTATATGCAGTGTCTATTTTAAAGGTCAAAACAGCAGAATTGCAGGATGGTTCATATAGCCTGATTCCATTTAAATATTTAACTATAATATGAACGTTATAATTTTATTAAAAATAACTAATCCGTAAAATCAGGCTACATATTTAATCGGATGGAATGGAAAGCTTACTCTGCGTTTTGGTTCTTTCCCAAGTGGTTACTTCTGCAGAGGTGCAAAACACAAAGTGCAATAAAAACAAAAATGAATTCACATATTCACAATAAACAATGATCCAAAGAGGCTCAGAAGTTAGGCAAATAACACTGAGGTTAATGAATCGCCAAAAGAATGTATTTGGAAACACACAACTTATAAAGACTAAAATGTATTTAAACATTTCCTCCTACCTCTGATATATTTATACTTTGAAAACCATGTCCTTAATTACCTAATTAAGATTTTGCTTACATAACTAATGAAAAACTTGGCAGGGGCAAACTCACTCGACCGTAAGTGTGAGCGAAAGCAAGCTATATTGTGGCAACTGGCTAGACAAAAAAAGGGAAATACTAAAGGTCAATCCTGGTGGTGAAAGGGTAAGAGCTTTCGAAAGCCCTCAGACACCGACGAGTCCTATCTCAGGGCACATTAGCCACTCTCTAGATAATAGAGCCGGAAAATCCTGCCAAGTGGCCTGTTCCCCTGAGCCTCTTTCCCAATCCGGCGATTACGAGGTACGTACCTCCTGTGCCGGTTTCCATTAAGACACATGCAGTGGCACGAGCACATGGACGAGGTGTTGCTTCCGTTCAGGGATTGGCCGTCGTGTCCTTCGTAGCCGCTCAGAATGGATCCGTTGGATGTTATCACATCGCCCTCCAGCTTCACGGCAACTTGCAGCGCCTGTAAGGGTTCGTTATATACAATCGTTAGATATATATCCTATATAGACCGAGAGGGGGTGTTCGAATGCCGAGTGGGTGGAGGAGTATAGCGTTGAAGACTGAGGAACGGTATTCGTGTGGTTCTGCTTGGAGGATTGGTGGTGCTGTTTCTTGTTCAGTGTCGTACAGAGAGAGCCAGGTGGTGAAGTAGTTTTGTGGTAGTAGTTTGTGGGAGTTGGTCAAAAGTATTTGGAATCTGAAAAACCGCAATCACCTCGTTGGTCCATAAACTGGACTTGGACATAAACTAAGCTCGCGTTTTGCATTTGATTCGATTCGTATCATTATCGTTTCGTTTCGTTTCGTTAAGTCAAAAGCAACCGAAAATATGCGAAAAAAGAAAATATTTATTCGATTTTTATTGGGTAGCTCTCGCATTTTGGGCCTGCATTGAATAGATTGTATAAATTAATTTGTTCAAAACATTGGTAAAAGTACGTAAGTAAATATCGAAAAAATTGGGAAACCGAAGGTGCAAGATCAATAGTTAGCCAAGTGTGCAGCAAAGTGGCAAGCAGATGTAAAAAAGCTATGGTTAATTCAACGAGTTTTGGTACAAAAGGTACGAGAGTATGAGACAGATGGAAGTTATACGAGTACTCGAGTAGAATGTACGAAAAAACGTTTTTAAAAAATTGTACATATTATGGAATCTAGGGTACAGTGAAGCGTTGGCATAAGGAAAAAGCTGGAGAGAGAAGCGCTTGACTACCAAAAAGGGGCCGAATGAATGTACGAAATTAGTAAAATCCAAAACAGTCCTCAAGTCTACGGAAATAAGTCAATCGAGTTGCTCGAGTTAATCCCGAGCCTCCAGACCCGGACTCCAGACTCACCTGCATGGCCTGGGCCTCGTCGCGTCGCTCATCCTCGGTATTCATTGTAACAAACCTAAGTACTAACAAGTTCAGCGAGGCGGCCACGATGGCCAGGCCGAATAGTATAAATATCAGTGCGAACATCACGTACTCGGGCTTCCTGTTCAGTGCATTGTCCCTCTGCAATGCCACCATGTCACCAAAGCCTAATGGATAGGGATCAGAATAACATATACTACATATAATCCAGAGAAACTGATCCCTTACCTATTGTGGTTAAAGTAATAAAACAGTAATATACTGAATCGAAGTAGCTCCAGCCCTCGAACTTCGAGAAGGCCGCAGCACCGCCGGCTATCGTCAGCGAACTGAGTGTGGTCACAACACATATAAGGTCCACTTCCGAGGCGACGGTCCTTTTGCAGCGCAGCGAGGAGCGGACCGCTTTGATAACATAGCTGTGATGGGATTCATATAGATATAAATACAAGATAAATGGGTCAATCCAAATAAAATAAGAAGAAATGTAGTAAAGTTAATTGAATTTAGTTTACAATGTTCATGCTCTGAAAATATAGCTATTGATTGATAAGAAAGCAATATAAAATAAAAAAGGATATAAAATAGAGTAACTTAACTACAAACTAAGAAATGCTAGTAAGAAGCAATCGAATTGTAATGTATGTACGTAACGTTAACGATTTAAACCTCCAACCACTTAACCTCACCTGCTCAGTCTATTCACTCTTTCTCCGATGCTCTGGAACATAACGAGGCCCAGGGGAATCCCCACAATGGCGTAGCACATCGTGAAGAGCTTCCCGCCCACCGTGCTGGGCGTCGAGTGTCCGTAGCCTGAAATGGTGGGTCATCATGAGTGGTTTGCCCTGCTGGCGAACGACAGCACAGTTGGTTAGGTAACCCACCTATGGTGGTTAGCACCGTGGTTGCATAATAGAATGCACCAGTGAATTTCCACTGCTGGCCGGCCTTGTGCGATTCCGATTTGAGCACCACAGTCTCCATGACTTTGAAGTCCTCCTGTGAGATATTGTATTTGCGTATTATCATGTCCTCGGCATCTGCAATTGGTAGAAAGAAAGCCGACACACAGTGTTAATGACGTAATTCACACGAATCTTGACGGTGGGTAATACTCGTCATTTTCTTTGGTTAAATTTTATAAAGCACTCAAATAAAAAAATATCTTACTCAATGATTTAATCTTTAAAGTGAAATTGAACCCATCTTTAAAAACATTCTTAATTTAGTTACCTAAGGCACATTGATTAAAACCAAATATATTTCAAGAAAATAATTATAAGCAATGCTAATGTTTTTTTTTCTCTGCATCCTGAAGGATGTGGCACTTGGGTGCTGCACTCACCTTGCAGCGCCTCCCAGCGACGCTTTTCCGTTTCCGATTCGAGGGCGTCAAAGACGGCGGCGCCGACGAGCAAGTAGGTAAATGTACACACGATCAAGGATATCGTGCGCACATTTTGTTTCTTCATTCTTCATTTAGGCGAGTATTGGGTGGTTGATCGTTGGTTCAGTGGCGTCGCCTCCGTTTGCGGTACAACTGGCAGAGCTCTTCCTGGCCGACCTGGCTCACCTGGCTAACCGGGCTGCACCTGCCGTCGTCCATATGGGTTTCTCTGACGCCTCCCGTTCGTCCTGCTTTCCGGGCGATTGCGAGTCGCTCTCAAAGGACGAACTTCCCAAATTGGGTTAGGTCCTGACGTCCGTCTACCGTTCTCACTCTTGCTTTTCGCTCTAGTTTTGTAGTCTCTCTCTTAGGTTTTACTTCTTCTCTTTTCTTTTTTTTGGCAAACTCACTTAGCACTTTGATTGCATTAAAAATAATATCACTCTGGGTTGTGTGTGTGTATGTGTGTGTGTTTTGAGTGGGGGAAAGGTTCACGTTTTAGTCGGTTAGCTGTGGGCGAGGACGAGGTGGTGGCGTTTATTTCTGTCACAGGCCGTGGGCCTTTGTCCTCGTCGCGTTCGTTGCGCCGTCCATGTCCTTGCGTTATTTATGCTGCCAGTGCCTGCGAACGTAGACGTGAATGTGAATGTGCATGTGCAGTTGCGGGCCATGCTGCAATCCTTCATCGGGCGGCGCTGCTCTCAAGGATTATGCCACTGCTCCTTCTGCTGCGGGTGACGGGCGCCATCGCGCTCTAGCTCCTGCCGCCGTGTCCTTCCTGCGTGGAATGGCTTGAATTAGGTTTATGGCTGGGCTAAAAATAACGCCTGCAACTAATCTGTCACCGTCAATGCACAGCCCCAACTACACACTCTCTCTGGTATTAACTTATGCAAATAAATGTATTCTAAACAGTAGTAGAAAAAAAACTTTAAAATTACTTTGATTTTAACTGGTTAATCTTTATTTCAATACAATTTTTAGGTCGCTTAAAAGGCGTTTAAAAGTATGCTATAAAAAAAGAACGTAACTGTTCGAGGTTTTAAAATATGTAATTTTGATTTTAAAAATAAAATTGTTCTATTTTTGAGATTTTAAAGCACCTTCGGTTATTAAAGAGCATCCTTCAATGCGATTTCGAGCTATTATTTTGAGCCGCGCTGTGTGTACACTTCATCTCACCTTACTCACACACTCGCACACCACACAAACATGCAAATGAAAAATTCATTTGCATGTGTCCTTCGCCAATGAGCGTAAGGATTTGTGGACACACTGGCGGACTGGCATTTTGGCAACGTGTGAAGCTGCGAAATCTCAGCTGTAATTGTTGAATAATTCAGTTTAAGACGCGGGATAATGAGACGCCGAAAAATGAAAGCTCTCCTTGAAAGTGCGTGAATGTTTTTGTGTGCTTGGCCATCTAACGACAATTTATTGATGAACAATGAGGCAGCATTGCAGTGTCCTGAATTATTCAAGTGTGTGTGTGTGTTTGTGTGTGAACATCCTTTTCAGAGTGTGTGAGAGAGGTTCAAAGCGCGTTGAAGTGTACGAACACAGTCGCACACACAGCAACAAAAAAAAGCAGAGCAGACACAGGCTTTTTTTAATTCATCGAGTAGAGTAGCCGAAATGTTGGTCCTTCGGTGCGGATTGTGGGGGTTGGTTTTCCCCTCACGCACACACACAAAACAGACACACACACGGACGTAAAGGATGCCCGCCCTTAGTTAACTTTTTTGTTAGTTTCCTCGCTTCTTGTTTGTTGTGCTATTTCGCGCAGCTTTCCCCGTTCCCATCCTCCCCAGGATTCCTCCACAATTCCCATGCACTGGCAATGACAGTGACACTATCAAGAGAATCCCCCACTCCGCCTCCCTCCTGTCCTTTGCGAAAAAATAAGGACGAGAGGCAGAGTCCTCACATCTGAATTGTTCCATTATGTAAAGCCCGCACACATACACATCCTTTCCGCGTGAACAGGATAAACTAGCAGGAATCGTAATTTTTTGTCGCCGCACAACAAGGATCCTTTGATTCGCCAACGATAATTGCACAAAATCCAGTCAGCGGCGAACCCACAATTTTTTCACTACCGTAATTTGGCTCCGTTTGGGCCACACTTTTGTCGCCACTCGGATTCGCATCCGTAATGCTCTCGATTTGACGGCTGCGGAAGCTTTGCTCCGGCGCACAAAACCGTCGGCTGCTGGCAGGGTTGTGAAGGATATTCTAGGTAAAAATTATAAATGTTTTTCACCAAAAAGCCAACGTGTTTCCTCTATTTTTACTTTTATTTCTTTTTAATGGCATACGGATGCTGCGGCGCGGGCGAAAAAATTTTTAAAACTTTAACGTTGTGTGTTGCTTAAATAGATTTTTGGCCGAAAGCTCGTCCTACGAACTTCTCTCCACGCAGCAATTCTCTCCCAATGTTAAACCTCTCTGCGGGTTTTACATTTTAGTAACCGGTTTTGCGAATCCTGCGAGAATATAGGGTTTGAGTCTAAGCTGAAGTCCAGCCGAACAAGTCGGAAATCTTTAAATATATTTAAGCAGTAGTTTATATAATTTTGAGATTCCGAATCAAGCAGCGCTGCCGACACACGTCAAAATAGCTACTTAACTGGAATTTAAAAATATTTTATTTTACAAAACTGCAAGAAGGCTCTTGATGAGATTCGGTGGTGCCGTGGACAGAAAAACCAAAAGCAAAGCAAGAGGATCTCAAATTTTTTCTTTTGCGCACTCTTCGTGTGCTAATTGGACTTTGTCTAGTGCAGACGTACAACTACAAATACTCATCTGTAGACGGTCACCATTCACTCCGCGCGCTGCCGCGCAAGAGGGGTAATGGATGGAAATCTTCATTCTAACTCTCAACCTAGCGGTAAGCAGTTTGATTATAAAAAAATGTTCCAAATAGCTGGTAAAACACCTTCGGAGATAAGGGAAGAGATCATCAGTTTACAACGCCCACTGTGCTCAAAATCTGCGAGCACTAGTACTATAACCTCAATGCTGGCTACAGCATCAGATGCGGAAATCAGCAGTGTTTGCTCTTCCGCGAGTATGGATAAAACTAATGTTTATTACTCCCAACGCTCATCTGGTAATTCATCCCCATTACCCAGAGGTGGGGCTGCAATTGTCTCTCCAACTCTTGGTGATAATTCAAAAATTTCTTCAACTCCGTTTTCTGATGCTGCTACCAAGTTGAAGCTAAGCCAAAGCCATCTGTCGTACAAGAGGAAGAAGCAACTTTCATATACTCCTTACCCTAAGAAGGTGCACAAAGAAAAGTTATCTGGATCACCCTCAGCATCAACCAGCAAGGCAAGCTCTAGTAATAGGTTTGCCTTACTAGACATGGAGGTGGACCTAGACAGTGACAGACCTGTTGAGGAAAGAAGTAATCTTTCCTTGGCAGATGCCCAAACAGATTTAAATGATGATATGGAAACAATTGTCTCAGATAATGAATTTGAACAAAATAATTCTAATGGCAAGAATAATCCCAACAATAATTTAAAACCACCACAAATTGTTCTAAGTTTTGTCAACCTTAACGATCTATTTGATGTTATTTCGGGGATCACTAGTCTAGATAACGTTATCGTTAAAGTAAATCAGGGATCTACAGCAAGAATATTTTCCAAGGACTCTAAAACTTATAGAGACATTGTTGATCATTTTGATGAAATGGAAATTGAATTCCATACGTACCAAATGAAGGAAGATAAACCACACAGAATAGTAGTTAAAGGGCTTCATCATAGCACATTAACTAGCGAAATTGTTGCCAATTTTAAAACCTTAGGTTTTGAAGCTCTTCAGGTGCATAACCCAAGATCTAGGTCTGACCCAGATGAGAAACTCAACATATTTTTTATCAATATTAAGCCATGTGCTAAAATTAATGCCATATATGATATAGTAACTCTTTGCCGCCAACGAGTGCGAATAGAAAGGATGCGTAAAAGATCTGAAATAGCTCAATGTATTCGTTGCCAAGAATTTGGACATACAGCGAAGTACTGCCGCCGGCATCCTAATTGTGCTCGCTGTGGAGAAGATCACCATACAAAGCAATGTGTTCGTCCCCAAGATCAACCGCCTACATGTATGCACTGTAGAGGGAATCATACAGCAAGCTACAAGGGTTGCCAATCTTATCAAGAATACCTTAGGCGATCGATGAGTTCAAAAAAACAATCAACGCGACAACATCCACAACAAAAACGTCAGCAACAACAGCCAATCCGAGAGCAGCAATCTCAGCAAATGCCTAACTCTTCTGCCAGCAATAATATAGGCTTATCTTATGCCTCTATTGTAAGAAATGGAATTGGTCATGCCCAGCGCCGTCTACATGATCTCCAAGCGCAGCCGCAAGTACAAAATTCGAAGAATACTCAACAACAACAATATGTGCTTGACGTTCAGTCTATATTGGAGCAACAGCAACAGCAATTTATGAAATGGCAACAACAACTTCAGCAACAGCAGCAGCAGCAATTCTTTTTGTGGTTACAACAACAGCAGCAGGAACAACAAAAGCAAAACAAACAGAACAGCCTTCGACTTGAAAGACTTGAAAATATGGTTTTCGAAATGGCCAATTCTATTAAGCAGTGGACTGGGGGCAAATCAGTGCTTCACAACAACGTTTCAGCCTCAAAATGAATACACTCAAAATCCTTATCTGGAATGTCAATGGCATTTCAGGTAAAGCCAGAGAAGTGGAATTCTTTGCGCACAACAACAACATTGATATTATACTTTTAAGTGAAATTAGGCTCAATCGAGGTGAAGTTGTCAAAATTTTCGGATATTCCTTCTATCCAGCATATAAACCTTCACGACATAATCAAGGAATGGGTGGGGCGGCGGTATTGGTAAGAAGCTCTCTCAGTCATTTCCCACAACGTATTATAGAAACGAAAAGCATTCAATTGTCTTCCATTAAAGTTGCGACCGGCTTAGGACTCGTGGATGTAAGCGCAATATACTGTCCTCCAGGCCAAAGAATTGTAGAAAGACATTTCACTGATATACTCTCTTCTTGTGGTCAGAGGTACATAGTTGGTGGTGACTGGAATGCTAGACATTGGATGTGGGGTGACACCTACAATTCACCCAGAGGCCGTGAGCTGGTTGAATCGATTTCAGCCAGAGGGTCCAAAATACTTGCCACTGGTTCACCAACGAGATACCCATATGTTCCTAGCCACACTGCTACTTGCATCGATTTTGCTTTATACCACGGAATTATGGATTCTCAAATCAATATCTGCCAAAACTGGGACTTGGAGTCTGATCACATTGCCCTTATTGTTAATCTACTAACAAATGGTTCCAATATCACCCGAAGCCCTCGGTTAATAACAAGTCGGACTGATCTCACTTCTTTCAAACAAATTCTTGATAACTCCTTTCAACTAAATTCTGCTCTGGACTCACGACAAGACATTGAGAATGCAGTTGACACTCTAACTAATAATATTTATATGGCTGCTTCTGCTTCGACGCCTTTGGAACCGGATTATCGTCCTATCAATTATGGTGTTGTTCTCACAAGGGAAGCCAAGGCGCTAATTGTAACAAAAAGGCGCCTTCGAAGAAGAGCAATTCGTTCTCAAGATCCTGAAGACCGTATTTTGTGGTACAGAGCTGCAATGCAACTTCGAACCCTTTTAAGGAGACTTCGAAGCGATTTTTTTGAGCATAAATTGTCTTCCATGGACTACACGGTGGATGCAAATTATTCACTGTGGAAATGTACAAAATCGCTTAAGCGCCAGCCCCTTAGACAGGTTCCTGTTCGGTGTCCCAGTGGTGAGCTCGCAAAAAATGAAGTGGAGCAGGCCAATGCTTTCGGTCTACATCTAGAAGAACGCTTCACTCCGTATAGCTTTGCATCGACAGTTCAGGTTAGCGAGACCCATCAAACTCTGGAGACGCCTCTGCAGATGTCGTTGCCAATAAAGCCTATAAGGATTGAAGAAATATCTGAAGTTATCCAGTCCTTACCGAAAAATAAGGCTCCAGGAATTGATAGAATTTGCAACGTAACGTTGAAGGCCTTGCCCATAAAAGCGATTCTATTTATAGCTTTAATATTTAATGCTATTATTAGGACTCAAGTGTTCCCAAAGCAATGGAAATTAGCAGCAATTCAGATGATCCACAAGCCAGGTAAGCCAGAGGCTGATCCTGAGTCTTACCGTCCGATAAGCCTCTTATCGTCCCTGTCCAAGTTGTGGGAGAGACTCATTGCCAATCGAATAGCAGTTATCATGAATCGAGACAATATCTTGCCAGACCACCAATTTGGTTTTCGAAGAGGACACGGCACTGTGGAACAAGTGCATAGATTGGTGAAACATATTTTGCAGGCCTTTGATGACAAAGAGTATTCCAACGCAGTTTTCATTGATATGCAGCAAGCCTTCGATAAGGTGTGGCATGTTGGACTTTTGCTTAAAATCAAAAACCTCCTACCTGCCCCCTACTATGGTCTTCTGAGATCCTACCTAGAAGAACGGGAGTTCAAGGTCAGAGTTAGGGACAGATACTCTGATAACTATAGAATGAGAGCAGGAGTACCTCAGGGCAGTGTGCTTGGGCCGCTGCTTTACTCTTTATATACAGTGGATATACCAAGCCCAAACAGACATCACATGATAGATCCTTCCAAAGCTTTGATTGCTACATATGCAGATGACATTGCAGTCATCTACAATTCCAGATGTCGGAGGGAAGCAGCAAATGGAATACAAGAATACCTTAAGGATCTTTCTGCTTGGTGTAAACGTTGGAATATGAGAATCAATCCGCAAAAAACTACGAACCCCTGCTTTACACTGAAGAGACTTGTATCTAACACCCCTGAAATCCAGCTAGAGGGAGTCAGTTTGGAACAGCCGTCGCAAGCAAAATATCTTGGTATCACACTGGATAAGCGCCTTACGTTCGGACCACATCTGAAAGCAACAGTCAAAAAATGTAACCAAAGGATTCAGCAACTGCGTTGGCTTACACACAGAAGGAGCACTTTGCCGCTGAGATGCAAGAGGGCAGTATATGCATTCTGTATCCTGCCAATCTGGCTTTATGGTATTCAAATTTGGGGGATCGCAGCCAAATCGAACTACAAAAGGTTACAAGTGTTGCAGAATCGGTTTCTACGTACCATTACTGACTGTCCCTGGTATGTGCGTGGCACGACACTTCACAGAGACCTAAATCTACACACTGTGGAAGAACAGATTGGGAGACACACAAGCCGATACCGAGATAGATTAGAAAGACACCGCAGCTTACTGGCTAGGAATCTACTCCCAGCGAGACCTTTGAGGCGTCTCAAAAGGCAAGGCTTTGCCAAGACGATAAGGAATCAATAAGAAAATACTATATATAATCCTCTTCTTAATGCTGAGGTTTGGTTTACTTTTCTCATTGGTGACACCTGTGTTGTTAAGTACTTTAATTTGCTGTACAGATTCTGCACTAAATAAATAAATAAAGAAAAAAAAAAAAAAAAAAAAAAAAAAAAGTAGTTTATATATGTATAAATACAAATTGTCTGGTTAAATGTTTTACACTATCAGCGTTAAAAAAATGTCTTGTTTTTTTTTATTGACTTGAGATGTTACAGTTTTAAAAGCACTGCGCATAAGCTCATATGCAGGTTGATAACTTAGCTAATTTCGAATTCCTCTGCAGCTTTAAAATTTGGATTCAAGATTGATAGAAATGGTTAAAAGCCTCACACTTCCTTTTCCAAATTCTGTTGGCTCCTCGATCTCTTTTTGCCTTTTAGTCCTCTCTTTTCAAGCTTTAACTTTAATCTCTTTTAAAGGTAAATATGAAAAAAAAGCCTACAGTTTTTTATTCTTTTAAAAAAATGAGCTCCAGCTCAAAGAATTATTATTCGTCACCCATTCAAAAATAACTTTTATGCTCCAATCACCCCAGTCTTGCCTACCTTCGGCAAATCTCTCTACTCTATGGCACAGTGACCTGACTGTCAATCACCAAAATGACTCCGTCTAAATTGGCCTAAAACCCCTTCTGAAATCAGGCTACCATCCGAAAATCAATGTTTACAATTAAGGGTAAAAATGTCCAGTGACCTGGCCATGAGCTGATAATTAAATGCAGAGCAAATATACAATGGCAATTCTGTCAAAGCTTAAAAGGTAACTAAATCAGTGCTCCATGGCCTCGGGCGGCAGGACGATGTTGCAGCCAAGAAGGCCGCGTCCACTCCAAGTTTTTGGCACTAGAATCAAATCCAGCTGCTGGTCACCGCGTTTCACTTTGAGATTGACATTTTGGTTCTGCATGTTGCGCACCACCTCGCCAATTTGGCCGAGTTCACCTTTGAAATTATTGCTATTGATGGAGCCAAAACGCAAAATGGCATCGCCCACACAAAGGCCCTGAAATGGTAAAAAAATTGACTTCAAGCAACACAATACTAGTTAATTTTACTATTTGAACTCACAGCTTTTTCGGCGGGGGAATCGGGACTGACTAGGTTGACCACTACTATGGCACGGGCAGGTGCCAGATCTGCAAAATTAGCTCCGCCTTGTGCTCGGTCACTGTCCAAATCCAGAGCAGAGGCGCGGTTTACCAGCTCGGGATCTGTGGTGGCAATCTCACTGTGATATTGGTTGAGCAGGCTTTGAATTTGATTCATCAGCTCTTTGTGGTCGTTCTGCAGGCAGATGATCGTTTGGCGGGCCTGACGCACCTGGTAAATATCGATGTCGTTCCGCGGAAAACCTTCGGCATCCACTAAAGGGCCACTCATTCCGACGTTGTCGTTCTATAAAGGATATAGAATATTAAAAGGATTAGATTAAGGTAGGTTCAAAAGATCCAAGACAAGTTTGTTTAAAATAACCGATGGTGTATACGGTTTTAAATTTTATAAAGTATATCATATATAATAAGAGTAATCAGCATGTCAAACAAAGATTTGTAATCCAATGAATAATAATGAGTGCGTCCTACTGAGTAGTCTCTGAATCAAGATCACCAACTGACCACTATCTTCAATTGCCTTTAACTATTGCTTCTAATTTTGTTTGCTCCTATAACTGACAACTCAGGATTATCCTTCGCTGCGTTGCCAACGGCTTGTTAAAGTTGATAAGCCCACCCAAAGTACAGGGTAACGACATGAGTGCGCGAGTTTACTTACGGCGGCCAGGATCTGCCCATTTTTGCTGATCTGCGCCTCCAATTGCGTTTTGGCGGCCATCAGGCGCTCTAGCCGAACCTTGGTTGTGATCCCGGCGTCCATGACTTTCTCGTTGCTTGTTTATAAGAGTGAGTTTTCAAATATTATTTGTTATTTCGTCAATTGTTTTCGTTCCTCGTCTCGCCAACAACAAAAACAATTGGGTGTGCTTTGCAGCCCTGGTGGTTTTTCGGCCAATGTGACCGTATTGCTCAAATCGAAATTTGGCCAAAAAATAATTGTTAAACAATTTTCGGAAGGGGAAAATAACAAATTGAACCGAGAGTAAACACAGGAATTAACAAATTTATATGAAAAATAGAACATCAGTGGTGGCCAAAAAGGGGGAACGGAATTCCCGGGGATTTTGCGTAAACTACGGACGACGACGACAACGAGAGACCTCGAGAAATCGCTGTGCAATCAATTCGAGTGTATTTGTGCGAGTTGATTACAAAAACTAAAGGTATTTTGAGAGGTGAGCGATAAAAACGCGTGCTTGCTGGTGAGGATTGAGTGTCTCGACTGCCCCCGCCCACAAAAATCCCACCGACTCGTGATCTCCGGGGCGCTCCATCGACTGTAAACCACCGGAGTGGGGTCACCTGCGCTATGTGATCAGTGGGGCTATCCGGAGGTTTATGCAATGTTCTAGCTCACCGCGGAGAAGCAGCCGGAGCGGGAAGAGCCAACAGGAGCCTGCCCAGATGACTGTGACCACGATGGAGGCGCAGGTCAAGGCAGCACACCATCACCATAACCATCATCATAATCACGGAGGAGGAGCCCAGCACAAGGACGAGGAGGAAGATCCGCCCGTCGAGGACGAAATGACCGTACTGCTGGCCAACAAGAACTATCACTATGAGGTCCCCTCCGAGCTGGACGACGAAGCCTTTGTTGAGCTTAAAGAGGATACGCAAGCCGCAGGCGCTGGCTTCTACAATCCGGATGAGCTGCTTCTCGAGGAGCAACCGCATCCACAAGTCACCTGGCTAGACGATGACGAGATCGAGACATTAGATCGCGTCACCCTGGACATGGGCAACATGTTCTTCAACCGGGTTGACAGCCAGGACATCATCTATCAGCAAAAAAAGAAGAACATCAAGATGGTGGGCAAGTACATAATGGGCGATGTCCTCGGCGAGGGTTCCTACGGCAAGGTGAAGGAGGCCATGAACTCAGAGAACCTCTGCCGGCTGGCGGTGAAGATCCTGACTAAGCGTAAGCTTCGCAGGATCCCAAACGGCGAACAGAATGTCACGCGGGAGATCGCTTTGCTGAAGCAGCTGAAGCACCACAATGTCGTGGAGCTGGTGGATGTCCTGTACAACGAGGAGAAGCAGAAGATGTACCTGGTGATGGAGTATTGCGTCGGCGGGCTGCAGGAAATGGTGGACTTTCAGCCTGACAAGAGGATGCCACTCTTCCAGGCGCACGGTTACTTTCAGCAACTCGTCGACGGACTCGAGTATCTGCACAGCTGCCGGGTGATCCACAAGGACATCAAGCCGGGCAATCTGCTGCTCTCCCTAGATCAGACGCTAAAGATATCCGACTTCGGAGTGGCCGAGCAACTGGATCTGTTCTCGCCCGACGACACGTGCACAACGGGCCAGGGATCTCCGGCCTTCCAGCCACCGGAGATCGCCAACGGGCACGAGACCTTCGCCGGATTCAAGGTGGACATATGGAGTAGCGGAGTGACATTGTAAGCCAAACTAAAATAACTAATATTCTGAAGAGAATTGGAATGTTCCTGTCCACCTTCATTTCTCTTTCTATGGCTCTACTAAATTATTATTTTAGATACAACCTGGCTACTGGACAGTATCCCTTCGAGGGCGACAACATATACCGGCTGCTGGAGAACATAGGGCGAGGTCAGTGGGAGGCGCCTGATTGGCTCTACGAGATGGATGCAGACTTCGCCAAGTTAATCTTGGGAATGCTGCAGGCTGATCCCAGCAAACGGCTCTCCTTGCAGGAGATTCGCCACGACACGTTAGTTGGGACTCTATTTGAGAATTGTTCATTTCTAAAATGTCAATTGGTATTCCCAGTTGGTTCATGTCCGCCCCACCGGTGACCGGCCCACCGATACCCATTCCCCCGCTGAAGGGCGACAAGTACCGCAACTCCACAGTGATACCTTACCTGGAGGCCTACCACTACGGCGATCAGGACCAGGAGGATGTCTACTTCACCGAGCACGACGTTAATCGTGAGTATAAAAGTCCCTAATGTGTATTACTTTCTTGTGATCTTCAATAACCATCGCTTGTCCACACAGAGGAGCTCGCCCGCCAAGCGGCAGCTGCGGCATCCGAAATCCGGGCCAAGCAGTCGGCGGCAGCACATGCCGCCTGCCACGCCTACGAGCCGCCTTCCACAAGTGCTGCCGCCGCCGCAGCCTCCTCCGGAAACCCACTGGGTAATGGAAGCAGGGAGGAGGCGCCAGTCAAAAAGAAGGGATCGGCGCTGAAGCGACGAGCCAAGAAGCTGACGTCCTGCATCTCCGTGCGCAAGCTGAGCCACTGCCGGACTTCGTAGGCGCAAACCAATTGCCGCCACTAAACTTAGATGCTAAGAGTAATCGAAAGGAATAACTTTGTTAACAAATTGTGAGGAACTTTTTGGTTTTGTTTTCCCCTTTTTTGTTGTCCTACATTCGCCAAGTATTTGTAACCATAGAACCATGTAGGAATGCCAGGAGCACCCTGGACGCCCGAACGATTGGAGCATCAGCAGAGACTCAAAGTTAGCTGATGTGAGCAGTTACTTTTTATGGGAAAGGAGGGGGAGCGATCGGGCGACACGAAAGCTATATATCCATGTGACAATACTGTGTATTATATGAAACAAATGAAAGCGTAAATTAGTCGTTAATATATGATGTACTGAAAGGCGGCGGAGGATTGCCGGATCGAGATGGTGCCCCATCGGTTCGCACACATAAAGAAACATGTTCAAGTGAAATTGTTGTTGGCTTCGTTATATTCTAAAACAAACTACACACACAAATGATGCGATTTTCAGGCGCCGTCGGTACAATAACTGCTGGACAGTATTTGCAAGGCCTAGGTTGAGATTTTAATTTTTACAAACCAATGAAACGAAAATAAAAGAACCCATTGAAGATCAAAATACAAACACTGCATTTAGTTCGCACCATCCACACTCAACACAATCCAGACTCTCCATTCCATCCACACACACGCTCATGCTCACACAACATTAGGCTAGCTAACTACGGATGCTTAATCTAGTTCCACGATCTGCAGCCGGGCCGTGGGATCCGGCTCGGAGTTCCCCTCCATAAGCTCGCCCATAATGAACATCTGGTGGTAGTGGTGCCCCAAGGTGGACAGCTTGCGTTGCATTAAATGTCGTAACGTATCCACATACTGTGGCGGCACTTTGGCCTGCTGTGCGCTCGTGTTGCGCCAGTGCAGACCGTTGTTGTCCACGTGGAAGAGCGCTGGAGAGGGGACATGATCCTTAAGGTAGTTCCAGATGCACTCGCGCAGCAGAAGGGCGATCTAATAAATAGGAGTTAGTTAATATACTTTTCACTAAGATAATTGGAACTTGATTGGTATAAATTAATCCTACCTCTGCAGATTCAAAGTGCTCAATGATGAGATGCAGATTGGTAAGTGGCGGTGGTATCAGTTGGCTCATAGCCAGCAGTTGCAGCATCTTTTTGGTGCAGAGCATCAGCTCATCGTTCGCAGCCGTGGGCTGAAATCTATTGACTGAAAAGAAAAACATTTTGTTTAGGATTTTACCAATAAGTTAAGGGAATGCATTAAACCTACCATTCTTTCCCCGCCAGTGATGCAAGCAGGTGGCGCAGAGCGCCCGCAATAACACGGAGGAGTAGCAAAGTGCCGGTCTATGACCCGCAATCAGTCCCAAAACCGCCCATAAAACGGGCGAAGTGATAAACGCTCTTCTTATTTGCATATCCCGCTCCATTGTGACCCTTGTGAACTCCTCATCCGGAAAGGGCAGACCGTTGTACATGACATCCGTGGAGACCAGCTCAACTAGAAGGAGTGAAACCAGCGAGTAGCCCTCCACATTATTTGGCTTCTCCAAATCGGCGCAGCAAGCATTTAATGCCTTCAAATAGAGCGCCTGTTTTTCCGCATCGCAGTTTCTGTCGTTTGTTGGCAGTACGGGTCGCAGACCACGTCCAATAATCCCGGAATGAAGCACAGATCGGTTCGAGTTGGCGCCAGAACTGGTGTGCAGGTTCTGCAGAATGAGCAGTTCGTGCTCAGGTATTTGCAGCTCATCTAGTTCGTACTCCTCCAGTTGACCCAACAGATGACCGTGATAAAAAAGGGCACCCTCAATCAGTTCCCGTAGGCAGACAGTTCTGGCAATTTTTCTGGCGGAGCACTGTCGCTGCAGCAGAGTGAATGAGCGATGCGAGGCAGCCGCTCGACGGATCACAGCTGCAACACATAACTCGATTAATAAAAGGAACATATCGCAGCAACAATTACTTACTCTGTTCCGTTAAGCCCACAAAAAAGTACTTTACGCTGAGCACGGACAACTTAAGGACCAGTGACGTTCGGAGGACATTGTTGCGACTGCCAGCATCTATGTTGTTCAGCAGGTCGACAATCAGGTGCGCCAATCGCATTCGATCCACGTCTTCATCTTCCGCTTTATCTTCGCCCGACTCCAGTTTTGGTCGCTTTCCATAGTCCTTGCCATTGCACATGTCATTGTTGTTGTTATTGTTCGTCTGCTGCGCCTTAAATTTCTCCGCACTCCGTTCAGCTGCATCTCTGTCCATTTTAAGAACCAATTTGTTGACGGTGCAGTCAAAAATTTGGATGATTTTGGGCAGGCATTCGTTTAGTGCTTGGTTTAAATGCTGAGCTTTGATATAAGGAGCCACGTTTTTGCTTTTGTGCATCCTGAAAGTGTTTGTTAAATAAGAAAGTTAGTGCTAACGTTTCGAGAACTTAAATATCTTCTTACCTGGCAAGTATGTTGAGGTTTGAGAATGTGTTGAACGCTTCTGAAGGTGTTCCCGGTGGTGCTGGCAACCGATTGTTAACCTGAACTTGCAATGTAATATCTTCCAAAACCATTTTAAAGCCAGGCGTAAATCCCGGAAAGTTAACCATGCCACTTTGGCCACCCAGCAAACGAATTAGAGCGCCTATACCATTGGGATTCTGAGCGTAGGACTTCTTGAGAAGCTGGGATATCGTCTGGTAGTAAATGTGTGGATGCTGGGAGGCTAAAATGGGGGAAAAAAATTGTAAGATCGTTAGTCTTCTCAAGTACTAAAACAATGTTATTTCTACTCACAGACAACCAGCAGCAATCTCACGGCCGTTTGCTGCTCGAAGAGATTGGTGCTGAGGCAGCTTTTCCACAGCATATACTTTGTTTCCTCATAAGCCAGATCTACCAACAGCGGAAAGTTTCGCTGGTTCAGCACCCACTGCTCCAGTTCCTGCATCGAATTGTCCAAAAAGTCCTGGCACCAAACGTACTTCTCGGCCATCTTCGCTGCCGTAATCAGCAGCGTGGCTCCGTGTTCGTTTAGCCGGAGAACAGCATTATTTAGCGTGGGCTGCATGCCGGCGAACATCTTATTGCTCAGCCAGAGCGGCGACTTTTGTACTATTACCTCGCACATGTCTTCATTATCTGCAAAGATACAAATTTTATATTTTTATAATATCTCGTACTAAATTGCATAACAGATTTGAGCCCTAAAAAAAATCGTTTATAAAAACCAAGAGTTTTTTTTAAGACAAGAATTATTTCTTTAGCCGGCACTCACATATTTCAACTAACACAGCGACCAAGCTTTCCAGAATCGTGTCGGAGTAGTTGGTGGTGATCAGGAGGAAAGGAACGACGGCCACATCAAGTGGTTTTTTTGGCGCAAAACCATCCTTAAGCATTTCGCGGAAGGCGGCTCTCAGCTGCTGTTCGTGGCACGAGGTCATGTAGTCTAGAATGCCCGCCTCCGAGTCCAGGTGACAGCGATAATCCTCGACAAATCGCTTGATGCCGCACTGCAGGATCTGCATGATGATCTTGTAGGGAAAGCAGCCACCTAGCCTGGCCACAATCCAGTCAAAGGTCATGGGAAAACGGTGAAAGGCGTTCAGCATGATCTCCACGCAAGCCTCCTCCTCCGGTTGGGTTAACTTTCGGAAGCAGCTGTTTATGAGGGTCATCAGGCCGTGCATGGCGCTGCATTCGAGCCAATAGTTACAGCTGGCCGTGATCGTCATCCGGCGCTGAGTGTACTTATCCGAAAGCTTGGCCACCAGTTCCAGGCTCCAGTTGGCAATTAGAGGCGACCAGGCGGGCGGACCCTTCCACACAAGACTCTGCAGAGCCGTCTTGACCAAGTTGAAGCTTTCGTATTCCGGAGCACGGAGTTGCTGTTGGCGATTGCCAGCTTGTTTCACCTGTGATACCGGCATTCCGGTCTTTGCGTCTGTCATCTCCGGCGAAACATACAGCTGCACACTAATCTCGGCAAGCAAAGCAAAGTACTCGAATACTATGTCCCGCGTGGCGGGTAGCTCCTCCAGGAATCCCAGCCTGCAAAAAATCCGGCGTTTTGTTTACTATGATTTTTTCGGACTCGGTTGGCTGCTACTCACGCGAGCTTTATGAGATTGGGGCTGGTCAGCAGCTGGGGACAACTGTGGCCATTGCTCACAGTCTCTATGAAGTGCTTGAGCTGATCCAACAGGTTCTGGCGCAGCATTCTGTCGTTTCAGGCATCGGGAAAGTAAAAAAGTAAAGTTGGCCAAACGAGCTAGGGATGAGAAAAATATCAAAAAAAATATCAATATATCGATACATTTAAGAAACTAAGAATTTATATCGTACAATTTTTTAGCCATATTTTCGACTTATTTCGTTTATAGTCTAATTTGTTTCCTGAGAGCCATTTTTTTTACAGAGTTCAAAGATTTTGTTTCATATAGAAAATGGGTGTGTTCTTAACTGTAGTGGAAGCTTTTCTTGTTATTGCTAGCTATGATTTTCAGTTTCGCGGGTATTTGTAGAAGGTTGCCGGACTGTCATACCGGCATTGTTGCAGATTTACCGCTCATTGGGAAAAATACTTTCTGTATTTGGACTCGGCTTTAAATTTTGGTAAAATTCGAATTTGGAAAACAAATTTTTGAATGATGAAGAATTTGTCTAATTATGTTACTTGAAAATTACAATTCCCTTGTAGGAAGCAAATATCGAACCATTATCGATTACTGTTAAAATTTATAAATGGAAACTAGTTCATCATTCAGTTATAGTTCACGAGTCGCCATATTGAAATTCGTCGTTCGGTCAGACCAACGCTCTAGCGTCGGTCCGCGGAAAATAGCAAAAATCACAATTATCCGGGCAGTTAGATTAGTCGAAAATAGCGCGTGGCCCCCCCAATAAATATGCGAAAGCGTAAATTGTACATAAACTGAACTGAAAGCAGCCAGCGTGCGAAGCACTGGAAGTTAAAAAACGTCAGAAACAGAAACGAAACAAGGAATTGCAGCGTGAGTGTATAACTTTTTGGTTGGTATTGCCCCCGCGCTCTCTCTCTCTCTCTCTTACACCGCACTCTCTCTCCCGCTCTCTTGCCCTCTTGCGGCTTCTGTGTTGTCTGCGTGCGAGTGTGTGTGTTTGAATTTAAGATTGACTGTGACTGTGTGTTCTCACGTACTCCGCGGATGATTAACGGCCTTGCGGAGAGATCGGACTAAATATCCCGGCTATATAGCCCATATTGGATCCCGATCTGGAATTGAGGGGAAGTTCTGCTCCCTTGGCTGTCGGCCCCCCTTTTATCGCACTTTATGCAACAACGCAAACGTCGGTCGTGTTGAATTTCTCCGCTCTCCGCTGTGTGTAGTGTGTTGGGTTTTGGGCAGCGTGGTGAGTTTGTCATCGTCTGTTTTTCTTTTTCCTGCGTCTTGTGTGCGTTTCAATTAAATGCAAAATCGGTATCGAGGAAATGCGGTATGGATACAATACACACATGAACAAACTATCGAATCAAAACAAATTCTGTTTGCAACAATAACAACAACGTGCGGCCAACAGTGTGTGGGTGTGCGCGTGTAGAGTATGTGTATGTGTGTTGGGGAGACGGCATTTTTCTTTACCACACGCCTCTTCTTCTTCCCCACAATACGCTGCAATTTGTGCGATTCTGTTTTGCGCCTGCCATTCGCAATAATTTTATTGAATGAACTGCAAAAGAGACGGCCCAAAAAGCGATGTACTTGCCAGACGTTGTGTCTGTGTTGGTAATCTGTGTGTGCTGTTTCGCGTTGTGTGTGTATCGCGTATGAAAATACATCAACTGTTGGGCAAAAGAAATGGGTAAAAAATAAAGAAAATTGGCTGAATTTGCAATCGCACCGGAGAGTGTTTATAATTGTGAAATTTTTGAGTTCTCCGCCCGCTTCTTTCACCCCACCTCCTGTCCCTTCAATGCCACCCCAAAAAGTTGCATACATGCACACGCCTTCGATTGTGCGAGTGTGTTGGTGTGAGCGCGCGCGTATTCCGCACACATTGTCATGCATGCAAAAACAAGATACGACGCGTTCGTAATCGTCAGACTCCTGAATCCCCCCTTTCTTTACCTGTCTTCCTGACCCCCTATTTTTTATTGCGAGAGAAAGAAAGAAAAGAGATATCCGTAAGGAACAGGCGCAATTCCAATTTGGACTGCTTTGTTTTTTTTTATAGAGTCCTGCATCCTTCGCATTTTCCTTTTCACCATTTCGGTCTCTACTTTTTCACGCCTTCGCGGCCACTTGCAGCTTTCGCTCGCGTGAGTCTGTGTAAAGAACAGGAAGAGAGAATCAAGACTCCATTATACAGTTGCGGTTCAAATAACGACATAGCTTAGTTTTATTATAGGGAAAAGGAATTAACAATGATATCTTGCGAGTTGTATTAAAAGGAGATTACATCGCTTCACTTAAATTTATAATGCATTATAATACTCTGATCACCAATATATAAAAAATTATTAATGCGAATCTAGATTTTAACTACGTCCTGTTCCAAAAAAAAAGAGATAAAAATATTAATTCAATAGTTTTAGCAATTCAACAAACAAAAAAAAAAAGAAACATCGCATCATTATCAATATGAGTCAAAAACGACATTATCTTGATCGTAATTGGATCTCTCCCTTACTCTCCGTAAGAAACCCAATTGTTGCTGGGGCGAAAAATACTGCCAAGTTGTCATATTTGCCAGACTTTATCGATGACTCCAGGGCAATTTTTCGCACACAGATTTTCTCTTGGCACTTTGGCAACCTTCTGCTGGTTATTAATAAAAATTTATAATGACCAAATCTCTGGCTCTGTGGCACTTGGAAATTCTCATGTATTCTCATGTTTTTTTTTCGCAGCTGATTGCGTAAACCGCTCGCGACGTTTGTTTTGAATTGCTGTTTTTGTTTTGGTACCGATTCTCGGGCCTATAAGTGTGAAATCTCTGGCTCTCTCGCTCAACTCTCCGGGCGTTATCAGTGCGGAATTGGCCTATGGCGCTTCATTGAAACTGGTGTGGGGAAGTATAGTATGGCGTATAGTATTTCGTTTCGTTTCTGAGATCTTAATCGTTGTGCAAATCGCTGTTGAATTGACGAAGCACGCATTTTGTGAACGTCTTGCAACCTTGGGTGGGCGGGCAACGGTGGGTGGCGTGGATTTTCACTGTCGATCTGGGGTGACGTAAATATGTTTGCGGTGGATTGCCAACTTTGAGGTGGCGCTCTTCAACGATGACGTAGCTCTTGCCGTTTCTGTTTATTCGTACTTTATTTTACACTTGCCCGTTGATTTTCGGCTTGCACAGAAAGAAAGAAAGAAATGTTGATAACTGTATCTGAATAATTATTAATTTCACCTACATTTTGTATGTATGTATGTCTTAATTTATTAAAAAAGTACAGATAACATTTGATGGGGGGGATAATCCCAAAAAATATTAAGAAAAATGTATTCGATTTTGACCTACTAACTACGATGCAATTAATATCTTTTTATCTGTGTAAGAATGGATAGTTTTGTTTGCCCTCCACAATCCCACACTTTGATTCTCCCGCTCTTCCGCTCTTGCTGTTTGTTTTCTTCGCGCGCGTGTTTGCACTCGCCGTGGGGCGAAAGCGCAGCGATAATAGTTGCTTATACATACATATATAGTATACCCCACTTATACCGAAAACTAAATCGCACAGATACACACGCACACTGTTACAGGCCTAGATCTAATGGAAAACGCTTAATGTTTGTAAACATACCGGGAACAGCACATTTCTTTTATTTTTTTGTTTGTTGTAATTCGCATCTAAATCTGAATGGTCTTCTCTTCACTTATCTCTCTCTACACTCTTTCTACCGAAAGCACATACTAGAAACGTAGCTTTCACATTTTCATTCATCGCGAAATTTCCCAGGAAATGTTGCAAATACTTAACGATAAGGTATAAGATGCATTTTCTAATCCCTAACCTCAATTTTATGAATCGGAATAAAACTGAAAAGTTTTTTTTTATCAGTTTGTGTGCCTACAATATCAAAAGTCTGTGTAACGTATCGCACTTAGTATTAATTTAAACTGTTAATTCTTGTTGTGTTTAATGTACGGCTTACTACTGTTCTAGTAAATAATTATAGGAGCCTTCTTGAACTACCAAATAATTAAAGTGAAATAGCGGTAGGCAAATTAATATATCACAGTAGTCTCTAGATTTTTGAGATAAGCATATGTTATTTTATTAAGCATTTTATAATATTTCATTGTATTTTACAACATCTTTCAGTGCAGTCTCTTCGTGGGCCCATCCCAATCCCATTAGTCCCCACCCGGCGCTGGAGTGGTAGCCTAACATGGATATAGAAGACAAGCATAAAAATTAGCCGAATCCTTTGAATTCTAAATTCAAGATCCTAATTTAAATTAGCCAAGTAGCATAGCATAGCCTATAGCCCCTAGCCAGAAGAACGGTTCCAAGCCGACAGTATTCGCGTTTATAGGTCAGTTAACCGAATTCCAAGGACATCAGCGAGTAACTCACCAGGAGAACTCCCAGGAGCAACATCATCATGACGACCGACACCCGCCGACGCGTCAAGCTGTACGCGCTCAATGCGGAGCGCCAGTGGGACGACCGTGGCACGGGCCACGTGTCTTCAACCTATGTGGACAGGTTAAAAGGTATGGTTACAAAGCTCAAAAAAAGTGTTTGAAAGACTTGTCATAACTTTCTTTAAATATTTCAGGCATATCCCTTCTGGTGCGTGCCGAATCCGATGGATCTCTGCTTCTGGAGAGCAAAATACAACCGGATACCGCCTATCAAAAGCAACAGGACACCTTGATCGTCTGGTCCGAGGGCGACAACTTTGATCTGGCCCTGAGTTTTCAGGAAAAGGCGGGTTGTGACGAAATATGGGAAAAAATATGTCAGGTACGTGTCTTAGAGCAAAGCAATAAGTATTAATTCATTTAAGCTTTAATCCTAATAGTTCGGGACCTAAATTTTTAATGATTTTAGGAAACATTATTCAATCGTAATGATTCAGCGTCTAAATCATTATCAGATTCAAGAATAATTTTATAGTGTAAAATTCTCAAAAAGGTTACTTTGCATGACCTTTTACATTGATAGAAACATAATTTGAAAAAATTACAACTTAGGCTTTATGAGAGTAATTTGGGTAATTTGATATTAACTTCGTTATTAAACACTTCTACAGGTGCAAGGCAAGGATCCATCGGTGGAGATAACGCAGGATATCGTGGAAGAGTCGGAGGACGAGCGTTTTGAGGACATGTCCGATACGGCGCCACCCATCGAGCTACCACCCTGTGAGCTCTCCAGGCTGGAGGACATCTCGGAGACGATACAGAGCTGTCTCTCCACGCCGCTGCGCAAGGAGAAACTGTCGATGGCTCTGGAATCGGAGAGCTACATCAAGAAGCTGTTGAACTTGTTCCATGTGTGCGAGGATCTGGACAACACAGAGGGTCTGCACCACCTGTTTGAGATCTTCAAGAACATCTTCTTGCTGAACAAGAACGCGCTATTCGAGATCATGTTTGCGGATGATACCATCTTCGATGTGGTCGGGTGCCTGGAGTATGATCCAAGTGTGGCCCAGCCGAAGAAGCACCGCCAGTATCTGAAGCAATTAGCAAAGTTCCGCGAGGCGGTGCCAATCAAGAACCAAGACCTGCTGGCCAAAATTCATCAGACGTTCCGGGTGCAGTATATCCAGGACATCATTCTGCCCACGCCGTCGGTTTTCGTGGAGGACAACATGCTGAACACTCTTTCCAGCTTCATCTTCTTCAACAAGGTAGAGATTGTGACGATGATCCAGGATGACGAGCGCTTCCTGCTCGACGTGTTTGCGGTGCTTACGGATCCCGCCACCGGCGACATGAAGCGTCGCGACACAGTCCTCTTCCTGAAGGAGTTTTGTAACTTCGCCCAAAACCTGCAGCCGCAGGGCAAGGACTCGTTTTACAAAACTCTTACCTGCCTGGGCATCCTGCAGGCGCTGGAACTCACTCTCGTTATGAACGACAAGAAGACCAAATCGGCCTCCATCGACATTCTCACGGCCATCGTTGAGTTCTCGCCGCTGGTAGTGCGCAACTATACGCTTAACCAGGCCAACAGGCCTGAAGGGGTAAGTTTATCTAATAGATTACGATATTATAGCTTGTGTGTAGGTCCAAACAGAATGTGAGACAGTTCACAAAAGTTTAAGGTTTCAAAAAAATGGTTATTCTTTTATAAACTAATATGTATATTTATTTTACTACATTTACTTAGGAGCGTATGCTACTAAACATTGCCATCGAGCAAATGCTGAACGATTCGGAGCCGGAGCTTGGCATTGCGGTACAGCTAATGGGCATCGTCAAGATCCTGTTGGAACCGGAAAACATGCTCACCGAGAAGGGCGATTTCCTCAACTTCTTTTACAAATACAGCGTCCAGACGTTAGTGGGTAAGTTCGACGTTTTGATTGTCTACAATTACAGGAATTACCTTCTTAATACTTTAAAGCTCCATTGATGCTTAACACGATGGGCGACCGTCCGCAAAATGAGGACTATCAGACAGCCCAGCTGCTGGGCATCGTCCTGGACATTTTGTCGTTCTGCGTGGAACACCACAGTTATCACATTAAGAACTTCTTACTCCAAAAGGATCTCCTTAAGCGAATTCTGGTGCTGATGAAAAGCACACACACGTTCCTTGTCCTTGGCGCTCTGCGACTGCTGCGCAAGATAATTGCACTTAAAGACGAGTTCTACAATAGGTAATTAAATCAAAGCTGATTTAAGTAAATAAGAGTGTTTACTAATGGGTTTTTTCTTGCCCACAGACACATTGTCAAGTGCAATCTCTTTGCGCCGGTTGTGGATGCCTTTATTCGCAACAACGGCCGCTACAATCTTCTGGAGTCGGCCATTCTGGAGCTGTTCGAGTTTATAAAACTCGAGGACATCCGCACCCTGTGCGTCTACTTCGTGGAGAACTTCAGCAAGATATTTGATGAAATCGAATATGTGCAGACATTCAAGTACTTGAAGAACCGATATGACCAGTACCAGGATAGGCTTAAGGACCGCGATAAGATGGAGAACCGAACGGACGGGTAAGTGTTTCTTCAGCGCCTTGTGCCCCAACACAACGTGAAAATCTTTGGGTGTATTATCTTAAAGTGGCCTGCCCATCATCCGTAGCGGTGGCCGGTTTCGTCGAGATCAGCGGCAAATGGAAGAGGAGGAGGAGATGTGGTTCAATGAGGAGGACGATTTCACCGAGGAAATCGACACGTACAACAATGTCATGAAATGTAAGTAATAGAAGATTACCAAAATTTACGTTATAAGAAATATAATTAATAACCTTTTGTCTTGTAGCCGTCAGCGAAAAGAATGGCCCGCAAACGCAAAACCAGCAAAAATCCTCTCCGCCGCACAGTACGTCGCCGCATAGTGGATTGTTGGGTAACCTGAACACCACCGCGTCATCCACTGCCACATCAGCCGCGTCAAGCGCACCGGTGGCCAGCGGTAGTAGCAGCCCCGAGGCAATCTCTGCCGACGAACAGACGCAGGCGGCGGTACATTTGGCCGCCGCTGCCAACATTGCCCTACAGCACCACCAGCAGCAACAGCAACAACAGCAGCAGCAGCAACAGCAGCAGCAAAACCCATTCCAGCAACAGACACAGCCCGAGATTGCGGAGCTGCAACAGCAGCTGAGCAACGTGGAGGCGCCACAAAGCCAAGAGATGGAGCTGTCACAGTCGGCTGCTGCTAGTTCATCGCCCACATCATCTCTAGAGGCATCCACGTCATCATCATCGTCCTCATCCTCATCGTCTTCGTCCTCGCCGCCGGGTCCATCAGCGGCCGCAGCTCTGTGCGATTCGGCGACAGTGGCAGCCGTGGCAGCTTCACAGTTTCTCACAACGATCGCCACGGCCATGGCGGCGTCTGTGACGGCGGCGGCGGCCACAAGCAACTCCACCAGCCTGTCACCGGCCCCGGCTGTCTCCAGTCCGGATATCGAGAACGCCGATGCCCAGTTGCCGCCCAGCGATGATGCCAGCAGCCCGGTCAGTGCGGAGCAAGATGCGAACGGCACAGACTCCGCCAGCAGCGATGCGGATAAGGCGACGGCCAAAAAGGTATGTTGAGAATTCCAGATGTGATAGAAATAAAGATGAGCGGCGAACTACTGTCCACTATTGTTTTATTTTATATTTTTTTTTTTGAGTTGCTTGCAAACTTATTGCTATTCAACCAAACTATTCCAAATGTTGAATGTAAGTTTTTAATTTATCAAACCGTTGAAAACAATTTCACAGGGTTTGGTGGACTACGAGAGTGATTCTGGCGAAGATGACTACGAGGAGGACGATGACACCGACGGGCAACAAGCACAAAAGCGCGTGCGTCTGGCATAGTTGGCCGATGACGAGCACGGCGGCATCAATTATAAATTAGTACACACATAACAGAACCCAACAAACCACGGCAAACAAGAAACAACACACAGATCCCCATACACCAACGAATGTTAGGTTTGCATTAGCGGCAACGACAGACAGCACAGCAGACAGCCGTACGATGTAAGATCGAACAAGAAAATATACAATTAAATTTTAGCATAAAATTTATTTTAAAGGAGAAAGCAAACAACCTAAAGTAAACGAGAAATTATAAATCTTACTTTACTAAATTAAATAACTACATATAAATATATATATTCAAATATATATGCATATGAAAACACAGATAATTATAACTGATCAGCATCCACAGGCAGAAGGAAGATGCATTTGAGTGCAGTGCGTGTTGTTCGAGAGTTGGAAAGCATTAACGAAACAAACCAAAATAAAATGTATTTAGTAGTTAAATCCGACACAGAGGATACACATCTGTGGAGGAGCCGTCAAGTGGTGTGGGACATTTGTATACTGACAGTATATCCATTCGCATGTCCCTTGTAAAACAGCAGTTAACAGATCCTGTGAAGTTGGCTGCTGGCCGAGAATGTTGTGGGCAAACCAATCCAATTTTGTGCAATATTTCAATGTTGGTATTTTAAGGACAATTGCAAAATGTATCTTACCTAGATTAGTTGTACTGTTTAGATTTAATCACTTTTACTATCCTATGAGAACGATTACCTGCCAATCGCACTATCACACAGCGCTGTTTTCAACTGACAATTTGAGTAAACAGTTCTTATCGCGGAATCAGTTGTAAAAGTCTATATTGTAACCAGCGCTGTATTACAACAGACCTAATGGTCTAAGGGAGTCGGGAAAATTTTCCGATTACCTCATTAAACCTTATCAGCGGTGTAACGTAAATAATTGTCAATAATTTTAATTTTAAATTTTAAACTATTCCCAAAGCAGTGAAATATGTATCGCACTATAAATCAGTGTAGGTTCTGTTGCAATTGTTTTCTAAATACCAGTTGCCATGGCCAACTTGACAAATTTTGTTAACCCCTTGAGTTAGACGCAGATAACACTTGAACCCAATGATCCTTGTATATAATTTAGCCAGTCTCAATATGCGATTAGTTGATAACTGTTCTTGCACCACTGACGCCAACATTAAACAGATTTGAATAATTTGGATTTGAGAGAAATCGAAAGTTTTGCACAATATTGAGCAGTTTGAGATCCAAACTCTTGTAGGTAAAACCAGAAAAGCGTTGTCTGACTGTGTAATTAAAAACAATTGTTGCGCTACCCTTGCATTATTGAACCACAAACACACATACACACCACACACATCAATAATTAAATAATTATAATGATAAACAAATAGAACGTAAAGTTAAACTAAAGTGGGGCAAACAAGCATCAGCAAACAAATAACAATAAAGTAAAGTAAAATAGTCTTCTTACGTTTTCGTCTAGGTTTTTTTTTCACATTTAAATATAATATTAATTTGTATTAAAAGAATGTAGTAGGGCTCACTTTGAACACACATACATACGCTCGCTTACACTCAAACCAACCGACATCCCACATCCACACCGACAGAAAGTAATAAAGTTATTTGTTAATAATCGTATTTGCCATGTGCGTTGCGTACTGTACTACATTTATTTATTTTAGTGTTTAAATGAATTTGTCACTGCAAACGGTTTCCCTAGAGCAACCGATCGTTCCCCAGCCTCCAAAGCCCTACGCAAAATACCTATATTATAGTCTGGGAGAACGAGTATCCATACATGTATCCTTCCAAGTTGATGTTTTTGTTTGATTGATTGATTGATTGAGAAACATTAACGAACCGAATCCGCAAAGTGCATAAACAAGAATGGAGATAACAAGAAACAGAAACGAACACAAAGGCAAAAGATAATGAAAACTAAACTTAAACGTAATGCGACAACACTATAGTTTATACATAGTATTTATATGAATCGTGTATTGTATATGATATGCTGTCTAATCCCTAATCCTAACACATACCCATTTCGTCTATAATTTGAATATTTTATTTAGTTGTTTAAACATCCGTGCGTAAAAAGCGATATATATAACTCTATATTATGATTATGAGTAAATTAAATAATAGTTTTTAATAGTTTTTAAACAGAAACAAATGGCTAAGCTCTCAACGTGTTCTTTTATTCAATATATATGAAACACCTGATGTCAGGTGTCGGGTGGTTTTTCACTGTCATGGCAACCGATTCAAGGACCAAACAAATGTTTCCAGCAAATGTTGACTAAACTTTTCGGATTTGTGTTTAGTGACTTCATTCAGTTGTATCGAAAATGTCCGTTGAAGACTCTTGGGTTTTTGATTCGTTGGTGTGCTTTTTGCACGGACCCGTTTGGAACGCCCCGCTCCAGACTTTTATAGAGCAAAAGTCCTTGGGTAAGAGTGCTTCTTGAACATTGGTGTGTCATCAATAACTTGAGGATTTGGTGCAGTCTTCGATCCCAATCTCCAGTTGGATGAGAACAATCCTGATATACTCCAGATTCACGAGGAATACAAGAATCTGGTGGACTATATGCTGGGTAGTTTCATGGAGGAGATGCAGATATCGCCGGAGCAGTTCGAAATGGCTTGTTTGGAGGGTCGACAGCAGGGCCAGGGTGAGAACCCCTTCCAGTTCCACCAGGTGCTGTTCCAGCAGGTGATTTTACATGCATATTCTACCGCTGCAGTTTCCATGAGATGGAATCTTTCAGATTTGGGCCGCGAACGACCTTAAGATATTCATTCGCATGATGACGCAACGCAATGTAGAACTTCAGCTGCAGGCCCTCGATCTCATCGAGAAAAATCAATTAGCTCAAAGTACCGCCGAAGAGGGGGATGACCACAGTGCGGACGCCTGCTCGGATCCAGGGTGGGTTATTACTTCACCTCAAGAAACTAGTCTTATGCAACTGCAGCAAAAACTTATAAAGCGTTTTGTTTTCGCAGAATGAAAACCAATCAATTTTATTTGATTTTATATTACCTTTTTAGTATTAGCTGGTTTGTTTATAATATTTATCAAATTTAACAGTGACACCGCCTCCGAGGTGGAACAAATGATTGCAAAGACGGTGTCCGATGAGCTGGAGAGTCCGGAGGCAGCCCTTACCCCAGATCAGGATGCCAACCTGGATCTGGTTAACGACAAGTTTCAGCGCCTGAATCTGTTCTTCGAGCAGGAGGACCATGTGGATCCCAGTGATGTCGTGTCGCGACAGGAATATCTGCGTCAACAACGCGACAAGATTGTGGAGATTAAGAAGCAGACGCGGGCCAAGCAATTGCAAGAGACCATGTCCCGGGGAACACCCCATGCGCCAGAGGGAGCACGTCCCAGTTCCGCATTGGTGGCCCAGCAGCTCCTGGAGAACGGCGGTCGGACCAAGGAGCTCTCGATGCCAGCTCCTCTAGAAGCCGAGGAGAATGCAGCTCTGCAACTCAGACGCAATCTTGCCAAGCGCTTGCGCAGCGAAGTGGTGGAACAAAAGTGAATGCAAAGGACGCTCTATTTTCTCTACTATTCCCATTTATTGCAGATGCTCAACCAGAATTAACAAGGTGACATTAGGTATTGCGACATGCAGACTAGTTCAGTTGGTGGATGCACAAGGTGTGTGTTATGTTTTACTTGCTCCGTTTTCACTCGCCCATGTCCGCACACATTCCAGATTCGAGGAGTGGGTTGTGCATGGACATGGCCGGGTAAAATGATCAATTTCGGTTACGCTTTTCGTAAAAATAAACATATTGCTAGTGAAGTGTTTCTCAAAAACTGTGCAGATTACTATTCTATGTGGGTATGCGATCCCGCAAGTAGGACATGATTGCATCGGTGCCCTTCATCAGGATCTGATGGCGGGGCTGGCGAAAAGGGTTTCCCACCAGTTCCAAGTGCCTGAAATGTATTAAAGGGTTTTAGTTCGCCAATGAATTTTGCAATCAAGATATCTTACGTTATGTTTGTCAGATTTCCCAAAATGGGTGGCACTGTATCGATATCGTTATTGCGCAGGTCCAATGTACTTAGGCGTTTCATGTTCTGCAAACCTGACACATTTAACATTTTGATGTGGTTCTCACTGGCAATGAGGATCTCCAGACCTTGTAACTCGTACACACAGTTGGGAATGAACGAAAAACTGAAAATTGAAATGGAAGACATAGTAAAGCTTGAAACTCATTTTATGATCGAAAACCCACCGATTGTTTGCAATGTTTAATTCACGCAAGGTGTTTAAAACACCAAACTCGTTTGGCAGATCATTCAACAGATTGTTGGACAAGTTCAGGAAACTTATACGTGTAAACTGGGAGATGAACTGGGGAACATATCCAATGAGATTATTGGACAGAACTAGCTCCGTGACCTGATCTTTCATGAACTGCAGGCTGAAAAGAAACAAACATCAAGTTATTGGGTTGAATCCTAAGAATATTCTTTATCATACCCGTTGGGCAAAGTGCTGAGCTGGTTGCGCGCAAAGTCTACAACATGTACTCCCTCATCCTTGGCTAACTGGAATACCTGGTCGGGTACTTGGGTAAGCTCCTCCAGATTGACAGCTAATGTACGTGTATGACGTAATTTGTACCTAAAAGTAAAGGATATATTTAAGTAAGTATTGAGACAACCAATAGCTTTATGATGGTTATAGTAAGAAACTTTTGGAACTTGGTGATACACTACACCCAACGAGGATGCACAGCTAGCTGAGAGGGTTCGTTTTGGGAATAGTTGAAGCATTGTTGCTGCTGCTGCTGGTACATAAAGCAGTTCGGATAGGGAAACTCTTGACGCTGTTGCTGCTGTTGCATAAAAAGTGATCTAATATGGCCATTTCGATGCTGCTGTCCGTAGCTCTCGGGTTCGTATATGTGTCCCTGCGTTTGGCGATCATACTCCTGACAATTCCTTAAGGGCTCATGTACAAAAAATTGTTGGTGCATTTGCTGCTGGCATTGATATGGATACTGGTATTGGAATCGTTGCTGCTGTTGTTGGTGAAAGCTGCAGCGGCGGATATCAATTTGCTGCCATGGCTGAAAAAAAATATATTTGCATACCTATCCGGAAAATTGCCGGGTATTTGATCATCGGCGTCCGTTTCGCCACCACGTAACCGTGTTACACTTATACCCGCTAAGGAGGAGGCACCATCAGCGCTACCTCCTTCCTCTTTGGATTTGGCCAGTGCTCTTTCATGGAGAGTCTTTAGAATCCTCGTCGTTCCACACTGCAGGATGTCACGACGGATCGTCTTAATGGGATTGCCCTCCACCTGAAGGCTTATTAAATGCGCCAACGAGGACAAGGTTACAGGTAGCACGCTAATTGTATTATTAGACACATCCAAGCGGTTCAGATTGCGCAGCAGGCATAGCTCGTCGGGCAGCTCTGTTATCTTGTTGTCTCTCAAATCAAGTATCTTTAAATGTGGCAAATTGTTGCACATTCCTTTTGGTATGGTCTGAAATGGGTGATATATGTTTATATGAATAACTTGCTTTGTTAATCAATTTCAATTACTATATAACCTTAATATAATTATTGCTGGCATGGAGTTCGCTCAAGGTCTCGTTTCCCTCGAAATCTGGTAGCTCCAAAATATCGTTGTGCTGCAGATAAAGGCATTCCAGTTTTCTCAGCAGTCCCATGTCTTCCGGCAAGCAGGTCAGGTCGTTTTGCATCAAATCAATCTTTTGCAAAGCTAAAGAAAGGAATGGATTTCTATCTGGATTAGAAAGTTCCCTGAGAAGGCCAGCACTTACAGCGCATATTAACAAGATCTGGCGGCAGTTCCTTGACGTGGTTATAAGGCAACAGTAGCGCAGTAAGACGCACCAGGAACCCAATGCCGCCGGGCAGGGACTGAATGTTGTTATGCCCGCCGTCCTTTTGTTACAATTAATTAGCAAGCAGTAGGTTATAGGGGAATACATATTTGGAATTAGTCAAATATACACCACAACCAGTATTATTTAGTTTATTATTGAATATTTTTCAGGTTTAGTATATTAAGTAATTTATCTTAAATTCAACTCTTGCTACACCCAACTTACCAGAAACTCGAGCATGTGAAGGTCACTAATGTCCGGATGGATTTCGTCGAATTCATTGTACGATATATTGAGATGTCGCAGCTCCGGCAAACTGTAGATCTCACGGGGCAGCTGGCTGAGCTTGTTGTGGCTGACATTCAAGCGAATAAGCTTTTCCAGTTTCCCAATTTCTGGTGGCAACTCCACTAAAGCATTATCGTGAAGCTACAAAAATAAAAGTTTAAGATTTTAAAGACTCAGATTACGTTTGAATTTCATACTGTAAGCACGGTTAGCGACTGCAGGTTCTCGATTTTGGGCGATATGTGCGTTAAGGTATTCGAGCTGAGGTCCAGGTTGTTCAATGGCACTTGGTTCCACCAAGCATCTTCCTCCTTGATAGTTAGCTGTTCCAGATTAACGGCCTTGCTATCCGCATCTGCCTCATTTATGTCGTAGAGTCGCTCGGGCACTGAAAAACCAGATATGAATTCAATTAGAGAGCGCTTATCCTGCGTAATCACTACACTACAGGTTTCTGTGCGGGAAGGAGGTTCTGGATCATCCAGTTCCAGCTCATCATCCGGATCCTCGCTCTCCAGCTCGTCCGCTGAGGAGGCCATCTGAAATTCACGAATCTGGTAGTAGCGTCGTCTTCGCGGATAAGGACCGCACATGCAGAACGAGGTGAGCTGTTTCCTGGAGGACGCAATCTTGGGAGATGCTTTTAGTACAAGTCACACAACCGACGTCGATTAGCTCACTGGACAGACTGAATCGAGCGATGACTGGCTTGTGGACGCACCTCTGGAGCACCTTTATGGAATGAGTCGAGGCGCGGATGTCGTCCAGTGAAGCGGCAAATATGTTCCCTGCCTTTTTTGGACGCCTCCAAGGTCAAGTTCGAGATCTCGATCGCTTTCGCCTCACATGAACTGGAACCACAAGGCGCTGCTGTCAACGAGGCCGGGGCTCCATGACTGACACCCCTGGTGATCCATTTGTTGCGGGACCATGGACTTCCAGCGACGGAGCTGCTCCTGAGTCACCACTGCTTGCAGGCGCCTCAATGTAGCTACTTTCAATCGAATAGTGCTGTCGAATTTCTGTGACTCGAAACTATTTTAAACAATAAACATCTCTTAAGTTATAAAAACATCTATTCTGAATTAATTTTATAAGAAATGGTTAAGAAAGAATGACTATACATTGTCTGGAAACTTATGAAATATTAATTTTAGGAATTCTATCATGGTTCTTAGGTGTTTGAATTTACAATTTCGAGTTACAGATTTTCGACCCCTTAAATATTAAATCCCTATGGACTCACCTCTAGCCAGTGCCTTGTTAGAAAGATTGAGAGTGCCCGACTTGCGGGCCAGTTTCCACAGTTGCTGGGTGAGCACGGAGTCGTCCTCATCGGTGGTCCTCTCATGGAATACCGGACGAAATGAGTAGTTTGACCGTGGGGAGTGGGCAGTAGGCTTCACACGTGGACTTTGGGCACAACGGGGAATCCTGCTTGTAGTCGAGTTACCTCTGGCGGGCTGGCGACCCCGTCCACTGCCGGTTTTGTCGCTCATTTCGCAGGGACAACCGTAGTGGGTGAAGCAGGAGTGACCAATTTCAAAGTCGCCGCCGAATGCAGATGCCTGGTTACATTCCTGTGTTCCGCGGAATGCGTCGAACTCCACTTCCTCGGGACCACTGAAGCTGGCGGAGATTCCGGAATAAACGGTTCAGTGGGACGTTTAATAGCCACCGAATCACAGGTGAATTCGGTTTTGTCAAGGTTTTGCGTCGTTTTATTTTGGCTCACTGTCAGCAGTCAGCTGTTTTTTGGGCGCTTTTCAACACTAGTTGTAGGTTGATTGCCAACGGTAATTATTTTTAAATCACTGGTGGCAGTTATTTCGTATGTGCTTATTTAGTGCAATATTACTAATGTTAATTTTTATAATAAAAATAATAAAATTTTTATAATACATAATAAAAACCGAATGTGAATTTTTAGTAGCCAAAAAGTTGTACAAAATAACAAACAATAATGTTTCGTACACAGACAGTGCTGCCTAATTCAAACTCCTAATAAAATATTTCAAAATTCCTAAAACAAACTTCTACCTACAGCTGCATAAAATTTAAATAGAAATCAATTGACTTTCCCAAGAAGCGGCGGCGTTTGAGACCGCTGCACCTGCTCAGCATTTAATTACTCATCTAGATAAATGGAATTAGGCGCAGATGTCCCCTAGAACGGTAATTGATTTGATCGTGAACTTAAGTCTGGGCTTGCTGTGCGCAATCCGCAAGCAGCAAGCAGATTAAGAGCTTAGGGTAAGTCGGTACTTACTTCATCATCTTTCGGGGACCCGTTTGTCAATCTGTTTGGCTTCTGTTTCTGTGGGAGACACAAGACACCCGGTTACTTTGGAGCAAGGTCAGCCGCAAAAGTCAGTCAGTGGGGTGTATTAGATTTCTGTTGGTTAGTTCTACAAAAATAGTGCACAGAACGCCCCCCCAAGTTCACTCAGACCCCTCGAATGTTTGGTTGCCGAAGCGGCAAAAATGCTGAGCCACTTGTCTTTGCGCCATGCCCACTGCAATGGGCCTCGGCTGGAAAGCGTCTACGGAACAGGGGGCATTCTACACCGGCGTGGCCACGTCGACTGTCAATCAAAATTATGAATAATGTGGGTTCAGTTGCCTCCAATTGGCGGTCTTTCCCATCCACATGGGCCATCCATCCCCTGTCGAAAGCGACGAGGTGCAAACCCAGCGGAGAACTTGCCAGTTGTCATTCGGAGCTCATTGCAAGCGGACTGCCCACGTGAAAAATATAGTTTCGGTTCGGGATTGCATCATTCAAGACTTAGTCGGACGGACTACTACTACTCGAGTCCAAGGAGTTCCCCGACTCACCCTCGGAAAATATCCACGAAATGGCGGCCGGTGTCTTCAAGAGCTTTATGCGAGACTTCTTTGCGGTCGGTTAATGGAACTTAATTTAAAACTAAAGAATTTGTTCAAAATTTTACCAAAGGCTTCCAAAAGTTATCTAAAGCGTGCTGACAGAATTTCAAAAGAAATCTAGGGGTTATTGGCAATAATAGCCTGAAGTTGTACGCAAAAAAGTGGTATAAATGATTTAGAAAAGCCATTGGCCTTTAAAGCCATTGAAAAATAGTGTCTCAATTATGTAATTACATACTACTGTAAAATTATATATAATTTAAAAACCCTCTATTACTTGAGTTGCTCCTACATATTTGGTACCTATTGCATTGCTTACCTTTTCGAGGTCCTTGGGAACATTTCCAGCTGATGAAATGTTTGGAATGTGGGAAAGCTGGCCACCAGCCGACTGGATAATCCCTGCTAATCCACGGCGAAAGTGCAGCTGGCTTAGGGCATTTAATCAAGGCAGCGAAAAGCGTTTAATCCAAATCCATTCGGCCACAGGTGAAATACGACGACCAGCAGAATGATCCCCAAGCGGAACGACTTGATGGCAATGGCCGGCTTTATCCCAATTGCTCCTCGGATGTTTGGCTGAGATCTTGCGAGCGGGAGATAGTGGATCCCATCGAGGGTCATCATAGTGGACACATTCCGCAATGGATTAGTGGCAGCTTGCTGCGAAATGGACCTGGCAGCTGGAAGGTTGGGGACATGACCTTTGGCCATCTCTTCGACTGTTCGGCTTTGTTGCATCGATTTGCCATTAAAAATGGAAGAGTTACCTACCAGAATCGGTTTGTGGACACGGAAACGTTGCGAAAGAATCGTTCTGCTCAAAGGATTGTGGTCACTGAATTTGGAACGGCTGCTGTCCCGGATCCTTGCCACTCAATCTTCGATAGATTTGCTGCCATTTTTCGTCCCGACAGCGGCACAGATAATTCAATGATTTCCATTTATCCCTTTGGAGATCAGTATTATACTTTTACTGAGACACCTTTTATGCATAGGTAGGTGGATTTAAAATTTGTTGAAGATAATAAATAAATATTTGTATTATTAAATTATTATCATATATATACATATATAATACATATAATTATTTTAGAATCAATCCCTGTACCTTGGCCACCGAAGCTCGCATCTGCACCACCGACTTTGTGGGCGTGATAAACCACACTTCGCATCCACATGTCCTGCCCAGTGGCACTGTCTTTAACTTGGGAACCACAATGACCCGATCTGGACCGGCTTACACCATCCTCTGTTTTCCGAACGGAAGGCACATGTTCGAGGACGCTCATGTGGTGGCCACGTTGCCTTGCCGATGGAAATTACATCCTGGTTACATGCACACTTTCGGGTTGACGGATCACTACTTTGTGATTGTGGAGCAACCACTGTCTGTTTCCCTCACGGAGTACATCAAAGCCCAGTTGCATGGCCAGAATCTATCCGCTTGTCTCAAGTGGTTCGAGGATCGACCGACACTCTTTCACCTTATCGACAGGGTTTCGGGAAAACTGGTGCAGACCTACGAATCCGAGGCCTTCTTCTATCTGCACATTATCAATTGCTTCGAACAGGATGGCCATGTGGTGGTGGACATCTGCAGCTACAGGAATCCCGAGATGATCAACTGCATGTACCTCGATGCCATTGCCAATATGCAAACTAATCCTAATTATGCCACTCTCTTCCGGGGACGTCCTTTGAGATTTGTCCTGCCTTTGGGCACCGTTCCTCCAGCAAGTTCCGGAAAGAGAGGTTTGGTGAAGTCCTTTTCCCTGGCTGGCTTGAGTTCTTCTCAGGTTAACCGAACCATGAAGCACTCGGTTTCGCAATATGCCGATATAACCTATATGCCCACCAATGGCAAACAGGAAAATCCTGATGAGGAGAGCCCGAAAAGAGATCCCAAACGAGGTCGCTACGAGGAGGAGAACCAGATTAATCTGGTGACCTTGGAGGGCAGCCAGGCGGAGGCTTTTCAAGGAACAAGTGCAATCTTCCTGCGTCCTGAAATGCTTTGTGATTGGGGTTGTGAAACACCCAGGATCTATTACGAAAAACATATGGGCAAGAACTATAGGTATTTTTATGCCATAAGCTCCGATGTGGATGCAGAGAATCCGGGAACGGTAAGTTATATAATAAGCATTAAGAGTGAAAATCATAAAAATCATATTTTTATAGCTAATCAAAGTGGATGTAAAGAACAAGACGTGTTTGACCTGGTGTGAAGACAACGTGTATCCCAGTGAACCCATATTTGTGCCCTCTCCAGATCCTCAATCCGAGGACGATGGCGTTATCTTGGCCTCCATGGTGGTGGGGGGACTCAACGATCGATACGTGGGTCTCATTGTTCTGTGTGCCAAAACCATGACAGAGTTGGGTCGTTGTGATTTCCATACCAATGGACCAGTGCCAAAGTGTCTCCATGGATGGTTTGCCCCCAATGCTGTTTAGAATCTTTTTCCAACTCCTTAAAAGGGATCATCCCAGCCAGTATTAAACATAGAATTAGACTAGTGACTTTTGTATTAGCTTAAAACTTTGGATTCAATACATTTGCAATAAACTCCTGCCATTTGCGCTGGAAAACCCGATTGATCTTCCGCCGTTCATCAGAGGTGAGAACTGAGTATTTCAGGGAATTCAAAGCCAGTTGTTTGAGGAATCGCAAATCTGCTTCCGCCGGAGCCAAGGCCATAAAAGCGTAGTAAAAATCGTAACTAAGACCCTTGGCACCCCAGACGCCAGGATCATCGGAGGATATCACGATGGGGAAGTTCTCGGCCACCAGGAAACTAGCAGGATGGTTTCGCAGATCCCAGACAAAACCCAAAACTTGGTTCGAAATGGGATTCACTTCGATGGCAATGTTCCTCTTTTTGATAGTAGACCATAGTTGTGGATGTTTAGGTAGAGCGAATGCGTGACCTATGCGCTTTGTGTTCAACAGAATAGCATCCATCATGTTCCAATCAGTCCGCCCATGCCAATCTAGGGGTTAATCACTTGGGTTATCTACTAAAACAAACATTATTTAATTAACTTACTTGTCTCGCCGGCATGGAAAAAGTAGTTGGCGGTGCTGGGCAGATCGGAAAGTTGGTTTACATACTTATTCAGCGGATCTCCTGTGTCCTCCTGACCGATCAAATCGAATCCTATCACAAAGTTTGGCTTGGCATGGCTGTGAAAAATATTTAGAAAATATTTCAAAAGATAAATATTGTAAAATTAATTATAAACAATATAATCTTGTAAAATATTATAAACTACATAATCTTACTGCAGCTGTTTAAATGTGGTTATGCGTCTCAGCATTTCATCCTCTGTGGCGCGATTCCGTTTGGCATAAATCACTTTTAGGCCAACAAAGTCATGGTGCTTGGCCTTGAACTCTTCCACAATGCGTTCCAATTCGTTGGCTACCTCCAAAGTGCTCAGAGTGCGGTTGTTGTCGTCGTAAAGCTGAGTAAATCATTAGAAATAATTTAATAATTATTATTTATTATTTTGGTAGGTGAATGTTCTCTTAGTCAGAGTTACTCACAGGCGACAGGGAAGCTCGAATCTCAGCATAAATAATATTATCCTCGCATAGCTCCTCCAAAAGGCGTTTGTGGTAGGCACAATATGTAGGTCGATATTTGTAGAGTCTGTCCACGGTGGTAAAAATATTCTCAAAGCGCTCCCAGATCTTTTTACGATTAGGTAACAGCGCTATTGATTTGAAACACTAGGTAAACAACAAATAAATTTAAATAGTGTATTTATTTTTACCTTCTGGCCGGGGACCATGCATGTTGATGTGCTTCTCCAGCTGTCGCTCATATTTTCCACGATCCTCGGCATTTATTCGCTCCGTACACACATTTTGCACCTCGCTATGGCATCCAGTTTGATCGTAGGTAAACACCAGTAATCCATCCACATTCCGACAGGTGTAGAGATTGTTGGTGGTGGTCAGGTTCTGGATGATCCATCGTGAAGTGACCATTCCCGTGTTGTGACCGTGCAGAAAGGCACCTTTTGGCATCTTTTGGATCATCCGGAATACCTCACTTTGGCGCACATACTGTCTTCCCTGGAAGAAATGCATCGCCGGGGCATATTTCTCTGGGGTTTTCAGGCCCTCGGCGATCTCCGCCCGCTTGGCATTCATCAGGATGCTGTTGGCCTTCTCCTCATCGGATGACAGCCAGATATTGCCTCCCAAGGAGGCCACTCGCTCCGCTTCCATTATCTGCTCCCTCAAAGTCTCATAAGCTGATCAGATTAAAAAATGTTCAAAAATGTTGTAAAATTTTTTTTGTAATGTTACTCATTTAGTATTTTACATCAATTTGTTTTGTTTAAAACGAATTAATATATCTATAGATATTTTTTGAGCTAAACATTTGAAGCGTAAATAAAAACAATTTACAGGCTTATTTTGTTTTTCCACTTTCTATGTTTTTGAGTCCCATTCTATTTATGTTTTTTGTTTGCACATTTGTTTTCGTGATAAGAAGCTGTAGTAGTTGATCGACAAACAGAAACTGAATTGAAAACAAAATTGTTTTTCTTTAGAACGTCACAACCAAAAACTAATTTAAATAAAATGTTTTTTGGAAATTCCTTTGTGATATAGGACATTGGTTTTAATTGCCATCACTTTGATTTACATAACTAAGTATGCAATTTTAAGCATAAAGTGGTTTTATATTTCACTAAACTTAAAAAGAATTGATTTTTTAATTTTTGTTTTCAGTTAGAACACAAGTAACGTAGACACTTTTTAAGGAAGCAATTTCCTGGTAGATCCTTTGGAACTTACGTAGATCGGTGGCCTGCAGCCTGCCGAAAAGCATAGCCACATGGACCAAAAAAAATCCCAGCAGCAACATTGCCTTCTAGTAATCTCAGTTGTGTTTTTTAGAATTTACGCCGTATTTATTCGATGTTTGCCTCTTGGCGATCGCGGACCAACTGATAGTGCCTTCCGTTTAAATCTGACCCGTATACGGCTTGTGCAATTTCCATTCTGATCATGATCTTGGTCGCTGTGGGCATCAGTGGCATCTGCTGCAGTTCAATGACGGAGATTATTCCGCTCCGGAATGGGGCGCGAAATGTTTGAATGCCCCCGGGTTGGCACTTTCGTTGACACTGGCCCCCCTTTCAATTTGCAAATAAATTTCATGACGTAGCATGGTCAGTGCCAAAATGCCCTACGCAAAAGTGATCCTATATATAAAGCTTAAATGAATATGCAAATCTCGTTGGGAGAAGCATAACTATTGCTTATATATAGCTCATCTATTAAACCAACTTGGCCGGACATCTATGATTTTATCAGTAAAGCAATGTTTTTAATACATTTGCGGGTACTTTTTTGCATATTGTTGACTAACACAATTTGCTGTGTTTACCCGCCAAAAATTAAACTTGACATTGAATGTGAAATGGGGGCATCAGGGCATTGATCATAAAAGAGAAATCTCCTGGAAATATAATACCTTTCAAGGCGAAACCAACTGGGAAATATTTGTTTTGCAAGTCCTTAAATCTACTTCAAAGATTTTCCGTTAATAGAAACTATGTGGTTCACATCAGAATAAATTATTTTTGTTTTCATTGACTTTCCAAAACAATATTAACGCTATGATGTTGCATTTTTGTAGATAATGTCATCTGTGATTAAGAATTAAACAAACAAGTTAAAAGCAAACATTACAGGCAACGTAACTGCCTTTCCTAAACAATCTTTTTGTGTGAGATCGGAAATAATTGGCACATCTGTAATTACCGTAAATGGTAAAGCTTCCAGACCACTGTGAGGGGTTTCGGGGACCCGGAGAACTTATAATTCCACAGCCGTATGCCCCCAGAAACCAACAACCGCGTCCGCCAACGTCAGTGAAAATTTGCCAAAATAGAAAAATACGAATAGTTAAAAATCAGCGAGCGGTGGGCTCGTGTGCCTCCGTCATTTTAAATCACTTAATATGTGCGGGAGGTAGTCAATCACACAGGTATATGGATGATAAAGATACCCAAACAATCCAGGTACTAGAATGAAATTGCTCGGGAGCGTTGTCAACCGTTAAGAGTCGCCGAGGGTGGTGGCCACAGCTCAGATCTTTAATGAGCAGGCTGATTGTGTCAAAATTATGGTTTGTTTTTGCTTTTCTTGGTTTCCGCAGATTGAACAACCGCTTTCGACGATGGTAACCTCAGTTCTAATCGGACAGTTCAGCCGTTCGGTCGCAAAGAGAAAACAATTCCGCCTAATAATAATAAGTCAACGTGTCCGGAATCGTGTCAATATTTGGATAGTGAGCTCATTGGCTGGATATAAACTCAAATTAATCAAAGGACAGACAGTGAAAGTCCTTTAACACGATGTGGCGATTGCTGGTTGTGCTAGTGCTCCTTATTTCTCAAAACCAGATAAAGGCACAAACCTCGCTAAGTATGATTTAATCTTTTGACCGTATATGAAGTTTGGAATTCTTGTGCAGAAATCTACATTTGTGGAATTTTCAAATTATTTGGTGTTAATATTTAATATTTGCTCTGTTAAAGAAGTAGTGAGTGTAATGGGAAAGGGTTTTCACTTACGATTAGAATTTTTAAAAACAGATAGCAAACAAGTAAATGCTTAAAGTGCGATATTTTAGTATATGAATGTGCCAATAAATCAAAGTTTTCGCAGTATTTTCGTAAGTGTGCTAACAAATCTTAACATATTTATAGGCTATGAACAAGCTCGTCAGGCGGTTCTCACGGCGGAGGAGGAGCTAATGACTGGTGGACACACATATTTAAATACCCAGGAGGCCAAGGTGGACGACATATTCATGGAGTACAAACTCGGAGAGCTGGCGCAAGGATTCCGGAATGCCGATCAGAATGCAGCCGCTCTGCATTTTTTCAAGGGAAAACCGCTGATCGATCGAAGTAATATCTTTCGGTTTCTTCAGAAGATGCCGAAGGGAGCGGTTCTACACTTGCACAACACCGCTTCCGTGAGTTCCAAGTGGGTGGTGGATGATCTTTCGTACATGCCAGGTCTACTACGATGCACCACAGCCACGGGTCGAAGTACCCTTTCATTCCGAAGGACACCGAAGGAGCATAAATGCCAGTCGCAGTATGTCCTTGTTGCCGATGAGCGACGCAACTCCTTGGATCGTCAGGTGTACGATAGGAATTTTGAACGCCTCATCAATTTATATACTCCGGTTCCAGAATGTAAGTTAAAGGATTGATTGAGAACAGCATCCTTATTAATCCTTTGCACTTGATTCAGTGGAGTACCCTACAATAACCAAGGTTTGGGATCGATTCCAGGACATGTTTGATGTCCTCGGAGATGCCTTAGCATATCTGCCAGCTTTTCGAGCCTACCACTGGCAAATGCTCGAGGAACTTTACAATGACAATGTGATGTACGCGGAAATTCGCACCAGCTGCAAAGAGGTTAGTAACGATACCTTGAATAGGCATTTTAATAATGTCTTTTAGTGCTATTAATATAATAACTAATCTGGCGTATTAAATCATAGACATTTTGAAATTCTATTTATTCACATCGAATAAATATATATGCAAGGGTATTTCCAAATCAAATCATTATTTACGGCATTGGAGAGTTCCCACTGAACTTAGATAAAGCCACTTATTTTGATTCATTGGAGGTTTTCCCTAAACACGAATTGATTTATTATTATTTTTAGCTTTATGACGCCAGTGGCCGCACTTTTCCCCGGGAACGTACAATCCGTGAAATGTATGCACTAAATGACAAATTTGTGAAGCTGCACCCCGACTTTCTGGGTTTTAAAATTATATTTGCGGTTTATCGTGGTTACGAAATGGATAGGCTTAAGGAAAAGGTTGAAGAGTTTAGACAATTGCAGTAAGTATATCGGTTATACAAATCGTATAAGGAAAAACTAATTTTAATAGTATACTTCTAGCGAACTTATGCCCCATTTTGTGATTGGTTTTGATTTGGTGGGTCAAGAGGATAATGGAAAACCACTCTTTACTATATTGCCTGCCTTGAGGGATTTGCCGCCCACAGCTCGTTTATTTTTGCACGGTGGAGAAACCAGTAAGTGAAGTCTTAACCACATCTTACCTTTCATTAAATAATCATTATCTTACAGATTGGTTTGGTGCCTCAACGGATATTAATTTGCTGGATGCATTGCTGCTAAACACCACTCGAATTGGCCACGGTTACGCTCTGGCCAAGCATCCCATCCTAATGAATGCCGTTAAGACCCGCCAAATCGCCGTGGAGGTGAGCCCCATTTCGAATCAGGTGCTGCATTTGGTTTGGGATCTGCGAAATCATCCGGGTGCCCAGTACTTGGCTCTTGATGTGCCCGTGGTGATATGCAACGATGATCCAGGATACTGGAATGCCAAGGGATTGAGTTACGACTTCTACTATGCCATAATGAGTCTAGCGCCCAACAATGCGGGATTGAGGGTGCTCAAGAGTCTGGTGTGGAACTCGGTGAAGTATTCCACTTTGACGGAGGAGGAACAGACGCGGGCCTTCCGAATCCTAGAGCTCAGCTGGTCGCGTTTTATAGATAAGGTACTGCAAGGCAGTGTATTCTAAGTGGAGTTGTCTACGGAAATAAACAACCAAAGAAATCCCAAAACAGTTTTGATCGATTCGAAAGTATGGAATGATATTTACAAGACTTTTAAATTTTAGGTTAAGCCACAACATCTTCTTCCGTAGAAATTAAATATAATAAAAATTTTTCGCAGCTTTCCAGGATTTGCAGATAGGCAGTATTAAAACCTCCCATTCCTTGGCTCTGTAAAGATATATAGAGTTTTAGTTTTGTTGATCAAGGTGAAACCTTTTCAATTTACAAAGTATGGATCCACGATAATCTCATCCTCCTTTCTTCCAATGTAGCTGCCCAGCAACTGAATCTTGCACTTTGGACTGGGATTCAGTTGAGATGCCATTTGCTGAAGTTCCATCATGTTGCTATTGTCCATGCCGAATATGTAATCAAAGTCATAGAAATCTTGTGCTGTTATCTGAAAGGCAGTTTAAATTTATAATTGGTTTACTAGTTTATATTAATATATTTACCATCCGACTCATATGGTTAGTTTTAAGTCCATGTTGTTTCAGTAACTGTTGCCCACGTCCCTGAGGTTCTAGTCCCACATTCCAATCTCTGAGGCCAGCACTGTCCACATGCCAATCCTGAAGATTCCGCTTAAAAACCAAGTGCTTCAGGATGGCCTCTGCCATTGGAGAGCGACAGGTGTTGCCTTAATTTTAAGCTAATTTCTTAATTTGCAATTGAAAATAAGATTTGTTTGCAGAGACTTACCAATGCACACGAACAGAACCTTCATACTTACTCTAGGAATTGCAAGTTCCGATGACTAATGCAGCTGATTCCATAAATAATATATAAACTGGTTCACGATTTGTATTGGCATTTATTACTTTAACTATATCACAAAAACTATACATATTGTTTACTTCTGCAGACGTTCTTTCATAAAGGCGGCACAGGCGACAACACACTGCTGATAGGCGGTCTCAAAGCCCTCCGCTCCGCGCTCCTGGAAGGTCAAAAGAAAGTTATATTAATATAACATGGATCCTAATTGTAATATAACATCTTAAAAATAATATCTAATATCCGTCCTTGTATCTTAGAGCCCTATCTTATTTAAGTGAAGTCCGCCCAACGACGATCTTACATAGTAGGGATCCTCAATGATGCGGTTCTTCTTCTCCAGACCGAAGTCCCCTAGCAAGAGGAGCTCCGCCTTGGAGCCCTTGGGTGCCAGGCGTCGCAACTCGCTCATGTTGTCCTCGTCCATGCCGAAGATATAGTCGAACTCCGAGAAGTCCTGCTTCTTGATCTGGCGTACAATGTGGGTGCACTTGAGACCGTGGTTCTGTAAGGTGCTGATGGCCCGGGAATCCGCCCGGTTGCCAACGTGCCAGCCTCCGATGGCTGCGCTGTCCACCTCAACGTCCTTGACCTTCGCCTTTTCCAACGTATCCACCATCACGACCTCTGCAATCGGTGAGCGGCAGATGTTGCCTGTAAGGTCAAACGTTCACGACTTTAGTTACAGGTACTCATTCTGTAATCCTCCTTTTATTACCCAAACAAATCATAAGGATTTTCTTAACCATTTTTTAAAAACAAATTACTCGAGCGATTCACAAACAATTTTGTGTGTTGACTTTTTCCGGCTCGGGGAGGGAGGTTCCGAGTTTTGCAGCCCTGGACCAACCAATTAGTTGGCAACGCGAGCAACAGCTGAGTGCCGGCTCGCTTAACCCATTGGTGGTTTCTTTACATAATCTGCTTTAAACGCGCCTGCTTTAAAAATTGCTTGCAAGCAGTATTACACTGTTGATAAATTTTCTCGAAAGGTTCTTCGCCAAGATTCTGAAATTGAGGAACAAAATAATTTAATGCTAAGCAGAAAATGTTACATTTTAAAACTTTAGAAAATACCCATTTGATCTTTTAAAAAATCTAATAAGTTACTTTCATTTTCTTAAATTAACTAATGCTTACATAATATGGGTCTTCAATAATACGTTCATCCGGCTTCAGGCCAAAATCCCCCAGCAGAAGAACCTTGGCGGTGCCGTAATCCGGAGCCATTCGCTTCAGGGCAGCGAGATTGCTTCGATCCATGGCAAGGATATAGTCGAACTTGAGGAAGTCCTTTGGAACCAGAACCCTTGCCCTGCCATTGTACTCGATGTTGTGACTGGCCAGGATATTAAGAGCACGTTCATCTGGTCTCTTGCCGCAGTGCCATCCCTCGATCCCGGCGCTCTCCACGTGCCACTCCCCCTGCATACCCGCCCTCTTTACTACGTCACGCATCACAGCCTCGGCGATTGGGGAGCGGCAAAGGTTGCCTGCGCGTGCAGTCCATTTGCATATTAATTAACGAAAATTTCAAGGATTAACGTTGGGAGATACGCACCCACACAGACCATCAGTACGCTGTTCTTTCGCGATCTCCTTCCCATGACTCACAGTTGGATATTTTGGGATTGGCCCTTTGTTTTCCGAAATCGACAAAGAAATTTGAGAGCTTATGGTAACTCAAAATTAAATAGGTGTGCTGGAGTACAAAAGTGTTCAAAAATGTGTGAACAAAAAGGTTGCTGGTTTTTAAGTAAATATGACATTTAAAACTATAAACAATATGCTAGAATATTTTACAAAAATCTATGAACTATAAGAACCCACTATTATTTAGATTTTTATTTTTTATCTCTTATACAGTAAAATCCTGTTATAACGACTCCGCTTATAGTGTCCGTCCGAGTTGTGCAACGAAAACTCGATGGTTTGGATGGTCCCCATTCTAACTTATATGAAAGGGCCTCCGCTTAGAGCGTTTCCGCTTTAAGCGACAAACCGCTTATAGGAACGAAATTTTTCGAGAAAATTGATAATTTTAACCACACTGAGCAAGTGGACAAACGTAATGAACGCTGGCAGTACCGTTTCTTCGTGCTGGACGAGAACGCCGGACTGCTGTCATACTACACGGTAAGTGGTCGCTGTAGAGGGAGTGACTAACCCCAGAACCCATTGCCGCGGCTGTGGCCTTATCTTATCTGCACTAGGTACATTTGAATACACACACTTGTTGGTTGTGCACTTTTATTGCGTGATTTGTTTGCGTGGGATCACTTCCCCACTTCGGGCGAAGGAGACAGATTCTTGCAGCGCTGCGAGACCTGGTAGGCACTATTGTAGAAGTCGAAGAAGCCGTAAAACATGCCCACAATAACGGCGGTGAAGTAAATAGTATGATAGAGCGGCGTGGTGCAGAGCACGATCTGGCAGACCAACTGAACCAGGATTAAAGCGAACTGCGTCATTTGCATCACAGTGATGCTCTTCTTGACGGGCCACAGGGCCTGCACCAGCTTCTTGTCGGCCACGGCGGCCAAGAAGTAGTAGGAGTACATGAAGACGTGGACGATCGAGTTAAGAAACACGCTGAAATAAGCGGCGTCGCCTGTGGAGTATTGGACGCTTTAGAAATAGATAATACGTAAAGAGGAAAGGACTCGCCATTCCCGTTGTGGTTAATAAGCATGTATATCAGCGTCACCGTGGATAAATGGTGAAAGACGTGAAGCTTGGACACCTGGTTTTGCTTTTTGCGCAGCACGAAAATTACGGTTTCCAGGAGCTCCGAGAGCTTCAGCCAGAAAATGAAGAAGGCCAGGCTGTAGTAGCGGCGCACATGCTCAGGACTGCTTCCGATATCGCGGCACTTCCAGAAGTACAGTATGCTGTTGTCCGTGATAAATAAGATCTACGGAACTAGAGCCATCAGCCGCCGCAGCATGGGCGTATTTAAGTCCAAGCTACCCACCTCCTTGATGACGTACACGCAGGACACCACCTGGAACAGATTATGCGCGAGGATCAACCACTTTAGCTCGTAGGCCTTGCGGACCTCCATGAATCTGCAAAGCGCAAGCGATTAAAAGTTTGTTCAGGAGATTTTGCGTACGCGTTCAAACGAGTGCGTTGCCATTATCATGTGGACTTACTGGGGACCCGCCTTGGTGACGAAGTAAAGGTAGAGGCTCAGTATTGTTATCATGCAATAGGGTTCCGTGTAGACCTCCGATATCTGCACAACTGCCGGCAAACTGGCACCTGCAATGCGATTGGACACATCAAAACAATCTGGCTGGTTGTTTAGTTGGTTGAGGTTCACTTTTTGACGCCTCCATGTTAATATATTTAAGTGTGCTCTGCGCTGTATCCTTCAGCTTGCGAGGGTTTGTCGGGTTAACTGCTGCTCCACCGCTGGCGCAGAATTTAGCACGAAAAGTCCACTAACCACGCTTTTTATATTCCCCGGCATTGATTAGAATTAATGAATTTGTATACTAAAAAAAAAACACCTCGGAAATTAGAATTTAAGATTGTTTCCTTGATGTACTGATTGCAAATTCAAATTTTCGATTCTTTATGACGACCAAAAGTATACGTAACAACAATTGGATCGAAAAGCCAGACACGTGTGTGCCATCCTGACCCCTGTAGTGTACGGGGGTGCTGGTGAGCTAATTCTATCTCTATCTTTCGATAGTCGGTCGTCTATTAGTGGATGGTAAATACTATTAGAGAGGACCAGAGAACTGCAAAAATCACTATTTTCTTGATTTAATCATACGGGAACTTTTTCAATCAACTCAACTCACTGAACAAAACACGGGGATGAGTAAAAATCAACTCATTTTGCCGTACACGTCATTGTCCTGAACACGAGCCGAACGATTTGGAGTGAAACAAAAAATCGCTCAGACCCGAGTTGATTTAAAATCTACAACGAAAATGTGAGCGCATGCTAGTTTGATCGGCTGATCCGAACAGTGTGATTATTCGGCTATTGAGCGTACGAATTTTTTTCATTCAGCCGAAGCCGTTCTCTGGAGAGGACCTTATAGACCTTATATCATGGAACAACTATACAAGGTAGTCTCGTCGGCTGCAAAATCGTTCCAGTTTTTTCCCCCTATCAGTGTTGCCAGATTAGGAGGTTTCCTCCTAAATTTAGGAGGTTTTCAAGCTTGTCGGACGACTTTTTGGAGAAAAAAATGTCTAGGATGAAATTTAGGAGGAAATAATAATTTTCATTAAAAAAACGGTAAAAAAGACTTTGAGGAAATTGAACAGGTCCCTGCCAACATGAAGCCAAAAAATTGGCTATTTATACGCAATTGATTATTTATTATTGATTAGAAATGAGAGCCAGAATCCCAGATAATATTTCGATTTTAGAAAAAAAACTCTGTATTTTCACCAAATGCGTCCAGCCAGGTTAAGCAGGATATATCTGAAGTTGCTGCACATTTCAAAGCAATTTGTCTCGACGTCGACGAGACAACGAGACAATGGAATCTTTTACATCGCCTTGAAATAAAAAACGTCGAAAATTCCGATTTATTCTGGGGAAAAGATTTTGATTATTGCGATGCTTCTGGAAAACCTAGATTTAAAAACGTTTCTAAATTAGCTGTTGCATTTTTATCACTGCCACTATCTAATGCTGCGGTTAAGCGAGGATTTTCAATTTTGAATATAGTGAAGGACAAATTGCGCAACAAATTGGCTACAAGAACAGCAGATGCGATAATGCGTATCAGGTTTCTCCTAGTGGGCAATTGTACAAAATTTGAACCATCGACAAAGATGATGACAATGTCAAAAATGTTATTATTTTAATAATATACGAGATTCCTAAAATTACTACGTTTACATTTTTTTGATATCTTTGCAAGTTTAGTAGCAGTATCGATTTAAAACTTTTTTTTATTCTTGCACGAAATAAGCTTGGAGCCACTGTATGTTTTTGAATTGAACTTATTAAATTTTTTGGTTTTAACTAAAAATTAGTTTGAATTATTTTAAAAACCTATTACAAACACAGCAACCATAAAATAATCAAAAAAAAATTTTTTTTTGCTCCTTTTGCTTAGTGCGTCTTCCGGGTATAACGATGAAATACCGCCGGTCCCTTGAAAGTCGCTATAACCGGATTCTACTGTATCTTGTAAGAAATGGATTAGTTGGTCTTTAATTACCATATGCTGCTTTTAATTTAAAGGGTGAGCTATCTAACCTATACTCTATAAAACTATAATTACCAACGGTGAGTTTAAATTAAGACTCAAAAATCTCGAACGCCAGACAACACAGACGAAAACCATTACTGAAATCACGTAAACACCTCTGGGATATAAACAACCTCCGGATTAGGCTACACCCATAGTTGGAGGTCAGGATGCGAGCGGAGTTTGCTCGTTACACGTTGTCAAGTGGGAACAGGCTATATCACACCTCCGGCACTTCCGGCTGGCTGGTGCATGCACCACATCCTGTTTACCCGCCGTGCGTATTTACTCCGAAACTCTGGCTAAAAACTGCGCTCAAAGCAACTTTAACTATTAGCATTTAATTAAAGTTCGTTTGCCGCCGACAGACGAGGTCACCTCCACCCACTCCGCTTTTTCGGGGGGAAACTTTCTGGCCCAACGGAACGAGGAGGTGATGAGTTCAGCTTGTTCTGCTCTGGGTTTTGGAACGGGTCGTCCATGAATATGCAAACTGCACCTGCTGCTCAAAGGACAGACTGCACTTAAAATGTGTAATGACTGTCAAGGAGAAGCGAGAGGTCTCGGGCTGAACGTGAACTTAAAGCAGATGACCAGAGAACTCTTTACGGCAGAGAAATAAAGTTGCTTTTTAAATAAATTCGGTTTGAGCCGTATGCAAATTCAACACAACCATCGGGGCAAACAAAAGCCAGACGAATTGCATGTGCACAAACTTTGCCAAGTTGATGTAGATGTAGTTGTTTTTGTTGATGTTGCTTTTCCTGGCTGTTGGGGGCGGCTTTGATGGCATCAAAGTGAGCTTGTCGTTCTGCAGACAAATGTTACGTACTCTCGTCACACTTTTACATATGCAAATTTGCCTTGCCGGAGCATTGCTGCAGTGCGTCCTCCACAATTGACAATTGTTGAAAATGCAAATGGAAATGGAAATGCCAAGACATGTGCCCAACAGCCACACCAGCAATTCATACATATGCCCCGGATAATGGTGGCATGCGGGGGGTGGTCTTTAAGGTAAGGAGGTAACGACAAATGCAGAGGCGTTGTCTCTACTATCGTCATCCGGCGACGACATCTCCTCAGATAAGATAAACGACTGCAGAGTCAACAGAAACAACTACAAAGAATGGACAGTATGTACTTGAAAAAATACAATAGCCCGAAAAATTACTAAAAAATATGAGTGTAATGTTTAGAAACTATTCAGCTTAAAAAAATGTATAAATAAAATAATAAAAATACATAAATTATTGAAGGCTATATTAAAGATAAGTCGACATTATTTTAGTTATTTGTCCAATTCATTTCGTTTTTATTCTCCGAATAACAGATTCCTTTATAAGTTACTCAGTAAATTCTGTTGTTCAATAAAAAAAGATTGCTATCCACAATTAAAAAAAAAAAAAACATTTTTTTCAGCATATTGTTTTCAGCTAACAACTTCTACAATTTATCTAAGTGCACTTAGGGAAGGTTAGTGTAAATAAATGAAGACGGCAATCGTAACCCACCGCAGGCCGAAATAAATTCTCAAGTGCAAATGAGGTAAATGACAAGAGGTACAAAACCGTCATAACCTGTGAACCGCCCCTCCTGCGACCCGAAACTCCCACTCGGTTGGCAGGCGAGAGCAAACATGTCCAAGATGAACATCCATTTTGCATTTGGCAAATGAAAAGCGGGAAAGTGGGAAAGCTACAACTGATGTAGTGGCTGGCAGACAGCCTGTCTATGCATCCCGCTATCTCTTTCCATCTGGGCCAGTATCAGATATATCTCGTGCTCTCTGTCTGCCTTTTGCAGCTTCATCAAATATTTAGCGCCAGCCAGGCGGCTTCATCTCGAGGGGCAGGAAAGGGGGGCAAACAAATAAGCGCATTCATTGTGTTCGTTCAGTGTAAATACGAAACGGATGTAGCACTGCTTGGAAAATAACAACATTGGAAACTTGAGAGTCGACCTCGACTGGTGGGTACTGTAAACATTGCTCGAGAGCAAATTTATTACGTTTGGGAAGATATAATGAATTATTATTAAAACAGCTTCATTTAATTTTATTAAAGAAGGAAGAGCCCTATGAGAACTAAAGACCAACTATTTTTACTGAGATTTATGTTTACTTAAGCAAAGAAGCAATGGATTTTTAAGGCTTCATAATCTTATCCTATCCACTTTTTATCTGTCAATTTACCAAATTATTAGTTTTTAATCACCAAAAGTTAACTTTTTATTTGCAATAACTGACTGCACTAAATGGACTGCTAACAGAGACAAATTAAAAAGTCTGGCTGTCAAAGCATCGCTTTCAGAACTAATGAATAAAGCAAACTTTGGGGGAATCGATTTTGTTCCTTGTTTATACCTAAATTTTATAGTCCTCCCGCACTCTCTCCGATTCCCAGCTGGATATACCCCTGCAGCAGATGCTATATAGAGAGCAGGCGAACTACCCTGCAACAAATTGGGGGTGTGGGCAGTGCCAACGACCAACGAGCAGCAGCAGCAGCAGCAAAAGCAACATCAGCAACAACAGCAACATCAACCGGCACAGCCAAAAAGCCGGCAACAACAAACGCCCGCGCGCGAGCAACATGTTGCATGTTGCTGCCGTACCGGCAACATGAGCGGCAAACATTGCAGTTGCGATTGCCGGGGCTGAGTTCTCTGGCTGTGTGTGAATTTATCTCGCCGCTACTTGAAATGTTGCCAAGTAGCAGTCGGCAACATTAGCAGCATTTCGAAAACTTGTTTTCAACGTAGTTGGGTTTAGTTTACTTTGAGACGGCGACGCAGGTGGACGTGTCCGAGCGAGAGTGCGAGTGAAAGAGAGCGAAGAACGCGAGCGGAACGTAAGCGGACCGCGCTATAAAAACCCAATAACAACAACAACAACAACATAGCAGCAGCAGCAGCGAAGTACAAACGGTTCGGTATTGTTTGTCTTTAGTTTTATGGCGCGCGCGTCGCGTCAGGTAGTTTTTCAGATATATAAATTTTTTTGTGATTCGTCTCGCGGCGGTGTTTTATGCCTGACAAAATCATCGAGCGTGTAAAGGTTGTACTACTACCAAAAAAAAGTGGCTTAAACTCGCCGTGAAAAGTGCTAGTGTTTACCCTTTGCCGGGATTACTCATTGCCGTCGCATCATCCTCAGCTCCTCAACTCCACAGCTCCACAACTCCCCAACTTCGGTTACAACTTTACGAAGTCCCGAAAACCAGTATCTGAGCCCGAGTATCTGCAAGATACGTGAGGCAGTCCAGACCACATATTGGAATTTACTTAACACGTATGCAACAACGCACCAATACCAAGCGGGACCCATTGGATTTTCGAAACTAAAACAACTACAGGGTAGGTAATCGGTAATCTCGGGATCCGTCTCTTCCCGGGAAAACGAACCACTCACACTTGTCCAGCTGCGAGTTTCCCCTATTTCCACCCTCACTTAAGGAAACTTAAGGAAAATGACCTGCAAATGTGGCTACCTGTTTCGTGATGGCCATTGGTTTTTTCCCATTAGCCGCTAGAAGATTTCACTGCACACATATCGAAAGCTATGGCTATTTATAAATACCCTGCGTTTTGGGGCCCAGGCTCAAATCCGGTTTTCCATGCCCATATATCCCCGGTTGATGTCTGGCGGGGCCGCAACAACATCACAACATCAATTCAATTTCTACTGGCTGAGTGAGTTTTTAACTCTCAGCAGCAGCAGCAGCAGAAGAAGAAGAAGAAGCAGCAGCAGCAGCAGAAGAATCTCCAGGTCGAGCAGCATCGTCTTCTCCGTGATCTCTGGAGCTGGTTTCTTCGAGCCGTTTTCTTTTCCCTCGCTTTGTTTTCTTTCGCTTCGTTTCGTTTTCGTTTTTTACTATTTGCCGATCGTGTTGATCATGATGCTGTGCCTTATTGCCGCCAAGATTTTTTCTGCTTTTTCTGCTCTTTTTTTGCTTTTTTTTTTTGTGGATTTGCCAATGAAGGTGCATGGCCTTATTTACCCAGTTTCCAAATCGCTCACCGATTTCTGATTATTCCATTTCTGGGGGGTTTGTTTGTGGTATTCGCTGAATCACACGGGGATCATTTGAATGTTTTAGCCAGACAGTCGCTGAAATCGGGTTTTATTCGGAGTCACACCCATGGCGAATAATGGCGAGTAGTATCCCGCACCGGAATTGACTCACGGCCAAACAATGCGACATGCGGAGAATTGCTGTGGGGCCACCACTGGCACGAGCAGAAAAGAGAAAAAATCAAAATGCAAAACTTGTTGCTAATAAAAAACAATTACAACAACAGAAACAAGTTCAGCTAACCACAAAAATGCTGGCGGCTAAAACTCCAGAGTCGTTGCCCAGGAGCTCCGCACACCGAAACAACTCGGAATACGAGTAACGAGCCATTGCTGATGTTGCTGCTGTCACACTAGCCACCAGCAACACAAAAAGCAACAGCAACACCAACAGCAACAGCAACATTGGCAATTTGTTGTTGCTGCACAGAGAAAAAAATCACAACAAAAGCGGTCAAGGAATTTCCTTAACAGAAATACTTTTATCTGAAATCAAGAAACGCTTTAAGGCAAGCATAATAAATTTATATTGAAAGCAAATGAATAAATTCCGTAAAATATTAACCAGACATTTTTAAACTTACTTAAGTACAACATTTTCTATGTATTGAGTTGCCCCAAAAAATCTCAAAGATTTATTATTCAATTGGCTTGCAAACCGCTTAACAACTAGTCAAAGTCACATACTTCTTAATGTCATAAATAATTTTGTTCTCTGTGCCAGTGTAGTTTTTTGTCGCCATGTGAAGACCATAAAAAGCGGCCAAGTGGCCAGCTGCCCCGGCTCTCTTTTTGTGGAGACTACAAACCGAAGAATTAGCGGCCATAACTGTGTCAGTGTGCAACTAGAAGAGGTCTAAAGCCTATTAAGCACACTGGCTTAAGATCGGTCGATGTCGGGAGATAATACCCACGGCTCCCGGTCGATTAAGTGTAATTAATGCCGACAGGTGTCACTGAATTGGCGCAAGCTCAAAGAGATTGCATTGCCCTAATTGGCTCCACCAATTAGGAGTGGCTATTTGCCACTTCAAAGAAGGGGGAAAGATAGCATAGACTTCAACTAGTTGCTCTCTTTATTCACGTGATTAGCATGTGGACCGCACTGGATTGTTTCGACTGTCGCCTCCTGTTCTGTTTTTGTTTTCCGGGACTTACGATTAGACCGATTAGACCTCCTCCTGACTTCGACGGACGCACCGGGTGACCTTGCGCTTGAACTCGGCGTAGTTCTCACGATACTCCTTGGCCGCGTCCACATTGGCGGCCGACTCGTCGTTGGGATCGGTGAGCATGGAGATCACCGAGAGGAGGATCGTCTCCACGGTGTGGACCGGCAGCCAGCGCTCCTCGGCCTTCTCGTAGCCCCACTTGTCGTCGCCTGGCTCGTGAAGGATCGAGATGCAGACGTCGCCGGCCTTGTCGATATTCGGATGCCAGATCTCGGTGACGAACTTCATCCGCGGCGGACGCAGCGGATACTCCTTGGGGAAGACCAAGTGCGCCTTGAAGCAGCCGCCCTCGTACAGAGTGTCCGGCGGACCGATGATCACCACCTCCCACTTGAAGATGTCCGAATCGCTGACCAGGCCGGCGGAGAATCCCTCGACGGGATTGCGCTGCAGCTCGGAGAGCTGGCGATTGAGCAGTAGCGATGCTTGCAGTTCGGACATGTCACTGGACTGCAGAGATAACCACTATCAATTGGGGAAACCATCCAAAGGGGGATCCCAATACTTACTGGAATTTTGTTCAATTATTTCGAGTCACTTTCTGGTTTACTTCTACAGCTGCTGAACTACGCTCAATGCGACCTGCCAGCCAACCGAGATAGTTGAGGCGAGGCTACTCTGATATTAAGGGAACTGCGATCTGGGATTTGGTCGTTATCATTTTAAGCTACTCCCACAAACCCTAGGTGCCCAGCATAAAACAACTATTATTTATCACATAAAAAGTGAACGCATTTTCTATGAAATTCTTTAAAAATACAAGGCTACTTTTATCAGTTACAAATGCTGAATTCAAAATACACACTTATTATTTATGCTTCTTTAATAACGTTAGGTTACCATTTCACAGAAGCTTTTTATACTTTAAACTGAATGTCAGTTAAAGATCAGGTGGGCCTGTCACCTTTAAAAAGCAGATTCTTTTTCGGTTGAATAGCTTGTCGTAGACTTTTTATTATAAGAAAACATCGCTCAGCTTAATCGTTTTTGTATGTACTGCATACCTTTTCAGCACATATTTTTACAGTACTTAACATTTAAGTTACACAAGAGACATTTAATAAACTTGAAGTGCTTCCCAGAAACGAAGCACAGAATGCCTGAAGGCCCTAAAAGATCAATTCGAAAACTCTGGCAAAGGAATGTCTTTCTGCAGACTCCTAACAATTGTTGGCTTTTGAATGGCGACGCAAAGAAACTATCTCTATAGAAATCCCCTTGAAAGCGACTCGAAAGTTGGCATTATAAGCTCTTTGCTCTTGGCCTGGAATGGTTCCAAGGAAAGTCCCTCTTTCCTTTCATTTCCCTGCATTTCATGCAATTACTTGGCTACTGGTGCCTCTTTTCCTTTTCCTTTTTCTATATTTTTTGTTTGTGCCATTGCTGGCTGAATGGAAATTATGATGGCCGCCACATTGTTGCCGGTGGTTTTAGCCTTTCGTAATTGCGCACAAATGTTGGCCGAGAGTTTCTTGCTGGCCTGCAACTTCGACCACGACATGTGGCTGCCCCTCGCACTTGCATCCATCGACTTTTCCGCAACTCTGCGGTTTTTCCTTTGCCAATTTTTTTTCCGCTCTTAGCTGGCATTTGGAAATCCGCAGCTCTGGCTGACTATCGCTAACTGAAATTATGTTGCTGCAAATGTGTGAATCGTTAATGTCTTTTTGCCAGCTGGGGAACATTGCGCTCGGCGTTTCGGCACTGCCGGTTTTTCAAGTTTTCCATGCTGCGCGTTTTCATGAAAAATTCCAAACGCGTTCGCGTCGTTTTCTTTAATGCATTAATATTGTTGTAATAATATTTACCTTGCCTCGCTGCAATGGCCGAAAGCAAACTCCACAACGTGTGCAGTTCTTCTAACAGAACCGAGTCGGATTCGAATTTGCTAAATTATCCAGAACGTGTAGAGGGGGGGAAGGGCGGGGGGTAAAACATGTTTGGCCGGCACATAAGACCGACAGCTGCTGCTCGGCCGGTTCGCCAGCTCTTTCCGTATCTCGGAATCCATCCGACTCTGCCCATTTAAGTGCCACATGTCGGAGACGTTCCTCCAGATCCCGCAGGGAAAGCGATATGACAGCGCGAGCCGGGAAACTCACACGTGCCACAGCGAACTCGAGTTTCCATTCGGCTGCTGCACTGGGGGAAAAACGCCCACAACGTTCCAGATTAGAAATCTAGGGGAAATCGGGTGCTAAACATTTCGGCAGATAATTAAAATCATTTAAATGGAGCATTTAATAAATTTCAAGCTGAAACATTGTTCGTATTGTTTAGAGAATAAATTATGGCTTTCGTTGTGACATCTTAAATTGAAATTTCATCAGTCAAAAACATTATAGTTGATATTCAAATTCGTCTTTTATTTATTGTTTGTTTATTGAGCAATAAATTGGCGCTTTATTCATTTCCTTTGAGGAGTATTAACATTCAAATTTATGATAGTGAACATTTGGTTATTCGTTTGTATTATTCCTCTACGTTGAATTCATAAAGTTTTCCTAATACAAAAAAGTTTTCTGTTTTCCGGGCGTGTTATGTATGTTTTAATTTTTTTCCGTGTGTGAAAATTGTCGCGCTCATTGTTAAAGTAATAGGGTGGCGTTGCTCGGCGGTTTTTCAAATGATTTCGGCTCACTTTGTTGAATTGATTTCCAATATTCATTAAGACGCCCACACGCAAGTATAGACAATTTCCCGGGTTCGTTGCCATGGCATTTGATTGGAGAGCGGGGAGGGAAATCCATTAAAACGGGGGTGTTTGAACTTCATCTGCTCGGTGGTTTACCCTCAGGTTTTTTTTGGTGGGCGTGGCGGTTGCATGCGACAATTGTACTTCCGGCAATACCTGCTGGTATTCCACTCCTCAATATTCCCTTTGCACTCAGCTGGTTTTCTCCCTTTGCTCAAACAGTTCTAGCTTCTTTTTTTCTGAGTTTTTTTTTTGGGTTTGGTCTCTGTATTAAGCGAAAGCAGGTGCTCTTCTGGCTGCGTGCCTTAAATTACTGGCTCATGTTGCGTCCATCAAACAGCTGACGGCGTCGATCAATTGAAATTGCTTTTGCTTTTCCCCTCCGCTTTTCCATCGCCCTACTAAGTTGCACTGGCAGCGAGTTGCTGCGGTTGGTTTTCTTCGCTGATGACTTCCTGGATCTAATGACGGGGCAACCTGCTGATGAATTGTCTTTCGAGTCGATCATAAAATATATTAATAGCTTCTGGGAGCGAGCATGCATCGTTATTGAAAAGTGAGGGGCCAGAAAGAAAGTTTTATGAACTCAGCTTTTAGTGTAAATATAAACAAAAGGTGTATAAATTTAATAAAGATCTTAAAAATGCAAATAATAATAATTGAACTAAATGGTATGGGCAATAAATAAGCAAAACACTGAATTTAAAATTCACTTGTTGGTGGACTTGTTGAAGTAATTAGCTACTTTGAACACAAATAAAAACGCGTACATTAAAAACAGCTCTTTGAGCAGGAAAATGATGAAAAGTTGGCAAAACACAGCACCTCTCTCTGCACTTCTCATAAATTCAACTTAAGTGAGTGACCAACTGGATTTTAGTGCTTTATTGGCGCTCTGAGTTATGCACACCCACTTTTGCCGCCCTGGGCACACAATTTCCAATTGCATGCAGAAATATGAGGCGGGATTGCTCAGCTCCGAGAACTGGCCATTATATCGTTCCGCATTGAGGGAGCAAAACAATGCCGAGGAGAGAACTCAATAAATTGCAGAAAAGCGAAAAGTGGAAAGAACAAAAAATAAACAAGAACGAAACAGTATAAAAAAAAAAAAAAAAAAAAAAAACAAAATGAAAACCAGCTTTCCACTTGCAGTTTTAATGTGTTTTGTGCGTTGTTCCTCGTTTTATAATTGAGTTGGCAGTTGCAGCTAAAGTTGGAGCTGCAACCGTGCACTCCTCCCTCTTCTAGCTGCCCCCAAAAAACAACCCACCACCCACCCAACCGAAAGATGCCCCCCATTTTGCGGAGTTTTTCCCCGGTGGAAGTGGAAGTTGCAATCGGGATTCGGGCACGTTGCTGTGCGCTCGTGTGCACTGAATGCGAAAAAGTTCTGCACACTTTTCGACTGAAACGCGATATTATTATACATACCCTTCGTATTTTTATTATTATTTTCATAATACCCAGCCCGTTGCGGACTTACCTTTGTGCGCCGCATTGAAATGGAAGCGCAGACTCAAACTCAAACGCTCGGGGATCTGGTGCACTGCTGCCAGACAAAAAGCGCCATCCTTGCGGTGGTTCCGTAATGAGCGTTTCCGTCAAAGCCATTTTCTCCTTCACACACTTGGCGAAAAGTAGTTGCCTAACCATATCATAACCAACCAAATCAAAAGACCATTTCATATTCCTGAAAATTTACCACTCTTTTGCTCTAATTTAATAATTGTGTTTTCCTTTTTCTTTCAGACTCTGCCTGATTTTATGGTAAGTTTATTTATGGCTTAGATTTCAAAAGATTTTGAGAATAAGATTTTAATTCTCAAAATCTTAACCCCCCCCATTAAAATCCCCTCTTCTCATCCTCCTCCCATTTTTTTTGAGTGCACATGGCACTTAATCCAACGGTGCCGCATTTAAAAGGGCATTTTCTTTCTATCACCACACGGAAGACCTAAAACTGGATCGACACTACGTAATTGCTCAATTTCTTGCTTCATTAACGTGTTTTCCATTGCATTTAGTCGGTAATTTCTAAGGCCCAATGAAAGATCGCCCAGGAAGCCGGCAGCTCTTAATTTGTCCGACCCTAAACGCTGGTCGTTTCCTATAATTTTCCAACAGCGACTTTGGAGCCAGCAAAGTGTGAAGTGTTAAGCGTTATGCGTACGAGTGTTTCATAACTCATACATAAGACCGACCGGCAAACAAATGAGCAAAAGTGTGCTACTGGAGTCGGGAATCCAGTCCAGTCCGCTCCGAGGAGCCCCCTTCAGCCAGATGAGCCGTTAGACAGTGCCGGTGGCGCCCCCAGAGTTCATTTACTCCGCTCCGCCACCAAGAAATTTCTATAAAAAATAAAGAAAAGAGTGCGGGGAAAGAACGAGTCGAAAAAGACCGACCAACGTTATTTGTAGTTTTTATTTCTTTTATTTCTGTGCACTCTTCATATTTTTTGTCCATATTGTGCTAGACCATTTCGTTTTTAAAAGCTTTGCTGGCCGCTTCTGCTGTTCCGGGTGAGGAGTGGGGGTCAGAAGACTAGGGCTTGAAAAAATCCAAGCTTGGCCTGAAAAAGTGCTTATTAAATTTAATGACAGCACGTTTGCTTGCGAAAAGCGATTCGACGATTTTTTGTGTTTTTATTTCAGCTTTTTTCCAACCTTTGGTTATATTGCTTTTAGAGTTGTTGTGTTTTTTTTTGGTATTTGGTTTATTGAGGGCTGTGGCTCATTGAGAGCACTCGGCTCATAACAGCACAGACTTTAAGTTTAATTATGTGGCAGAGCTTCTTGCCCCGAACTCCATAAAAGGGGTCGTTACGACCATTATAGTTATACTCTTTCAATTGAAATGGTAACAAATTTTATTGTTCGTCAGCCTAAATGGAAAAAACGAAAGTTATCTTTGATTAAATCATCATTTCCTATCTTTTTGTGTCTAT